GATCAAGGCGTCAAAGACGGTTTATGCAGTCTTTAATAAAAGAATAAGGACGTAAGGAGTGTAATAAATCACATCAGATGTATGCATTCTTTCCCAGGTGTTTCTTTTTCATGGCCACATAGAATCTACTAAGAAAGCTTTTGTCTCATATTATCTTACCTTTCCCTCTAAGATTTGTTTCTGTAGAATGTATGTATGAATAAACAAAAAAATACAGCAGGAAAACTGCTGTCGACTCAAACCAAACTCTCTTAGTGCTGTTGTAGTACATGCTGCTGCTATTTGAAATTCATGTGACAAAAAAATGTATTCTTGGCCTTGAAGTAGGCTTGAAAAGGAGAGCAGTGAATGTGTCATAATCTTAATGATACTCCACCGTGCCAGTTTGTCCCTGGGTGCTAGCTGACCTCTTTCTTCCAGATTCCCTGTCTGACGTATCTGGAAATCTCTCCAGATGCTGTCCTGTCAGTCACAGACCGAGACAGTGGGGTTATAGTAGCTGTTTGAGGTTTGGACCAGCCCAGCCTCTATGACTACTGCATGCTTATTTGGGTTGTGTCCATCCAATCTCTTTTTTTAGGCTGCAGTTCAGCACTGTTTCTGTCTGTTTCCGTTGGATCAAAGCATGGCCAAACAAGTCCACTTGGGACTGAGTTGGAGAATGAGCTGTCAATTTGATGTCATTGTAATTATACACTGAACAAAAATATAAACGCAAAATGTAAAGTGTTGGTCCCATGCTTCATGAGCTGAAATAAAAGATCCCAGAAATGTTCCATACGCACAAAAAGCAAATTTCTCAAAAATGTTGTGCATCCCTGTTAGTGAGCATTTCTCCTTTGCCAAGATAATCCGTCCACCTGACATATCACAAAGCATATCACAAAGCTGTTTAAACAGCATGATCATTACACAGGTGCACCTTGTGCTGGTGACAATAAAAGGCCACTCTAAAATGTGCAGTTTTGTGACATAACACAATGCCACAGATGTCTGAAGTTTTGAGGGAGCGTGCAATTGGCATGTTGACTGCAAGAATGTCCACCAGCGCTGTTGCCAGATAATTTAATGTTCATTTCTCTACCATAAGCCGCCTCCATCATCGTTTTAGAGCATTTGGCAGTACGTCCAACTGACCTCACAACTGCAGACCATGTGTAACCACGCCAGCCCAGGACCTCCACATCCGGCTTCTTCACCTGCGGGATTGTCTAAGACAAGCCACCCGGACAGCTGATGAAACTGTAGGTTTGCACAACCGAAGAATTTCTGCAAACACTGTCAGAAATCATCTCAGGGAAGCTCATCTGCGTGCTCGCCGTCCTCACCAGGGTCTTGACCTGACTGCAGTTTGGCGTCGTAGCCAACTTCAGTGAGCAAATGCTCACCTTCAATGGCCACTGGCACGCTGGAGAAGTGTGCTCTTCACGGATGAATCCCAGTTTCAATTGTACCGGGCAGATGACAGACGGCGTGTATGGCATCGTGTGGGCGAGCGGTTCGCTGATGTCAACGTTGTGAACAGAGTGCCCCGTGGTGTTGGGGTTATGGTATGGGCAGGCGTAAGCTAAGGACAACGAACACAATTGTATTTGCTCATGATAATGCACAGCCCCATGTCGCAAGGATCTGTACACAATTCCTGGAAGGTGAAAATGTTCCAGTTCTTCCATGGCCTGCATACTCACCAGACATGTCACCCATTGAGCATGTTTGGGATGCTCTGGATCGACGTGTACGACAGCGTGTTCCAGTTCCCGCCAATATCCAGCAACTTCGCACTGCCATTGATGAGGAGTGGGTCAACATTCCACAGGCCACAATTTAACAGCCTGATCAACTCTATGCGAAGGAGATGTGTCACACTGCATGAGGCAAATGGTGGTCACACCAGATACTGACTCGTTTTCTGATCCACGCCCCTACCTTTAAAAAAAGGTTATCTGTGACCGAAAGATGCATGTCTGTATTTCCAGTCATGTGAAATTCATAGATTAGGGCGTAATGAATTTATTTCAATTGACTGATTTCCTTATATGAACTGTAACTCAGTAAAGTCTTTGAATTTGTTGCATGTTGCATTTAATATTTTTGTTCAGTGTATAATGCATACCAACCCAGCATAAAGGTTTCATGACATCTTTGTCAGGCAGTGTTCAGTCTATAGTGAATTGCGTGACAATGGGGGAGTATCCTGGCACTGAGTTTAACATACCAGTAACATGAGGTTCCCTCCCACAGCCATGTGTATGTGATTGAATTTTGGTACCCTCTGTGCAATTCGACCCAAACTTTCTTCTAAATATATTTTACATCAACAAAATCTGTAACTGTCTAGCGGTACAGACAGCGGCACCAGTGATTGTTGTTCCAATTTAATGCCCCTTTCCCAATTGCAGGAAGAGGTTTGATAGGCCCCAGCTCCCCAATGTGACTGTAATGTGAGTCTAGGCACACGCAAAGCGAGTGAAAGCTGGAGGAGAGGGAGGCCAGACCAGACCGTAATCATTACTACACAGCTCTCTGATATGAGAACCAGCTGTTAGCTTTCCTTTTGTTCTTATTTTTCTGCCCTCTTTTTCACCGAGCCTGGACCTCTCCTCAATGCCTCCTATTGCAGCCTCACTGTCTGGACCTCGTCCCAAATAAACTGCCATGCGCTCGTGGCAACCGGATTTTGGGAAGCCGGGAGAGATTCTTTCTCTACAAGGAGGCTGAGATTGGATACAAACACTGCCAGGCCACTGAACAGAATGGGCTGTCTAGACCTTTATTTTCTAACTGTACAGACAGAATGTGCTAGAATGAAGTAGCTTTATGATTGTTGATGCACTCTGCTTTGTTGTAATTTCACCACTGAGCATTCCTATTTTCCCAGAGTATAGCCTTATTCCATTATTTTACTGTTTAGAGATACATTTTGTTATTGTGGATTGTATTGAGAGTGTGGTCAGTGTGTTTTCAGATAACCTTATTAGGAGACAAGGGGTTCCTGTTGGCTTTTCTCAAGTCACTGTGAGGTTTGTGATCTGGTTTACACTTCCCATGCTGATTGGCTGATGTACCTGTCCCAATTTCTCCCTTTGTTTCCCCATTATTAGCCTGTGTGTTTGCACAGCGTTTTTACTGTAAATCACCGTGGGAAGCCAGGGCCTTTGCCGAGATTGTTGTTGGGAAGATTTCATGGGCAGCCCTCATGTTTTGAAGTGTCTCCTGGGGACAAGTAAGGCAGCTCCCCATGCTTTTTGTCTGGGGCATGTTACCCGACCATGGGCTCTATCCACCCCCCTACGCTGGGGACATTTTTCAGGCCTGGTGCATGGAGCAGAGCCAACTCAAATAAAGACCTTCCAGTGTGCCCTTTGTCTACTCTGACACCGGCTGGAGTGGCGTTGTTCACCGGCAGCCAGCATACGGCAGACAGACAGGCAGACAGGCGGCCAGACAGGCAGACAGGCAGGCAGGCAGGCAGGCAGGCAGGCAGGCAGGCAGGCAGGCAGACAGGCAGTGCTTCAACTGTTAGCTCAGGCTGCTCTGTTTGCACATGCCTGGCATTGATGGGCATGTCACCATGGGAACGGCAAGGGAGCAGGCCTTTGCTCGCCATTGCAGAGAGAGAAAAGGAGATGATAAACTAGCAAAGTGTCAAGTGAGAAAGTGGTGTGAAAAGGTCTGTTTTTTTCGGCATCAACTGTTCCTTTTCAAGCTAAACGCAAGCAACCATGGTGTGATTTTTGTACTTCTTTGTAATCGTTCTTGTTCCTTTAGACTTTGAATCCTTATGCTAAATGTTGTTGTCCATACAACAAACCAATCAAGTTTTAGATTTTCCCATAGAGTTGTCAGGGGAGGGCTTTTGGTTTGCAGTGTTGGACTTTTTCTTTTGTACAGCCTGTACAGATGGAAGTAGTACATCACACATGATGAGGTCAGTGTGAGGTCACTTCTGACCCTCAGACCCATCTGAACTACCTATGTCCTCTGGGGGGGGGACATTTTGTACATATTTTCTCATGTGTTCGTTTTTACATGTATGAATTCAAAGGCTTATACATATCTTTATTATTATTTGAGTTGTCATTTCCACATCTTCACCTTTAAATTCATCCCTTTCTGATCCAGAGAGAGTGAATCAGGGAGTATATGGCCTCCAAGCCCCTTGTCTGCCCCCATACAGTAGATCTCACTCCTTGGTTCAGGTCCTACTGGCAGGCCACCAGACTCACACAGGCAAAGCTGTGGCCTGATGCTTCCCTAAGTTTCAGCATCCTCAGTAGATCCCTAAATAATGCCTACTGTCAGTGTAACTGGCAGCAGTTTAGCTGCTGGCTGATGGATCTTTAGGCTTCACCAAAGTGAACATGTATTATCTGAGTGTGTGTACAGTGGTGGAAAAGGTACCCAATTGTCATACTTGACTAAAAGTAAAGATACCTTCATAGAAAATGACTCAAGTGAAGGTCACCCAGTAAAATATTACTTGAGTAAAAGTCTAAAATATTTGGTTTTAAATATACTTAAGTATCAAATGTAAATGTAATTGCTAAAATTAAGTAAAAGTATAAATGATTTCACATTCCTTATATTAAGCAAACCAGACAGCACCATTTTCTTGTTTTTTTTTTACATTTACCAATAGCCAGGGGCACACTCCAACACTCAGACATCATTTACAAACAAAGCATTTGTGTTTAGTGAGTCCACCAGATCAGAGGTAGTAGGGATGACCAAGGATGTTCTCTTGATAAGTGCGTGAATTTGACCATTTTCTTGTCCTGTTAAGCGTTCAAAATGTAACAAGTACTTTTGGGTGTCAGGGAAAATGTATGGAGTAAAAAGTACATTATTTTTATTTAGGAATGTAGTAAAGTAAAAGTTGTCAAAAATATAAATAGTAAAGTAAATTACAGATACCCCAAAAAACTGCTTAAGTAGTACTTTACACCAATGTGTGTGTGCGACAGTGTGTATGTGCGAGTGCCTTCCTGGTTTTGTTGTGTTTTGATCTAACAGCAGTCTCTTCTCCTGAAATGCAGAGGAATCTTCTTGGACACCATCCTGCCACGCTATGATGTCAATGGAGTGAGACCCCCGATTGGCCAGAGGACAAGGCTAAGCAAAGGGGATATCACACAGGCACGCAAACTCTACAAGTGTTCCAGTAAGAACAGCACAATTATTGTAAACACATTTTGAATGGGTTCAACATACATGTTGGTGTAGAGTTGATACATACCATATGGTAGATATTAAACAATAGGCCTATGAAGTTGAGTTAATATTGCATAATACCATAATATAGTGCTTGCTGTTGCTTTAGCTTACCACTGGGAGTGAGATTGTATTCTCCTTTTTCGTGTCTGATTATCACTGAGAGTGAATACTCAAAAACACTTTGTTTTCCGAGCTGTAGTTTACTGTACATTGGATTGAAAAAGTTGAGCATTTACCATTGATGTGGCGTGGTTCCCTGGCAGTCGAGGCTGCTGAGGGGAGGACAGCTCTTAATAATGGCTGGAATGGAGTTCATGGAATGGCATCAAAAACATGGTTTTCATGGGTTTGATTCCATTCCATTCACTCCATTCCATCCATTTTACTCCATTCCAGCCATTATTTTGACCATTCTTCCCTCAGCAGCCTCCACTGTTCCCTGGCTATGGTTGCGGTGACTTCCCCGGCCAGGGAAAGGAGTGTAAACAGTGCCCTAGGACAGGAAGTTTGTCATCACTCTTTCCCAGATAGACCCAAAAGAACAGCTGGTCTCAAGAGGACAATGACTAGAATGATGGCTGGGAATCAACACTCTGTTCTTAGGGTCCAGAGATCAAGACATTTACAATGTAAACTGAACACATAAGTGTTGGAAAGGAAAACAAACCGCCCTGGCGCTTTACTAGTAGTTTCGTTGGTCTTTAGAAAGACAAAGGTTTAATAAGGTTTTTAAGGCTGAAGGGACAACAACTTTCACAAGTTTGAAATAGTCATTCATAAAAGAAAAGTGATGTCAGTGCGTTAATTGTGGGTCAGACAGGGAAAACTGAGTTTGTCAGAACCACATTAAAGCTCAGTGAATAAACAGCATACTGCTGACCAGAACTGGACCGCTGAATGTGGTTTTAGTTGGGGGAATCATCCGTCTTGACCATAGATGGTTCAGAGGGGTGGGGCTGGTTGAATGGGTGTGGGTGTCTGTGTCCTTCACAGTGATTAACTCCCCCTCAGTGGTACAGGAGAGAGTAGATGATGTGGCGCACAGCGCAGCACAGGGGATGCAGCTAGGAGGGAGTCTCTGTCAGTTTTCCTGGAAAACAGATCCTGCGAGCATAGTGTGGTGGATCCTCATTTACACAGCATTCCTGGGAGCATTTGACATACCCCAGTGTGCTTGTTAATGGTTTAATATCAGCAAACCTCTGCCAAGAGTTATTAGACAGAGCTCTCGCCTCCACTCTTTATATGCTCACACACAGGTTTGGAGGGAGTCAATGAACATAAACAGTTGGGGGAGATGTTTTTCTTACTCCCACTGGAGCAGAGAAAGGTGAAGTGAGCAGGGAAGTAATATCTTAGGATTCGTGTCCTAGAGAGACAAGAATGATATGCTTTCATGCTTTTTCCTCTCCTCTGTTGATCAGTGGGTAGAAAGCTCCCAAGGTCTGTTCAGTTCCCCTAGAGCACTGTGCCCCTAAGCCATGCATGCTGGTTGGAATGAGCCCCTGTAGCACAGTTGGTTTAGCCAGTTGGCCAGGGGGAGGATTGACTACCAGCATGTACATTATGTATTACGTCTCCCAGAGGGTTGGGTTATTTATAGTAAGCCAGGTTTATTTTGAGACGATGTGTCTCATACTGTCTTCTGCTATCGCTTCTCATCATCTGGAAGAAGTTGAATATCATCACCATCAGCAGATGTGCCTCTGAACATGAAAGAGTTGCCCTCCTCTTAAGATTCAGGATTATACAGTGCCTTCAGAAAGTATTCATACCCCTTGACTTATTCCACATTTTGTTCTATTACAGCCTGAATTCAAAATTCACCCATCTACACACATTACCCCATAATGACAAAGTGAAAACATGTTTTTAGAAAGTTTAGCAAATGTATTGAAAATGAAATACAGAAATATCTAATTTACATAAGTATTCACACAAAGGTGAATTTATCTCCCAGTGTCTGTTGGAAATCAGACTGAACACGGTTTTCCTTTAGGATTTTGCCTGTGCTTAGCTCTATTCCGTTTATTTTTATCCTAAAAAACTCCCAAGTCCTTGCCGATGACAAGCATACCCATAACATGATGCAGCCACCACCATGCTTGAAAATATAAAGCGTGGTACTCAGTTATGTGTTGTGTTGGATTTGCCCCAAACATAACGCTTTGTATTCAGGACATAAAGTACATTTCTTTGCCACATTTTTTGCAGTTTTACTTTAGTGCCTTATTGTAAACAGGATGCATGTTTTGGGATATTTTTATTCTGTACAGGCTTCCTTCTTTTCACTTTGTTATTTAGGTTAGTATTATGGAGTAACTACAATGTTGTTGATCCATCCTCAGTTTTCTCCTATCACAGCAATTCAACTCTTGTAAATGTTTTAAAGTCACCATTGGCCTCATGGTGAAATCCCTGAGCGGTTTCCTTCCTCTCCGGCAATTGAGTTCGGAAGGACGGCTGTATCTTTGTAGTGACTGGGTGTATTGATACACCATCCAAAGTGTAATTAATAACTTCACCATGCTCAAAGGGATATTCAATGTCTGCTTTTTTTATTTTTACCCATCTACCAATAGGTGCTCTTCTTTGCCAGGCATTGGAAAACCTTCCTGGTCTTTGTGGTTGAACCTGTGTTTGAAATTCACTGCTCGACTGAGGGACCTTACAATTACAGTGGGGAAAAAAAGTATTTAGTCAGCCACCAATTGTGCAAGTTCTCCCACTTAAAAAGATGAGAGAGGCCTGTAATTTTCATCATAGGTACACGTCAACTATGACAGACAAATTGAGGAAAAAAAATCCAGAAAATCACATTGTAGGATTTTTAATGAATTTATTTGCAAATTATGGTGGAAAATAAGTATTTGGTCACCTACAAACAAGCAAGATTTCTGGCTCTCACAGACCTGTAACTTCTTCTTTAAGAGGCTCCTCTGTCCTCCACTCATTACCTGTATTAATGGCACCTGTTTGAACTTGTTATCAGTATAAAAGACACCTGTCCACAACCTCAAACAGTCACACTCCAAACTCCACTATGGCCAAGACCAAAGAGCTGTCAAAGGACACCAGAAACAAAATTGTAGACCTGCAACAGACTGGGAAGACTGAATCTGCAATAGGTAAGCAGCTTGGTTTGAAGAAATCAACTGTGGGAGCAATTATTATGAAATGGAAGACATACAAGACCACTGATAATCTCCCTCGATCTGGGGCTCCACGCAAGATCTCACCCCGTGGGGTCAAAATGATCACAAGAACGGTGAGCAAAAATCCCAGAACCACACAGGGGGACCTAGTGAATGACCTGCAGAGAGCTGGGACCAAAGTAACAAAGCCTACCATCAGTAACACACTACGCCGCCAGGGACTCAAATCCTGCAGTGCCAGACGTGTCCCCCTGCTTAAGCCAGTACATGTCCAGGCCCGTCTGAAGTTTGCTAGAGTGCATTTGGATGATCCAGAAGAGGATTGGGAGAATGTCAAATATAACTTTTTGGTAAAAACTCAACTCGTCGTGTTTGGAGGACAAAGAATGCTGAGGTGCATCCAAAGAACACCATACCTACTGTGAAACATGGGGGTGGAAACATCATGCTTTGGGGCTGTTTTTCTGCAAAGGGTCCAGGACGACTGATCCGTGTAAAGGAAAGAATGAATGGGGCCATGTATCGTGAGATTTTGAGTGAAAACCTCCTTCCATCAGCAAGGGCATTGAAGATGAAACGTGGCTGGGTCTTTCAGCATGACAATGATCCCAAACACACTGCCCGGGCAATGAAGGAGTGGCTTCGTAAGAAGCATTTCAAGGTCCTGGAGTGGCCTAGCCAGTCTCCAGATCTCCATCCCATAGAAAATCTTTGGAGGGAGTTGAAAGTCTGTGTTTCCCAGCGACAGCCCCAAAACATCACTGCTCTAGAGGAGATCTGCATGGAGGAATGGGCCAAAATACCAGCAACAGTGTGTGAAAACCTTGTGAAGACTTACAGAAAACGTTTGACCTGTGTCATTGCCAACAAAGGGTATATAACAAAGTATTGAGAAACTTTTGTTATTGACCAAATACTTATTTTCCACCATAATTTGCAAATAAATTCATAAAAAATCCTACAATGTCATTTTCTGGAAAAAAAAATCTCATTTTGTCTGTCATAGTTGACGTGTACCTATGATGAAAATTACAGGCCTCTCTCATCTTTGTAAGTGGGAGAACTTGCACAATTGGTGGCTGACTAAATACTTTTTTTCCCCACTGTATCTGTATGTGTGGTGTACAGAGATGAGGTAGTCGTTAAATTGCACACAGAGTGAGTCCATGCAACTTATTATGTGACTTGCTATGCACATTTTTACTCCTGAACTTATTTTGGCTTGACATAACAGATGGGTTGAATACTTATTGACTGAAGACATTTCAGCTTTTCATTTTTTATTAATTTGTAAACATTTCTAAGAACATAATTCCACTTTGATATTATGTGGTATTGTGTGTAGGCCAGTGACACAAAATCTCAATTTAATCAATTTTAAATTCAGGCTGTAACACAACAAAATGTGGAAAAAGTCAAGGGGTGTGAATACTTTCTGAAGGCACTTTAATTGTTGCATCAAGCTGCTGTCTTCTGCAGTATCCCTTTAGTGGGACTTGGCTGCTTAATTGCTGTTTCTCTATGCTACTGCTGGAGTCCATAGGTCTTAGCCCATATCAGTAGAGAAACTAATTGCTAGGGTCTCATGTTAATGTCTGTCTGTCTGTCTGTCTGTGTCTTTCTTTCTTTCTTTCTTTCTTTCTTTCTTTCTTTCTTTCTTTCTTTCTTTCTTTCTTTCTTTCTTTCTTTCTTTCTTTCTTTCTTTCTTTCTTTCTTTCTTTCTTTCTTTCTTTCTTTCTTTCTTTCTTTCTTTCTTTCTTTCTTTCTTTCTTTCTTTCTTTCTTTCTTTCTTTCTTTCTTTCTTTCTTTCTTTCTTTCTTCTTTCTTTCTTTCTTTCTTTCTTTCTTTCTTCTTTCTTTCTTTCTTTCTTTCTTTCTTTCTTTCTTTCTTTCTTTCTTTCTTTCTTTCTTTCTGTGTGTGGATAGGATGTGGAGACAGTCTGCAGGAAAGCAGTGGGAACTTCTCCTCTCCTGGCTTCCCCAACGGATACTCAGCCTATATGCACTGCATCTGGAGAATATCGGTCACGCCAGGGGAAAAGGTGGGAGGCGTGATGAGGCCTTGGAAAACTGATTGAGATAGAAACTTGGATCAGTTTTAGGAGAAGTGCTTTGTTTATCATGGCTTAGTAGTGATACCTCTGTTTTCCTTAGGATAATGTAATCTTAGATGATGATCTATATGATCCCTTTGAGTCAGCACTAGATTTTTGTTCTTCTCATGTTGAAACTGTTTGGACTGTAAAAAAAAACAATATATAAAAATATATATATACACAGTGGGGAGAACAAGTATTTGATACACTGCTGATTTAGCAGGTTTTCCTACTTACAAAGCATGTAGAGGTCTGTAATTTTTATCATAGGTACACTTCAACTGTGAGAGACGGAATCTAAAACAAAAATCCAGAAAATCACATTGTATGATTTTTAAGTAATTAATTTGCATTTTATTGCATGACATAAGTATTTGGTACATCAGAAAAGCAGAATTTAATATTTGGTACAGAAACCTTTGTTTGCAATTACAGAGATCATATGTTTCCTGTAGGTCTTGACCAGGTTTGCACACACTGCAGCAGGGATTTTGGCCCACTCCTCCATACAGACCTTCTCCAGATCCTTCAGGTTTCGGGGCTGTCACTGGGCAATACGGACTTTCAGCTCCCTCCAAAGATTTTCTATTGGGTTCAGGTCTGGAGACTGGCTAGGCCACTCCAGGACCTTGAGATGCTTCTTACGGAGCCACTCCTTAGTTGCCCTGGATGTGTGTTTCGGGTTGTTGTCATGCTGGAAGACCCAGCCACGACCCATCTTCAATGCTCTTACTGAGGGAAGGAGGTTGTTGGCCAAGATCTCGCGATACATGGCCCCATCCATCCTCCCCTCAATACGGTGCAGTCGTCCTGTTTTTTACAGACCTCGTCCTGTTTTTTACAAAATTACAGACCTCTACATGCTTTGTAAGTAGGAAAACCTGCAAAATCGGCAGTGTATCAAATACTTTTTCTCCCCACTGTATATATATATATATATATATATATATATATATATGTGTATATGTGTTTTATTGTCACATACACTGGATAGTTGCAGTGAAAAGTGTTGTTTTACAGGTTCAGCCATTGTAGTACCACACCCCTGGAGCAAATTAGAGTTAAGTGTCTTGCTGAAGGGCACATCGGAAGATCTTTTTTCACCTTGTCGGCTCAGGTATTCGAACCAGCAACCTTTCGGTTACTGGCCTAACACTAACCGCTAGGCTACCTGCTGCCCTGTACCAGGTCTGTAACCATGCTCTCTTGGTTTTTAAGATCATTCTGAACTTCACCTCCATGGATCTGTATAGGAGTCACCTGTGCTGGTACGACCATGTCGAGATCAGAGATGGATACTCCAGGAAAGCTCCTCTGAAAGGTCAGGATTATTAGAAGAAAGATATAGTTCCATACATGCACTACACTAAACTACAGTGATGCTGAAAATAAACTGAATGTAATAAGTGTATCTGGAAAAAAAAAGTAGTTCTGATGTCTGGAGTGTGATAAGGTGGTCTGGTGTGTGTGTTCCAGGTCGTTTCTGTGGGGATAAGCTGCCTGAACCAATCATCTCCACTGACAGCCGGTTGTGGATCGAGTTCCGCAGCAGCAGTAACTGGGTGGGGAAGGGCTTCTCCGCTGTGTATGAAGGTAAGGCCAGAGCTGGAGCCCAATCCCCAGCAGCCCCATAACAACACAGCTCAGCTGACTCACTGGGCACCTGGGTCACAGACTGAACAACGTGCCTAAAAGCAGCTCAGTGATTCTGTCAAATCCCCAAGTCTGGCTGCCTCCATGCTAATGTGTCCAGCATGTTATTCTGCATTAATCTGATTTTCGTCCGAGTTGATATTCAGCTCAACATTGTATCCAGACTGTAGAGCATGATGTATTTAATATAGGAACCATTTTTAATAATCAACATTATGAAATCCATGAAACAAAACACAATACTCCTTGAGAGAAATGTGGTAATGATGATGATAGAGAACGATGACATCACAGCATGTTCTCTGCCATTCAGCCATCTGTGGAGGAGAGGTGAAGAAGGATAATGGACAGATCCAGTCTCCTAACTACCCAGATGACTATCGGCCCAACAAGGTGTGCATATGGAAGATCAGTGTGTCTCAGGGATACCATGTCGGCCTGACCTTCCAGTCCTTTGAGGTAAGAGATACAGGCCTCTTTTTGTTCTTTTCATACCCTCCACATCCAGTAGCAAATTTTTACATACTGCTACACAGACTGCGAATCATACAATGACATTGGGGGTCTCAATTTTTTAAATGGGATTGATTTTTTAAAAATAATTATGTGGCATGATGTTTTTCATCTGATTGTCAAACAAATCAGTTCACAATTTAGGCCACCTGCACACATTGTTCCACTCCAAAATTATTCCAGCATCCAAACAGTGCACCGTGCACCAGCCGATTGATGAAGGGAAAGAGACATCTGTTGCAAAATACCCCAATTGTCATTAGGCCCACTCTTGTAGCCTGAATTAATTGATGCGTCTTGCAGACAAATTGACATTTTTTGTAAAAAGAAAAGTCGGGACACCTGAAAAGGGGCTGAAATACGGGACGCAAATACAGCTGTGTCTGTCCCGAGCTCATCGGCAAGGGAAACTGTGAGGGCCCAGTTGAAACAATGTTGCAAGTTCGCTAGCGATAGCTCAAGACAGACAGAGAGCGAGGCAGAGTAAAGAGATTAATGTGATTGAAAGAACTTGAACCAACTGTCACCGGTTTAAACCATGACAGAGAGATTGGGGTGTTCGTTTGATTTGGAATAAGCTTTTAATTTAATATTTACCACTATAGCAGTACACAATTGCATTTTAAACAAATAGGAGAATGGTTAAATTAGCCCCCCCCCCCCCCCCCCAAAGTTTGACTTTTGTTACATTTACGGGAGCTCAAGTCTCATTCAGGCCCCCCCCCCCCCCCCCCCCCCCCGTCTAATTGGCAAACTGCCGCTACATCCATATCCTCTGCAACCTTTGTGCATGAAAATTACTTAGAAGTTCTACTAACCTTGTCCCTTTGTCTCCTCTTTTCCTTAGATTGAGAGGCATGACAGCTGTGCCTATGACTACCTGGAGGTGAGGGATGGGAACTCAGACAACAGCCCACTGCTGGGACGCTTCTGTGGCTACGACAAGCCAGATGACATCAAGACCAGTTCCAACCAGCTGTGGATGAAGTTTGTGTCTGATGGCTCTGTCAACAAGGCTGGCTTCGCAGCCAACTTTTTCAAAGGTCAGATCTCAAGGGTTGTGCACTATAGAAAAGAACACCCAAAAAGTCATTGCTGATGGCATATGCCCTCGTTGTAGAAATTACCAGTGTGATTTTCATAGTAACGATTCTCTGAGCAGCATGTCATGTTGAGTAATTTGAGAATAATTCCGTCATGATTTCAGGATAGTTAAATTGCAGCATTCATCATTTGTGACTTGTAGCCTGCTGAGTTGTGAGGCCATGTAAAGGTAACATGTTGTTGTGGTTGTAGAGATGGACGAGTGCTCCAAGCCCGACAATGGTCGCTGTGAGCAACGCTGTGTCAACACACTAGGCAGCTACAAGTGTGCCTGTGACCCGGGCTACGAGCTGGCTGCCGACAAGCGCAGCTGTGAGGGTGAGTACAGCAGAATGCTGCCCAGAGCCTGCTCAATCATGCCTTCTCTACTGCAGGTCACACTGTAATGCAGTTCAGTGCTGTTCTTTAATCACTAGCACCCAAATACACAAAGTCCAGTTGCCCCACATACAGTAGCTAGAAAAAATACCTCCAGAGATTTATGTCATTGGATTGTCATTTGGATTTCACCCAATGGGGTTGTAATTTGATGCACCCACCCAACCAAAATTCAACCCAACATCACAGGTAATCAGAGCCCAAAGCAAGTGTTAAAAGCATCCTAATTAGATATTCACCTGTAAATTAAAACCAGACAGAAGTGCTGATGCAGTGTTTTATAGTTTTACCTTTTCATTGCTCTTTTTTTTACCAAACCTGACCACTGTCTGCCTCTGGAGGAGGAGGCCTGCTATTACATGTTCCTCACATTGAATAATTATCCAGTTTAACCCTTTTGGATTACATACATTTCTGCATGTTTACGTTTTTGGTGAAAATAAAGCAGGGTGTCTGTTATAACATTATCCTCAATGGTTTAATAATACCCAGCTTAACCTTTTTGGATGACATGCATTGTGTTTTTAATCTTTTTGGGGATAAAACCCTACCACACTTTGCATTAATACGACAGAACATGATATTGCGTAACTGTCAAGCCTGTCTGAGACCATCAGCGATAGGTTGCTATGATAACAGCAGGTCAGCCAATTGTGAGTGTTGACCTTTATTGAACGATATGGGGCATGAAAATTATTCCATTCTGCTACTACAGATAGATGTTTTGCACAAATTGTCAGTGATACACCATTTTATCATTATAACCATATGAAGTTTAAGCACATCTTAACCATTGTCCTGGTCTTCTCTCCTCTGTCTGTCTGTCTGTCTGTCTGTCTGTCTGTCTGTCTGTCTGTTTGTCTGTCTGTGTAGCTGCCTGTGGAGGTTTCATCACCAAGCTGAACGGCTCCATCACCAGCCCAGGCTGGCCCAGAGAGTACCCCCCCAACAAGAACTGTATCTGGCAGCTGGTGGCGCCCACACAGTACCGAATCACCCTGCTTTTTGACGTCTTTGAGACGGAGGGCAATGACGTGAGCACCGGGGTTGTTATGACTGAGCTTGGTTGGGTTTGTTCTATCCCCATGGGCCTTAGTGGTGTCATCATGAAGCTGTCCTCCTGTCTGTCTGTCATAGAGCACAGACTGTTGTCCTTATATTGTACTTTGTAATATATTCCTGTGCATCGTATTTGTGTACAAATTGTAATTACATTCCCTTAATGTTTCATGCTATAATGACCTGCTGTTCCTCTGTCCAGGTGTGTAAATATGACTATGTGGAGGTCCGCAGTGGGCTTTCAGCAGACTCAAGGCTACATGGGAAGTTCTGTGGAGCAGAGAAACCTGAGGCCATCACCTCTCAGTACAACAACATGCGCATTGAGTTTAAGTCAGACAACACAGTCTCCAAGAAGGGATTCAAAGCTCAGTTCTTCTCAGGTGAGCCTTTGACACTGGTGTGTGTCTTTACCTTCAAGAGTCTGTTTCAGTGGTGGTCAGTGCCGTTTCACATGAGGGAGAACAATTTTTTTTCTCATGAGCATGGCCTTATTTCTATTACAGCATATTGGATGACTGTCATTCATATTCCATTCACCAGGTTAAATGTAACAGCGATAGGTTTAGGTTAGTACATGATACTCACATTTTCCCTATACCCATCATGAGGTTGCTACAACCTAGCCTATGAATAAAAGTTTACAACGTAGGTGCACACAGGTCGAGAGACAAATTTGATGTGACAGAAAGTGACACATGGACAGACAGTGACATTCAATATATTAGTAAAACCAAAAGCTTACCTTGACTTGGAAGAGTTCCAGTGTTGTGTTGGATAGTCATAGCCAGCTAGCTAACATAGCATCCCTCTGTTTGAGCAGGGTGTTTCAGTAGGTTAAACTAGCTAGCTGCATTTGCTAGCTAAGTAAGTGAAACTGAAAGTGAAACAAAATGACAATCTCTCTCTCTATTTCTCTTTTGCTTCTCCTTCATTTAGGAATAAATGAATTTGTTCAAAACTGTTCAACTATTTTCTTTCACTCTCTTTGAGTCAACTACTCACCACATTTTATGCACTGCGGTGCTAGCTAGCTGTAGCTTATGCTTTCAGTACTAGATTAATTATCTGATCCTCTGATTGGGTGGACAACATGTCAGTTCATGCTGCAAGAGCTCTGATAGGTTGGAGGACGTCCTCCGGAAGTTGTCATAATTACTGTGTAAGTCTATGGAAGGGGGTGAGAACCATGAGCCTCCTAGGTTTTGTATTGAATTCAATGTACTCAGGAGGACGGAAGCTAGCTGTCCTCCGGCTACACCATGGTGCTACCCTACAGAGTGCTGTTGAGGCTACTGTAGACCATCTTTGCAAAATAGTGTGTTTTAATCAATTATTTGGTGACGTGATTATATTTAGTATAGTTTTATCTAAAAAATGATAACTTTTAAAATGTTTTTATGAAATTCACTGAGGAGGATGGTCATCCCCTTCCTCCTCTGAGTAGCCTCCAATGGTCTGTTTCTGTGTGTATGAGTGAAGGTTCATCAATTTGACCCCACAAGTGTGCTTGAGTGCTGATGGCAGGGTGGTTGTGTGGGAGATATGCTCACCAAGGTAGTGTCCCTCTATGTCCACAGACAAAGACGAGTGCTCGAAGGAGAACGGAGGTTGCCAGCATGAGTGTGTCAATACCTTCGGGAGCTACAGCTGTCAGTGCCGCAGTGGCTTTGTGCTGCATGAGAATAAACACGACTGCAAAGAAGGTACCAATTGGCCACCTGCACATTTATTTTATGTGGGTTGGAGCTTAAGGGGATGACTTCCTATTGCAATGAGTGGGGGGGAACGAGTACACACTCCCATGTGCCAAGAACAACAGCCCCTGAGTGGGGTTTGAACATTATCCTGTGTGGAGCAGTGATGATACAGGGGAGGGATGTTGACTTTGTGGATGTGTTTTTGCAGCCGGCTGTGATCACATTGTGAACAGTGTGACTGGCACCATCACAAGCCCCAATTGGCCAGATAAATACCCCAGCAAGAAGGCATGCACCTGGGCGCTCTCCACCACTGCAGGCCATCGCATCAAAATTGTATGTGTCCCCCTCCAACTCTCTAACATACAGATTGCATGTGTGTGGGTATAGGTATGCATGTGTTTGCGGGAAGGGGGGTTTGAATGAACTGTGGAAATCATTGAGGACTTTACACTGTACTGTACTGAGCACCACAGCCTCTGCTGAGTGTTGACAGTGTGATTGAAACAATCCCCTAGCCATGAATGGCTCCCGCTTCTGTCACAATAATACAGTTTGTCTTCATCCATGGCATGCTGTACAAATCTCAGCTTTTTGAATATCATTTAGTTAACTGGGCTTAGCCAATGAAAAGTGATTGCATGTGTCTTTGTCTATGCTCTTCGTTCCAATGGGTTTCTAAAGGTTATTCCGCTAATAGGGAACCATTGCATTTCATACTCTAGCTCTTGTAAAACAGGCTGTATACCTGCGATCCTCTTTCCCTATTTCATCTCATTCTCTCCCCTCATGCTTTGTCTCAGGACTTCAATGAGATCGACATGGAGGCCCATCTGGAGTGCGCCTACGACCACATCGAGATCTACGACGGGCGCGACGGCAAAGCCCCCAGTCTGGGTCGCTTCTGTGGCACCAAGAAGCCTCCTCCCATCATGTCCAGCGCCAACAAGATGTTTATCCGCTTCTTCTCTGATAACTCTGTACAGAAGAAGGGCTTTGAGGCCTCCCACACAGCAGGTACATTACTGCCAACACAACTTAGACTCTAGCCCACTGTATGGCTAGACTTATTGCACTGGCTTCTCCTCAATGGTTATTGGTTAGTTCCTTCTGAATGATATCTATGTTTTTATTTATTTATTATTATCTCCAGAGTGTGGAGGTCGTCTGAAGGCTGAGGTCAAGACCAAAGACCTGTACTCCCATGCTCAGTTTGGGGACAATAACTACCCCGGTGCGTCTGACTGCCAGTGGGTGATTGCGGCTGAGAAAGGCTACGGGGTGGAGCTCATCTTCCAGACCTTTGAGATTGAGGAGGAGGCTGACTGTGGCTACGACTACATGGAGCTCTTTGATGGTGTCGATACCAAGTCCCCAAGGCTTGGACGCTACTGTGGCTCTGGGGTAAACTCCCTGATAACCTCATCTATTGAAGGACTTTTTCTGCCCAACATTATTTCTAGCACCAGCGATGTACTTTCATAATATCGGTATTCTCTCTTTCAGGTCTAGCTTTATTGAACCACTGCAGCTGTGTTAAAACAACACTTTCAGAGACTGTGTAAAATTAGCTCTGCAGTTGAATAATAACCTTTCACACTGCGTGTCTGTGTTTGAGCGTTAAAGAATGGACCCAGGGTTTTGAAGATTTCCACTCCGCTCTCCGGCTTTTTGTTAAAGTTGATGTGTTCCACCGGGTTGGAGTATATTGCTTCAGTAGCAGCTGAGCTTGATAAGAGCAGGCCCTGGCTGGCTTGTGAAAGGCTATCATGGTCTCCAGCATTGAGCTGTAACTGAGAGCTAATCAGCCGACGATGAGGCTGAGGCTACAGTGGGTGGGGGGGAGCTGAAACAATGAGGCCACTGGGGAGTTGAAACGTTAAATCCATAGGTCAGGGAACAGCTTGATTTCATTTAACACACATCAGTAATAAGCCTGTGTCTCTACTCTACTGATGCCTGGTACTGTAAATCAGTGCTAGCAGGAGCTGGAGGGCACATAATGCTCACAGTACCAAAGGGGCTGCTTCCTCCATCAAGCCCTTTTTAGACATGTTGGACTAATCTGGAAACTGAGACTGTATTTTTATTGGAGAATAAGTGGCAGTTGTTCACTCCAACAGCCCTCCCCTCCCTTACCCTACAGCCCCCTCAGTCTGGATCTAGGAGATATCATTTAGTTTTAATTGAAGTGCAGTCAGAGTGCCAGAAGGCGACAGCGGTTAACTAAATCTGTGTTTTCTCCTCCGATCCCCTAGCCTCCCGAGGAGATCTACTCTGCCGGCGACTCCATTGTAATCAAGTTCCGCTCTGATGACACCATCAACAAGAAGGGCTTCCACGTGCGGTACACCAGCACCAAGTTTCAGGACACATTACACTCGCGCAAGTGACCAGCGGGGGCCGGAAAGGGCCGGGTGGGGCAGAGGGGCAAACGGAGGGGCCCCCAGGGGAGGCGCCAGCCTGACACTCGGAAACCTTCGGCCACCAAGATCATTCAGAAACGACAGAACAGCCGGAAGACCACCAACCGCACCTCAGCTCCAAGGGGCTCCAGCTCCCTACAGACTGTGAGGAGTAAAGCCATTCTGCAGTAGACCTTGTTTTTACCTTTTTCTATGGTTATGATTGGGGTGGGTGGGTGGGTGGGTGGATATCCGGTTAGGTGGATTCAGGGGGAGAGTTTTCTACCCCCAGGTTTTTTTGTTGTTCTTTTTTTATTTTTATTTTTTAAGCCTCCTAATGAGAGAGAAATGAACAACAGTGGATTCTCAGGACCTGTAGGAAGGCAAGCATCAGCCGGACAGATCCCTGCTTTTGTCAGGCCAGCCCTCCACACCAGGGGGGAAGGAGGTGAGGAGAGAAGAGGAGGGGGAGGAGACTGGAGGAAGTTCCAGAGGGATTCGCCAACCTCAACCTTCCGGCCACACTCCTCTGGAATACTAGAGCTCCTCTCCTCCTCACATTCCCATCCCTATTGTTCAAGAATTCCAGTCAATAAGAGGATTAGAGGGATGCCCTTGACTTGAGGTTTTGATATTGCATGTAATTACAAGGAGAGATAAGGAAACTGTACAGTGACAACACCAGCATTTGTAATTGGCATTGTCCTGGCAACCAGTGCAGGATTCTCACTATTACCATTAACAAGGAAATTAAGGAAGCAGTTATCTTATTAAAGGACTAATAAATGAAATGTGGCCCATGTCTTCTGGTTGGTAATTGCTGGCCCATTGAGGGGCTATTGCTGTACCTCTCTGTGTAATTGTAATGTGTATGATTATTCAAAGGGACATGACAAGCTTTCCTCAACTCAAATCGTCAGTAAGCACTTTACAGTGAATTGTTCAAAAATCATGAACTAACGATTTTTTGTAAAATGCCATGCAAGTTCACTTATTTTTTATGCATTTTATCACTTTTATTCCGTTATTTTATTTTCATTGCTCCATTTTGTTTCTCAGGCGTGCTTGAGAGCAGTATGTACCCTGTAACATGGGGTAATAAAGATATGGGTTCTGTTTCAGTGTTCATGTACAGTTTTAATGTGCAGCATTTTCTCTCCCTAGACTAAAACTCTCCAATCTCCGGGGGCAGGCCAGAGCCCTTTATTGTGATAGGCTCTGGTGCAGGCAAGTCGGAGTAGTCATTGTCATAGCAACACCTTCACAATATATTCATCTGTTTATGGTGGGGCACTGCAGAATTCCATGTATTATGAATGTTTTGGTATTGTGCAGTGAGAGTGTTAATTACTGTTATCCCACTCTCTTTTCGGGTTATTTTTAATTTGACTGAAAATGCCAGCTGTCACTTAACGTCTTTGCCTCTATAACCAATCAATGCAGATGTTCAGCATGGTTGAATTTGTAAGAACCAATGGATGTGCTTGTGCTAACAAAGTAAGTGCTGTGTGTGTGTGTGTGTGTATGCTGTCATTTGCTCCTGTCTCTTTTTACCCTGTGCTGGTTAGGTGAGAGCCCTTGGCACTGTAGAGACAGAGAATGCTTCCACAGGACTGATTATTTTCTAATAGCCTGAAGCATATTGGTCTGAGACTGCCAAGCTCCACAAAACAATGAAGACCAAGAATTTTCAGTTATTCAATCACACAACACCCGCCCCCCAAAAAGGCAAAAACATTTCATCTTTATAATGATTTCCTATGTTTAGTTTGAGTTTCAGGCTAATGATGACCTGTGGACATATCCAGTGACCTCTAACAAATGGTTCAGCCACCATTTTGCTCTGTACAATACTGCCTTATTATTCATATCGCATGAGTGATAATGGTATCAAGCAATCATCCTCAGGGTGGCACCAAACAGTGTGAATTCACACTAGCTGTGCTCACTGGAAACCAAATCTGTACAGCTAAGAGTAAAAAATAGCATAGCTTGTCTTTGTGCATTTTAAAATGTGATAATTTGAATAGAATTTCTGTATTTTTCTTGCTCGGCAGGAAGGACATGGTTTTGTACAGTATAATTAAAAAAAGAATTATTCTGTAGCTAAACTGCAAATTGATTTTGAATAATTTATTTAACTAGATATTATATGCTCTGCCATGGTTGATGCGCAGTAATTGCAAATGATGAAATCCCAATAGTGTTGTCTCTGTATACTGTGTTGGTAGAATCTCCAAGCACAGACATCCAACCAATACTAATTCCATATTCCATATTTGAACATAAGCTGGCAGACTGCTGCTGTGTGATTTAGTCATCAGACAGTAAGGCTTGTGGATATCTATGTCAATAACAGTTCTGTGTTCACCTAATGGCTGACATGAAAAATTCATTACACTCATTGCAATTCATTATTAATCCTGAGATATTTGTCATGAATTATTAACTGTCACTAGAGGAGGAGACATGTCAAGCTGTCCTCTAGCTCTCACATTGGCTGAGTGTCACACTAAGCTGATTATGACATCTCTCTTAGTATCCCTGCTCTCCTGAAACATTTTGTTACCAAGCAAAATCAGAGGCAAGGGGGGGGAAACCATGGACAAGGACACACGCCACTAAATCCACTCGAGTGCGCTTCTAAACACTTGAGCCGTAGAGAGCAGTACTTGCAATCAGACTATCAAAATAACAGTGAAATACCATCTCTGTTGGATGTTTGCCCTTCAAGTACGTCTATAATTGCTTAGATAGAGTTAGTGGGTAGTGCTGTAGAAGTGTTGTTGAAATGTGTGCTTTAAGACCTTAGATGGCTCATACAAAGGTTATATGCAAACATTAGCCTATATAATTTCAATTATCACTCTTTTAAAATCAGCTTTGAAATTCAGTGAAAGAAAATAACCACTTTCAAGAATTCTTCTTCCTCTCAAGATATCTGCTTTATTTCATGTTTACAGCAATACACACATAATACAAGACTTACTCTACTTACAGTTACATCAAGTAACTCCCTTTAAAACCATTATTGTGTCACATAAATTAACCAATGTGTTTGACCTTGTCGCAGGGCAGGAGTGAGCCTTTGCATTGGTGTATAAAATGGTGCTCTCTACTAGCCCGAAAGCATTGGAGGGAGCTGAGTGAGTTATAGTAAGTGCCATCAAGTGCTTTGCAAAGGGCATTGAGTGCCAAAACCTGAGAGGCTCACAAGTGCTCATATTGTTATCTCAGGGTTGGGTCAGGTTTGAGTCATTCAAACAGCCGATGTGTGAGCAGTTGGTAGAGGTATGTGTATTGTAGCCTGACAAGAAAAGGGTAAAGGAAAGCATACAAGCCTACTATTGATATAAAAACACATTGAAAAATAAAATGTATACACCCATCAGGGAAATAACATGTTTTAAGATGTACTGTGCCATAGAAGAGAGACACCTTCACCACAGTACATAACTCAAATTTTTCAAGGTTTACAATTTTCCCATTTACAATCTGCAGTGCAGAAAGATAGGGTACCACATACCTCAGAGAGAAATAATGACAGGGTTAGCATTTTTTGTTGTTGGATTTTTGTTCCGCTTTGTGTGGCTGCTCCTTAATTTCCTTGTCTGCTGTTAAAGTTTAATTACTGCTGGCTGTGGCATTGTTCGTGGAATTGCAATATCCTTTCCTCCAAGGTGCTCCTCAAATCACTGCTCTATTAGCACAGTATGTTACAGCACTTAAAGAGTGCGTTAGTAGTCTCAGAATACAAGGAATCATTTTCCAAATGTGTGTTAGCAGACGGAGTGCGTTAGTTAGTCTCAGAATACAAGGAATCATTTTCCAAATGTGTGTTAGCAGCATAGATACTTACACATTAAGCTACATCTCACACTACATCTAAGATGCACACATATAAAACGGACAAGAGTCAGAGTACAGTAGGGATTCATATTTTCCCGAAAATCGACCAAGTTTAAATACCGGGAATAATTCATATTTATCCTGATAGTCCCGGGAAATACCAAAAATCGGAAGTGCATTTAAAGCGTTTTAAAACCAAGATATGGTCACTATTCTAGGGTTCTCCCGAAATATGAAGGTCGCTGTGCCACCTCGTCGCTTGGCTGCATGCGCCACTCTGTACAGATTTCAGAGTACATTTAACCTATTCAGTAATGAAATTATCTTTGATCGCCAGCGCATTTCAGCAGTAGGATATCTCGACACAGAGCGCACTCCGAGTATAGCGTTGTCGAATCATTCTAACTTTGTAATGGCAGTCAAAAGCCAAATGACCAAAGTTGCTAGATAACCTCCTTCAACCAATGACAGATCTCCTATATTTGGCAAAATGGAGTTGATGATTATGGGATACAGATAGTGGATCAGCTCATGAATAATGGGGAGATGAAGAGTGGAAATAGTTTAAATATCAATGTAGGCTATCTTAACGGGGATCAACTCTTTAAAAAATATTAATATCTACTCTCATACCGTTTGTTGATCACACATTCTCTACCTAAGCTCTCATATGGGCAGCAAGTACCGGACAGCGCAGAGAAGCGGGTGAAACGTTATAGCAGTATTTTGACATGCATAGGCGAGAGACGTGCTTTGATAATGCAACCTATGGATTACAGAATAAAATTAGGAATTTTCATGCGATACAGGAGTCAGGATTTGGGGTTTCAGTGGGATTGGATAGGAAAATAGCCTAGGCTCTAGAATAGCAGAAGATGATAGAATTGACCCTCGTGCCTCTGAATTGTGTCTGTGACAGAGATGCCTAGTGAATTGTGCATAGGCCTATCAAATGTGTGACTGTCTGAAGATTCACAATGACAGGTCAAAAAGCAGCCCAGGGAGGCGCATGTTATTTTATAGGCTATAGCCTACTGTAGGGGTTTCCTGTATCCTGTAGGGGTTTCCTGTATCCTGTAGGGGTTTCCTGTATCCTGTAGGGGTTTCCTGTATCCTGTAGGGGTTTCCTGTATCCTGTAGGGGTTTCCTGTATCCTGTAGGGGTTTCCTGTATCCTGTAGGGGTTTCCTGTATCCTGTAGGGGTTTCCTGTATACTGTAGGGGTTTCCTGTATCCTGTAGGGGTTTCCTGTATACTGTAGGGGTTTCCTGTATCCTGTAGGGGTTTCCTGTATCCTGTAGGGGTTTCCTGTATACTGTAGGGGTTTCCTGTATCCTGTAGGGGTTTCCTGTATACTGTAGGGGTTTCCTGTATCCTGTAGGGGTTTCCTGTATCCTGTAGGGGTTTCCTGTATCCTGTAGGGGTTTCCTGTATCCTGTAGGGGTTTCCTGTATCCTGTAGGGGTTTCCTGTATCCTGTAGGGGTTTCCTGTATACTGTATGGGTTTCCTGTATCCTGTAGGGGTTTCCTGTATCCTGTAGGGGTTTCCTGTATACTGTATGGGTTTCCTGTAGGGTTTATTAACTGCATTCGGGTCGCGTGTGCAGTCCGGCAGTGTTAATATGGCGACTTAGTGCGAAGTAAATATGCTAGGCTAAAGGCTTCCATGCGACAACCTGTTTTGTATTTTGTAGAATTGCATTAGTGCCAACATTGGGGGAAATTGTTTATAATTTCCTCGTTACCCATATTCATCCCTAGAGTAGGCCTACAGCTACAGTACCTTTCATCACTGTTTTTACATCCTTCTAAATTTACATTTATTTGCCTTGTCCTGAATGATTTTATGACTCCTAACATTCTCTTCTGAACAATCAGATAAGTGAAGAGACACCCCACTGGGCAAAAACGGGTTTAATCAACAGTTTTATGTCATTTCAATCAAAAAAGTCTGTGATGACGCTGAATCAACGTGGATAACGGATTGGATTTGCAAAAAGTCATCAATGTAAGGGAATTGAGTCTTTTTTTCACCCAATGTTTAACCTAAATCCAATGACACAGTGACATTTTTTATTGATTTCACATTGAATTCCAGCCTGGTCTGATAGACTAGACATAACATAGTAAACTCAAATTAGTATGACACAGTAGTTATGTTTGGTATGGTTTCATATGGTTGCGAACGTCTAGCAACCCAAAGCTTGCATGTTTCATAAAGAACAACTTTAGCATTTTAGCTAATTAGCAACTTTGCAACTACTTAGCATGTTACATAACCTTAACCTTAACCCTTTAACCTAACTCTTAACACTAACCTTAACCCCTAACCCTAACCCCTAGCCAGCCTAGCATATATCATATGAATTGTAATTCGTAACATATCATACGAAATGGATGATGGAGTTCCACAAATTAGTATATACCATAAGAAACGTAACATATCATACTAATTGGAGTGTCCCGGATTTACATGTACTATGTTACGTCTACCCCTGAGTCCAGGTTGTGAATTCATGTTAGTTGACAATTCAATCAAATGTAAATCAAAACTAGACATTGAACTGAGGTATGTGCCCAGTTGGATGTGATGTGAGTGATATCACTGGAATAAGGGAGTGCGTGACACATTCTGGCTTGTATTTTTTATGATACAATACCTGTCTTTTTGGACCTCAAAGTGTGGTTTCAAACTGACAGAGATGAGGTCAGTGCTAACAACAGCAGGTCAGAGAACAGTCAGTGATTTTCCTGTCAGGAACAGCATAACGTGGACAATAGAACAATGTGGACTCAACCAGTATTTCATTACCATTGTGTCATCTCCTTCTTTCAGCAGTAGGCTGGATCCACAGAAACCAAAGCATATCCTGCAGACTACTTATTCTCAACAGACTATGTTCTGTTCTTTTGGTAAACATTTATTCAACTTTAAATCATCCACACCAAGAAAGATCTACTTCCATAAGATGCTTTTACTTACATCTGAAACCTTCCACCTGCATTTATAGAACAATACTACACTGAGGTTTAGACTGAGCCTTTTGGTTCTGCTTACAGAGGTAACAGTGACAGTAGTGGTTGAGTTATGTTTGTGGGGTCACATGGTGACTGCTGTGTGCCAGGTGACTGGTCCTAGTAGCCCTCCTGCCCAACACAGGGCAGTGCCAAAGGCTATGGTGCCCAGTACTGCCAGGATGGCCTTCAACACAGCTCCAGGAGGCCTGTGGAAGTTGGCAGGGCCCATGGTGGCCAACATGGCTGCGGTCACAGTCAGGGTAAACAAGATGGACACTGCTGTGTTAATGGCCACGATCTGGCCAAACTTAGCAAAAGGTACAATGACACAGAAAAAGAGAGGGACTGTGGAGATCACTGTGGTGACAGCACTGGACACTATGGCAACTCCCACGTGGTTCACTGCATCTAGAGACCTTCTCTGCCTTTTAGCTGACAGGTTCTGAGAATGAAAAACAGATTAATATAATGAGTCTTTTCTCTTTATGCATTATTGCCCTCAGGCTTATTCCATTAAATATGATGACTTTTAAAGGCCCAGTGGAGTCAGAAAACGTGAATTTCCTGTGTGTTATATATTTCCAAATTATGAGGTTGGAATAATACTGTGAAAATGATGATAATGCCCTTTTAGTGTAAGCTCTGTTTGAAAAGAACACCTGAAATTTCAGCCTGTTTTGGTGGGATGGAGTTTTTTGACCTGCCTGGTGACATCACCAAATTAAATTAGTTAATAGACCAATAAGAAAGAGTTCCAAACCGCTCTGACAAAAACAGCACATTTTCAGTTTTCCCCTCCCCACTCAGACCACTCCCAGACAGTCCTAGCAGAATTCTTGCTTGAGAAATTAGCTAAGAAGCTATTTTTTTCTTCTTTAAAAAAAAACAATTTTAATTGAAAACAATCACAGTGAGGTACTAAATTGTTATCCAGAAATGATTTGATATTGAGATTAAAATGGCTGCATTGGACCTTTAAGTAAACCGAATATTCTCGAGGCAAATCCTTCATTTACTGAGTTTTACTCTCTTACAGTAGAATGTATAAAGGAGTGAATTCAATACCTCTATGCCAGTTATAGATTATTACATTACATTTACATTTTAGTCATTTAGCAGACGCTCTTATCCAGAGCGACTTACAGTTAGTGAGTGCATATCAGATTATGTGTTGTACGTACCATAGTGTGTCCTGGTGTGGCTGGTAAGGTCTCCCCAGCTAGCAGGTAGCCCTCCACCAGGTGCAGGCAGTAGTCCACTGAGGAGCCCACTAGGATGGACAGAGAGATGGCCTCCACGGCCCCCAACTCCCAGCCCAGCCAGTACATGATGGCCACCACCAGACAGATGACCCCTGTATTTGGTCAGGAGATCAGTCACACACTGACAGACAGATGACCCCTAACCCTCCCAAGGCTAAAACCACAGAAAATACAGTATGTACAGTACAACAGTTAGTGACTTCCTCTTACATTATTCCCAATAACACTTCATATCAATACTGCATCATATCTTATTATTGGATACTTTTCTCTGCAGTCTATGCACAGTGGGCCTATCAGATAACAAAGGCTTGATCAGCAGTGTCTTACCCAGGATGGTGAGCAGTATTGGCAGCAGCAGAAGCGGATGGGCAGTGAAAACAGACACAGCTGCCACACAGATGGCCAGGGACAGGAGCAGACTGCAGAGGGCGCTCTCGACACCTACAGAAAAGTCAGTCAGCACAGGAAGGTTACATTCCCAGAAGGACTGAAATAATAATATTTTAGATACATATTTATTAGCTGCGCGACAGGTAGTCGAAAAAATGAAACATTTATTAATTGTGCCTTAGGAATGGAACAACTGTGTCCTCCGGCCTCTCCACTTGCCTATGATTTCCATAAAGATCTGCTTCCAGTGCTCACAGGTCTGGAAACCTCTCCGTAGAGCAGAGGACTCTGGGAGAGTCGAAAGCTGCTCTTGTAGGAAGGTCTCCCATTGGAGGAAGTCTGAGTGAGTCTGGAAAGACGATTTCCCCTTGTAGGTGGTCTTGGGAACAGACAGATGAAAAAGACATGGGCTCAGTTTCTGGCACAGATCTGGACTGGGCTACAACATAACATTACATTAGAAGTGGTAGTATACACCATGGACAACCGTCGTACTTACAGACTCAAAGGCCATGGAGAGCCAGCTTACTCTGCCACCATGCGTCCCCACGACTCCATGGGACAGCTGGCCTGGCAGCAGGTTGGGCTCAGGGAGGGAGTGGCAGTCTGGGTTGAGTAAGGGCAGGATAGAAGAAAGCTTGTTGCCTGAGGGGGAGAGAGAGAGAGAGAGAGAGAGAGAGAGTACGAGAGAGAATACATGTAACTCATATCAAACATGGTTTGTATATGTGTGCTGTTAGATGTGTTAGACTGTGTGTCTGTGCAGTTGGTACCTGAGGGTAGACATTGGGCTCCTCCCGGCTTCACAAGCTGTTTATTAGCACTGATAGCTTTACAGATTTGGCAGAGGTGTCCAATCTCTTGGAAGATATCAAAGTTTGGATCCAATATCACACTGCCCTTTGGAGATAATTTAGAGCAAATCAATACCACTAAAACAGTATTGATTATTGAATTACACCTTATATCTTTATTGTCATGCAGTTGGCCCCTCACCATGTCCCCAATGACGTGGTTGTCTGTGCGTTGGGTGCGGTTGACTCCAAGTATTCCGAAAACCACAAACACCATCGCACCAGTGTCAACCAGAGGACGGACTGCTGGCTGGCCACAGCCACCTCCACTACAGGGGTTAAAACCAGAAGTCTTGGACCTTTTGGGTGAGGTGGAATCTTTGATATAAGGTAGAAATGAGGAAAAAAGTAACTCCCTCACATTCATAGGCAAACATTCATAGTACATGCTTTAATTTTAAACCAATGCGTATTTATGCAGTTCCCTGATATCTTCTGGCTCCAGGTGTTCTCCCTCTCTTACCTGTGGGGAGTGGAGTGTAGAAAGAGCCCTGTGTAGGTCCGTCAGGCCCGGAGCTGATCACACAGCCAGGTGGTTCTGCACACACTCGGCTGGGATGAGGACTCAGCTTGTGCTGGGCAAAGTATAGCCTCCTGGGAGGCACAAGGAGCTCTGTCAACAACTTGCCCACAAATAGCTTGACTGACTGACTAATTCACTATTCCGCCATCATCTGTCCCTCGACATTCCTCTTACCTGCTGTGCTGCTGCTCAGCCGATGCCACATAGAAGCTGAACTCTGACCTCCAGCCGTGGCGTGGGTCACATGACTGGGAAGTGATCATCCAGCGAGGGTGGGGGTGGTAGACACGGGACACACACACAGTCATGCGGTTGCTGAAGTTGTTGTGAGGTCCACTGTATGCCTGTTTAGAGACACCAGAAGTTATACTAAGTATATGATGGAGTTGGTTATCAGAGGTGAGATATTAGATCATAACCCAGTAATAATGTGTTTTTATTTGAGGGTCTCCTAACCTTAAAGGATGGAACTTCTCCATGCCCGACACTGAGGCTTTTCCAGGGCGATGGCACGCTGGTATTCAGAGAGAAGCGGTACAGAGTGATAGAAGCACCCACATCCAGCTTAGAGACATACACTGTCAGCAGAGGCCCTGTCATGAACGGATACAGTGAGTGGTAGTATTAGCAGTAGAGAAAAAGAGGCACACATTGACACAGATATATTCATGTGGATCCTCTTTGGATATATAATAACATTTTATCCAGTACCTGTTGTGATGGTGGAAGTGCTTGGTTTGATTGGGCTCTGTAGAGTTGAGTTTGAAGGGCTTTGTGTATGGTGCTGAGGGTGAAACCCAGGCATGGAGGGGGTAGTATGGGTAGAGCTGTGCAGAAGATGAGGTTTCTCCATGAAGAGACCTGCAGGAAATAGGACACTTCGATTCGACACTTCAAATCAATGCCAAATGCTTGGCTGCCCTTAATATCCTGATATATGCAATGGCCTGGGAGTGTTGTGAATGTGGGCACTGAACTGGAGCATGCAAATACCCGTAGGAAGAAAAATAATGTAATTGAGTCAGCTCTTATCAGGAGTCGACTGTAAATTAATATCCCAGTTTAAAATGAATTGTACTATGTCATATAAAAACATTTACAACCAGACAGTTGCAGGACATGGGTTTAAAGTTAATTTGGGTTTAAAGTAGTGGAATTGGTTTACTTTACACCCATCTGGGTTCCATCACACAGATTGATGGTGACGTCTCACCAGAGCACATGTGGCAGGAGATGCCCTGGGCACTGAGGTTGTTCCTCAGTCCCAGTAGAGTCTGGAGGTTGGTGTCTGGACGAAACAGTAACGGGGCATGAGTGGCTGGCCGCAGGAGGCAGCAGCAGCCAGCAGACAGCAGCAGGACCAGGATGTAGATGCCTATGGGCAGCAAGACAAAGACTGGCCTGTAAGAGAGGCAGTTCAGATGGCGTAGATCACTGAGGGGAGAGGCATACGATAAAATTGATTTTCTGTGAGGAAGAGCCAGGGATAGGCAATACAAAACACTTAAGTTGAAAAAAGCATATGGGCATCATGAGATGTGGTCCTCCCAGCCCCTGAAGACAGACATAGCCCTTACCTAGAATTACTTTGCGTTTCTCCACGGCTGGCTCTGCCACCCAGTGCCTCAGAGCCCACTGAAGGTTAGCGCCAACCACGCCTGCAGTCCCCCGCCCTGGGGGTGAGAGCGAGGTCTCCACTGACAGGGACAAAATGGCTGCATCTACATCTGTGTCACAGGAGCCTGGATGAGACAGGGTGAGACAGAAAGAGGGGGTGAATAGTGTCAGGACTCATTTACCTTTCATTCTTCTGCCCTTCATTTATCCAGCTCTGTCCAGATCAGTATCTCACCTGGCTCCATCTCCACCGACAGGAGGGCCACATCTTCATCCTCATCTGACAAAGGACTGTGACTCACTGACAGTCCTGTAAGTGCTTTCCACCTTTAAGATAAAGTGTATCTGAGAGATGCAGCTTTAGAACCTCACTTTGTTCATAATAGGAAAACAGAATGAAAAGGCAAGCACCACAACAATAAGAACTCTGTTCTGTAGAAAAAAACGGAGGAAAGTTGGAATCACACCATTTGAGACAGGCATTCTCCTGGGGATCAACACACTGGGTCCAGATACACAGGGCAGCGGGCATGAGGATGGACACCCAGAGCCAGCAGCAGCTGACGATGAGGGCCATGAACAGGCCAAAGTCATGCACTGCCGGAATCTGTTTGTAAGGATAAAAGACCTCAATATCGCAATAAATGTACATTGTACTTTTCATATTGATACATATACAAACAGTTCCACCTCACAGCCATTCATTCCCTTTGGAAGGATAATGTGATGTGGACTGACAATATCTCTGAGTACCTGTGAGAAGGTGTTGGCAGCGTAGGCAGCTGCGGTGGTGAAGGAGGTGAGGAAGGTGGCTCGGCCGGCAGTTTTTACCGTGTACATCATCCTCTGCACCGGGTGGACCAAGTGGGAAGCCTGTCTGAAGGTACTGATGAACACAAACACATCATCCACACCTGGAGAACAGTAAGAGGGGAAACAGAATAAAGAGTGGCATGTTACCTGTTACCAGTTTGACCATGAGAGAAATTATAGAGTATATTTATATATTGTCACTAACCAATGCCAATGATCACAAAGGCTGCAACTCCATTGAGGATGCCAAGGTATCTCACCCCAAAGACCACATGGTAGAGGAAGAGAGCCACCAGGCAGCTCAGACCAATGCTAGTGAGCCCAAAGAATGTCAGGAACACTGTAGACACAACAAAGTGACTGAGTGGGAGACCTCATGCTACAAGTCTTGTATGTGGTATCAAAATTCTAAGAATAAGATACTTATGCTAGCTTTTTTCAGATACTACAGTGGGGAAAAAAAGTATTTAGTCAGCCACCAATTGTGCAAGTTCTCCCACTTAAAAAGATGAGAGAGGCCTGTAATTTTCATCATAGGTACACGTCAACTATGACAGACAAATTGAGAGAAAAAAAATCCAGAAAATCACATTGTAGGATTTTTAATGAATTTATTTGCAAATTATGGTGGAAAATAAGTATTTGGTCACCTACAAACAAGCAAGATTTCTGGCTCTCACAGACCTGTAACTTCTTCTTTAAGAGGCTCCTCTGTCCTCCACTCGTTACCTGTATTAATGGCACCTGTTTGAACTTGTTATCAGTATAAAAGACACCTGTCCACAACCTCAAACAGTCACACTCCAAACTCCACTATGGCCAAGACCAAAGAGCTGTCAAAGGACACCAGAAACAAAATTGTAGACCTGCACCAGGCTGGGAAGACTGAATCTGCAATAGGTAAGCAGCTTGGTTTGATGAAATCAACTGTGGGAGCAATTATTAGGAAATGGAAGACATACAAGACCACTGATAATCTTTCTCGATCTGGGGCTCCACGCAAGATCTCACCCCGTGGGGTCAAAATGATCACAAGAACGGTGAGCAAAAATCCCAGAACCACACGGGGGGACCTAGTGAATGACCTGCAGAGAGCTGGGACCAAAGTAACAAAGCCTACCATCAGTAACAAACTATGCCGCCAGGTACTCAAATCCTGCAGTGCAAGACGTGGCCCCCTGCTTAAGCCAGTACATGTCCAGGCCCGTCTGAAGTTTGCTAGAGTGCATTTGGATGATCCAGAAGAGGATTGGGAGACTGTCATATGGTCAGATGGTAAAAACTCAACTCGTCGTGTTTGGAGGACAAAGAATGCTGAGTTGCATCCAAAGAACACCATACCTACTGTGAAGCATGGGGGTGGAAACATCATGCTTTGGGGCTGTTTTTCTGCAAAGGGACCAGGACGACTGATCCGTGTAAAGGAAAGAATGAATGGGGCCATGTATCGTGAGATTTTGAGTGAAAACCTCCTTCCATCAGCAAGGGCATTGAAGATGAAACGTGGCTGGGTCTTTCAGCATGACAATGATCCCAAACACACCGCCCGGTCAACGAAGGAGTGGCTTCGTAAGAAGCATTTCAAGGTCCTGGAGTGGCCTAGCCAGTCTCCAGATCTCAACCCCATAGAAAATCTTTGGAGGGAGTTGAAAGTCCGTGTTGCCCAGCGACAGCCCCAAAACATCACTGCTCTAGAGGAGATCTGCATGGAGGAATGGGCCAAAATACCAGCAACAGTGTGTGAAAACCTTGTGAAGACTTACAGAAAACGTTTGACCTGTGTCATTGCCAACAAAGGGTATATAACAAAGTATTGAGAAACTTTTGTTATTGACCAAATACTTATTTTCCACCATAATTTGCAAATAAATTCATTAAAAATCCTACAATGTGATTTTCTGGATTTTTTTTCTCTCAATTTGTCTGTCATAGTTGACGTGTACCTATGATGAAAATTACAGGCCTCTCTCATCTTTTTAAGTGGGAGAACTTGCACAATTGGTGGCTGACTAAATACTTTTTTTCCCCACTGTATGTATGACAGCAAATGAAATATAGTAAATGTTAGAATAACATGCATGTAATATCCAATGCAGGTGAGAGAGTGCATGGGACCTTACCTGAGAAGGAGGTAAGGACATAGACCAGTAGAGTGATGCAGCCCCCACTGATCAGCGCCAGCAACATGTCTCTGTGGAAGGTCTGTCTCACCTCGTTATCAAACAGTTCTGTGCCCCCATACAACACCTTCACCTGGCTGGCATCACACAAACCCAGAGAGACACTCGTAGTCAGAAAGAGGGAATGATAGAATTCTGTGTGGGTGTCGTGAAAGGAGGGACTCTTTTGATGTGCTTAATTACAATTGGAAATCGGAGACAATATTTACAAAGTCAAGTCTTGAGGGAAATTAAAATCAACATCAGTTAATCTCAATATCCATGGCTCATTTGTTTTTTATAATGTGGTTCTTTTAGAGTTTACACAGCACACAGCGTACCATCAGCATTGACAGAGGGCCCATAAGCCATAGCCCACCTGGTGGACTGCTGAGCCAGGATGTCAGCGTACTGAACTACAAAGTTCCTGAAGCGCTGCCTCTGCTCCTCAGGCCGGTCTTGGAGGGAGTAGTATGAGGGCAGCGGAGCTCCGAATTGGATCTCACTGCGCAGGAGAGAGGAGGAGAGTCGGTCAGGGGCCAGACTCTCATCCACATACCAGTAGAACTGTGGGTGGGTGATCGCTAGACTCAGAGCACCTGGGAGCAGAAACACAAGTGAAGATCAAAGTGGTAGTCACTGCCTGCTCCCTTTGATGTTACGATTGATCTCCCGTATTAAAATGAAAGACGAGCTCCCTACTTATTCCTGCAGAGCAGTGACTGTACCAGTGGAGGCTCCTCAGAGGAGGAAGGGGAGGATCATCCTCCTCAGTGATAATAATCGTTTTTAGACAAAACTATACTAAATATAATCACGTCACCAAATAATACATTAAAACACACTATTTTGCAATGAAGGTCTACAGTAGCCTCAACAGTACTCTGTAGGGTAGCACCATGCTGTAGCCGGAGGACAGCTAGCTTCCGTCCTCCTCTGGGTACACTGACTTCAATACAAAACCTAGGAGGCACATGGTTCCATAAACTTACACAGTAATTATGACAACTTCTGGAGGACGTCCTCCAACCTATCAGAGCTCTTGCAGCATGAACTGACGTTGTCCACCCAATCAAAGGATCAGAGAATGAATCTAGTACTGAAAGCATAAGCTACAGCTAGCTAGCACTGCAGTGCATAACATGTTGTTAGTAGTTGACTCAAAGAGAGAGAAAGACAATAGTTGAACAGTTTTTAATAAATTAATTTCTTCCAAAATGAAGGAGAAGCAAGAGAGAGATAGAGAGAGAGATTGTCTTTATTTCACTTTCAGTTTCACTTACTTAGCTAGCTAATGCAGCTACTCAAACACCCTGCTCAGACAGAGGGATGCTATATTAGCTAGCTGGCTATGACTATCCAACACAACACTGGAACTCTTCCAAGTCAAGGTAAGCTTTTGGTTTTACTAATTTATTGCCTCCGGGGCCCGCCGGTGTAAGTGCTAAACTGCTTACTGACTGTACACTGTAATGTTACTGCATGATTGTAGCGGGTTTACTAACGTGTTAGTTCTATTAGCTATGTTGATTATGACGTTACTTTATCTAATATGGTGTCAACGATGTAGGCTGTGTGTAGCGGTTATGATATGGTTTGGCTTGGAAAGGTTTTTCGCCTGGTCACATACAGCTGATGTGTTGTGCATTGAAGTCCACAAGCGAAGGGACAAGGTGAGAGGAGAGCACATAGATGCGAGAAGGAATACAATGTGGCTGCTATGAAAGTGAACTGTGTTTACGCGTGATCAGGGGTGTATTCATCCTGCCGATTCTGTTGAAAAAGGTTTAAATGGAAGCAAAAAAAACAAAACGGGGATAAACATACCTGAATTTGTCCAATAGAAACTCTCATTTGCAACTGTTGGACTAATGATTACACCCTACTGTATATCAGCTCAACCTGTGTGCACCTACGTTGTAAACTTTCATTCATTGGCTAGGTTGTAGCAACCTCATGATGGATATAGGGAAAAGTCTAGTATCATGTAGTAGCCTAAACCTATCGCTCTTACATTGAACTGGGTGAATGGAATATGAATGACAGTCATCCAATATGCTGTAATAGAAATAAGGCCATGCTCATGAAAAAAGAAAAACGTCCTCCCTCATCTTAAACAGCACTGACCACCACTGGACTGTAACTACATTAATGCCAAGTTTTATTAACCTCAGACTCACCATGGATGTCAGCCAGGTCAGGTCCCATACCATCATAGTAGATCCTGCCTCCACGTTCACTGGGGAAGAGGTAGGAGAGGAGGGAGCTTGGAGGGGAGCAGTAGGAGGGGCCCAGTGGCAGGTCTCTCAGGACCTCCAGAGGTTTCCAACAGAACTGCTGGAACTGGGGATGCTGCATGAGCAGGTGCTCTATGTGGTGGATGGTGCGGAGACGCTCTGGGGTGAAGATGTTGTTGTCCCCACCCTGAGCTACAAACACCAGCTCCATCCTCCACAGGGCTTGGCTCTGCAGGTATGAGTAGTTGGGAGCAAACCTGTGCATCCTAGTCCGAGATCTCTCACTGTGCCTGTCGCTTTCTTCCCCTTTGGACTCACGACTCTCAGGTTTTCCTAAGTTAGTTGTATTTTTATCCTCCTCTCTTAACTCTGCTTTACCAGCCCTTGCCTCTCTATGCCTCTCAGTCTCTTGCTGACTCAGGGCAACTCCTCTCTGTTGCATAACTACTCTTTTGGACGTGTGGTTTTTCAGAGATTTCGTGTTCAGCTCTCCATGTGATGTCCAAGTGAATGCTCCATCTTCCTGCCTACCCAGTCTGTCCAACAGCAGCTCCTGTAGAGCAGTGGAGTCATAGTGGTCCACGTCACGCCTGCGTCTGTCCAAGGACCCCAACTGAGTCTTTATGGCAATGGTGAGTGCATCAAACCGCTCAGCGGAGAAGTGGCTGTGAACCTCAAAGGCACTGTAGGAAAGGTCTATGTCCAATGGGGGGCAGTATAGGAACATGTAGGCAGAGAGGGCACAGGGAAGAAAGACTCCAACTCCCAGGACCACCCCACTCACCCAGGGCTGTGTGTAGACCCAGCCCACTGCCCCCCAGACTACGCTGCCTCCAGTGGCGCTGCTCCCCCCATTAATCTGTGTATCTGACTCCCCATCCTCCTCCACCTGCTCCTCTTCCTCCTCAGCATCCCAGCTGCTCTGGAATAACAACGGCTCGTCTTCTAAGTCCATGGCAGCACCTGTCAAACACACAGAGTACTTCATCATTACTCACTCTCCTAATGTAAATCCTCTTCTGTCCTTGGACATGAAAACATAGACCTAAACTATAGGTGATTTACAGAGCAGTCTTAATAGTGGTTCAGGATATTCTGTAGTATACAGCCAGCAAGGGCACAACAATTACATATGTCCCTCAACAGCCAAGACACACAGGGTTCCTATTCAGCTCACAGAAAAGTCATGGGGAAAATTTAGGAAGAAGATGGACCTTGTCTCAAGGGCCCAAAGCAGTGTATGTTCTGCCATTTTAGATGCTGAATTGTGGCTGGAGGCTTAGAGAGAGTAGTTGCTGCAATTTGATTCCTCTCACTCCTTCCTTCAGTGTGTGCGAAAACCGTTTCCCCTTGAGTGCTCGGTGGTGTCCTTGTCCATATCAGCAGTCGACTTGGGTTCAGCTGATCTGCAGCAAATTAAATCATCTCACTTGTCTAATTACTGACAGGGGAGAGAGGTGTGGAACGTAAGAGAGAGGTGTGTAGGGATGTAGCTCGGTTGGTAGAGCATGGCGTTTGCAACGCCAGGGTTGTGGGTTCGATTCCCACGGGGGGCCAGTATGAAAAATAAAATAAAATATGTATGCACTCATTAACTGTAAGTCGCTCTGAATAAGAGCGTCTGCTAAATGACGTAAATGTAAATGTGTGGAATATGAGAGGTGTTTTATCCCTGGTGATGGACAGCTTCTGCCTGATTGTTTCAAACTATTGTTCCTTCCTATTCTCACTCCACTGCAAACACAGGATAATGCAGTGACTTGGTATTCAAGTGGCAATAGTGGTGCTAAAGGCAAATTGGCAAGTCATCTACTATCTTTAGAATAAAGCTCCAGGATCATCTAGGTGGGGTGGGGAGGCCAAAAGAGTGGTAGCATCATTTCCATATCTCTCTTCAGCCTGGGTCTTCAATATTTCCCGATAAGGTAAGTGTGTTTGGATCGATTGTTCATTGGGTTGTTAAGTAAACCTATGGCCATCAAGAACCAAGATAGGCATTATGATAATTTGTGTAATTAGCCGTTATCAGCCGGAGTGGGCTATCTATTCAGAGTTGCAGCTGCAACTGCACATAGCCATGAATACACTATATTCAAGGAGATCACCATGACAATGAGTCCACCCAATGCCATGCCATTGTTCAAGACAGAGAAGGACACAAATGAACGCGTTCACTGAGAAAACAGAGCAGTTCAACATCTGTCTGCACTGGGAAAACATCTGGGTCTGCAGCCCCTTCAGAGGACAAATTCATTAGACACAAGATCAGTCCGTTGGGAGGGCAGAGGGATGGAGGGCGAGGAAGATGGTAAAGGAGAGGGAGAGAGAGAAGGAGGGGAAAAGAGAGGGAAGGAGAGAAAGAGGGAAAGGAGAGGAATGGAGAGAAAGAGGGGAAATGAGAGGGAGGGAGAGAAAAAGGGGGAAGGGAGTGGAATGGAGAACCTTAAGCTCCAACAGTCACCCGCCAACAAATGATGATCTCCTGTGTGATAAAAGGAAGCTTTGTGCTGTTTGATATTCAAGGCAGTCTAAATCCACTAGCTCTGTACATTTCCTGAACTGCCATGTTTGTTTCCACATCCCTGGAATTGCTGATCAGTTGTCGTGAGACACCATGCTGGCCCCTCATACTTACACTACTCATCAAAGACTGTTATGTAGACTTGGTGCTATTAAAGCAACACTGTGCATTTCATGTTAATGGTTGTTTGCCGGCTGAGGGCACCGTTACACAGACATAGCATGAAGTAGACCCTCCCTGGATCCCTCCACCAACATGCAGAGTACTGCGATGCCTCCTAGAGTAATCTGTCTCTGACAGACTCCTGGGACACATCATTTTCCCCTGTTAATGAATTCAGCCGCGCCGCTTTGCCAACCATACGATATCTAATGTACATTAATTATGAGAGAAGCCTCAACTGCAGGCTAACGCTCCCACTGCTGAACCGAGAATGAGGAACGTGTTGACAAGCTGAGAGAATTGTTAAACTTTTCTATTTATTCTCAATGCTTGAGAGCGGAGGGAGTCAATTTAGACTGTGCAGGCGGGGAATAAAAATAGAAGGCAATTTGGCAAAGACTGGCTTTATGGACAACAAAAGTATTCTCCCATCTGTTTCAATCTGCATGATTCTGGAACTCTTTATCCTTCTAGTCTTACTCACTCCTTGGTCTGACATTTAGTTTAAGCCCCATATTGTAGAGCCGCTGTCCAGCAGAATTTATAGGTTATTTTCAACTACAGATTTTCCACAGCAAAAATAAATAAATTGGATGCATTTTTTACATTATTGACAATGCTGTGACATACCAATTGCCCTGATACAACTATTCAAAAATAAATGCGGTGAAGTTCTGTCCTTGAGCTGTTCTTGTCTATTAATGTTCTGTATTATGTCATGTTTCATGTTTTGTGTGGACCCCAGGAAGAGTAGCTTCTGCTTTCGCAACAGCTAATGGGGATCCTAATAAAATACCAAAATACCAGTTAATATCCTTATGTGAATAAACTTTGGAGTGTGAAGCACCAAAGACCAGGGTTGAATGCCAGTTGGTGACTATTGCAGTTGTGTGGCAGAGTGTGGTTTTCTTGGTACTGTGCAAGCGGTGTTAGTCTCATGTGGACCTGATGTGGTACTATAAACACTCCCAGCATGCCATCCTACTAACTAACAGGCATAAAGCTTTTCTTTCTTACTTTTTGGGTATGTGCTGATGCGTGTGTGCATGTGCGGGTGTGTGTACAAGCATCTAGAAAGGTGGGGGTAAGGGGGATACATAACCTTCCTTACTGACAACAGCTAAAAATAGTACACTCTCCTCTGCTTTTCTTCCTTCCTCCCCTCCCTCTTGTTTCATCCTCCCTCCATCTCATTCAATATGGATTTCACACCGTTTCTCCTGCCCCACAGATTCAGCATGGTGTAATTGCACAGAGCATGCAAAACCATTTAATACAGGGACATTAATCTCAGCCTAGCACTCCAGAAGACAGACATTGATTATGTATGAACACTGAGTATCACTACAGGGGAATCACTGAGGGTGATGCCTCTATTCTTCACAGATCCCCAGGATTTAAAGGTTCGGCACAGTTCAAGTGTTAAGAGCTCACACCCTCATGCTCCTTTTGCACCTAATGATAATAATTTGTTTGATATTTGCATACATGGATGACCCCCTTAACACATGCAAGTACTGTAAACTCAAAGCTGAAAGCTCACTATTGCTGCTACACCTGCATGAGAGATTGTGGGTGATTGCAAAAGACAGAATGATTGCCTGGAGATCTACAGGGCAATTTCCTTTCACTCTAAGAATTCAAATGCAAAATCATGTGAAGTTTGACAACAGACGAAATCAATGTAATCTTTGCCTGGTCCTGGGTTTCTTCAAAGGTCTCTGAAACTTCTCTATCCACCTGAGAGCTCTAATTACTACAGCTGTGCTCCTCAGAGGCTGCAGGCAGAGTTGATCTTTCCTGCCACCTATTGACTATGTTATTTGGCTTAGTAAATGAGAGAATGATAGGATAATGCCATGCTTAGTTGTTGTTGTAGCATGTAGTTAATTATTTAAGCATCTGTAACACCTAAACAAAATATACATTTAGTGTATGGCAGAGCCTGAGAATCTTACCTGAGTTTGATGAGTAGAGGTATGGACTGATGGGATGTGCAGCCCTATGGGGTCCTCTTCTGAGGATGCAAACCTATGCTGAACAATTTCATCTCAAACTTGTTCTCCAGATGCTCTCTTAATTTTCTCTGTTGATCCGTTTTATTTTCATAGTACTCTAGCTCCACGAGGCTCAGCACAGCCTCTCCGACACAGGACTTATGAGATCTTTCATTTGCTCAATAAGTCTTGGCTACCATCATTTTTTGTTTTTGTTTTCTCCCTTTCATTATCTCTTCCCTCCCTCCTCTGTGCCTGGTTGTCCAGGCGACGGAGTCAGTGCGAGTATCAGTTCTTTCACTCTCCCATCAGCTCCTCTCTCTCATGGCTTTGTTCAGGCTCCTCTCCTGACTGGCTCACCAAGGGGAGAGGAGGGGAGGAGAGCACAGCCCTGAGCATCAAGGAGACTACGTGTGACGGGATAAATCTCATCACAGCCTAACAGGTAAAGCAGAAAGAGGACTGACTCTGATTCAAGCTCTATTTGACAGGAAACACGTGCCTTACATGAAGGTTTTGCCAGGAGACTGCAGCAGAGTCCCCCTCTAGTTTAAAGAGGATTTTGTTGGTATAGTCTGGTCATGGCTCTGTGAGGAGGAAACGGGTAGGAGGGGGGTAGTAGAGGACATTGGCCAGAGTAACTGGATACAGTGGAAGACGAGGTGTATGCCATATCATTTCCACCCCAGGAATCTGTGCCCATTAAGCATCTCTTATTTTTTTGTTCCCAATTCCCTGCTGCATTCACATCTAATGAATTTTGTTAAATGCAACGCTCTCTGAGCTATCATTATTCAACATGAAATTACATTTGTGATTGAGGTTATTTGAGTAGGCTGCTATGATTGAATAATATGGTTAGAGAGGGCTGCTTGCTGTCACACCACTTTGCTTTATTACGATACCGTGATGGTTTTACATATTCTCTCCACTGTTTACTCAACTGATTGTGCCCATTTGTCCATGTACTGATTCACTACACTGGGCATAGACCTAGTTCAATCTCCTCAAACTCATTTCGGTCATGAATGAGTGGTTTGATAATGTTATAGTCTAATAACATACACTCACATATCCTTTTTATCAATCACTTCATTATCCATCTCAAACTTTCAAAACTACACTGAACAAAAATATAATACATGCAAAATGTCAAAGATTTTTCAGAGTTCATAAGGAAATAGGTCAATTGAAATAAATTCATTAGGCCCTAATCTATGGATTTCACATGACTGGGAATACAGATATGCATCTGTTGGTCACATATACCATAAATAAATAAAAAGGTAGAGGTGTGGATCAGAAAACCAGTCAGTATCTGGTGTGACCACCACCAGTGGCCATCGAAGGTGATCAATGTGGTCCTCTGTAGCTCAATTGGTAGAGCATGGCGCTTGTAACGCCAGGGTAGTGGGTTCGATCCCCGGGACCACCCATACGTAAAAATGTATGCGCACATGACTGTAAGTCGCTTTGGATAAAAGCGTCTGCTAAATGGCATATTATTATTATTATTGTTATTATTATTATCATTTGCTCACTGAAGCCGGTTACGACGCCGAACTGGTCAGGTCAAGACCCTGGTGAGGACGACAAGCACGTAGATGAGCTTCCCGGGGACGGTTTCTGACAATTTGTGCAGAAATGATTTGGTTGTGCAAACCCCTAGTTTCCTCAGCTGTCCAGGTGGCTGGTCTCAGACGATCCTGCAGGTGAAGAAGCCGGAATGTGGAGGTCCTGGGCTGGCGTGGTTACACAGTCTGCGGTTGTGAGGCCGGTTGGACGTACTGCCAAATTCTCTAAAACGACGTTGGCGGCAGCTTATGGGAGATAAATAAACATTCAATTATCTGGCAACAGCACTGGGGGACATTCCTACAAACTTGAGACATCTGTGGCATTGTCTTGTGTGACAAAACTACACATTTTAGAGTGGCCTTTTATTGTCCCCAGCACAAGGTGCACCTGTGAATTGATCATGCTGTTTAATCAGCTTCTTAATATGCCACACCTGTCAGTTGGATGGACTATCTTGGCAAAGTTGAAATGCTCACTAACAGGGATCTAAACACATTTGTGCACAACATTTAAGAGAAATAAGCTTTTTGTGCATATGGAACATTTCTGGGATCTTTTATTTCAGCTCATGAAACATGGGACCAACACATTACATGTTGTGTTTATATTTTTGTTCAGTGTGATATCCAAGCCTCGCCTGTGCGTTTATACACACGCACCAGAAGACAGCCAATCCATCATTGCTAAACGGCAGTATTTTAGATAAGGCTGACATTTAGATTGCTGCTGGTTTTCTCAATTACAACGGGTGTTGTTGCACGTGATAGGCAGGGAAAATGAGGTTGCAGACAGGGCCAGGAGTGTAAGTGCAAGTCAATCGGTCTCTGCAACATGCAGGCCACTTTGTCATTGTCTTTTTCAAGTAGGATCCCATCTTACCTCAGAATATTCCTATATATCTAGTGATTTTCGCTCACCTGCTTAGGAATAGAGGAAAATGGCGATAGATACCAGACTGCTGTGAGTCATAGCCATCTGCAGGACTGAATGGGAAATTATTGGACAATTCTGCAGATCTTATCATGATCTCGCAGATCATATAAATTATAAGGACATCCTTCAAAACAATCTCACAGCGACCAGACTGTTGTTGTTAGCGTTTAATGAGTCCCTCCCATCTGAACAGACATCATTCCATCAATTTACATGTATTGGCAGGCAAGCACTTTCAGGCAGTTTGTAAAGATGTAAGATTACATTAAAATAATATAAAACACACACACTCTCATTCAGACAGAAAAACATAAAAGACATTCACACATACTGTCCTTTCAGAAAGACAGACTAGACAACGTGCTCTCCTTGATCACATAGAAGTCAGTGTTTCTGCTAGATGGTGCTTGGTACTTGTTCCTTTAAGGCTTTCTGAATAATCATCAGCATCCTTTGGGAACATTTCCATGACTTTTGGCATACAAAAACAGATACACACTTAAGACATAAATAATTTGATTAACTTTAGAATCTCGAATTCTAAATGGATGGAGGGTGGGGAAGATACACTAACATCATGCAATTGGTACTGAATCACAAATAAAGGGCTGCAGGGCATACTCCCCTTGGGGATCTACATCAACAAAATGAGAATACATGAGAATATAATTACAGGTACATGCACAAGTTCAATCAGAAACAATGTTGGTCTCTCACACCTCCAACATCCCTGTCATCTGGGTAGAACTAGGCCTAGGGATAGTCTGCTGGGGTGCCACCTCTTCTGAAACAGCCCCCTCTCTCTGAGGCACATTGCATACAAGGGTTCATTTTAAGGGGGGGGGGGGGGGTAACTGGGGTACAATGTTGCAATTCATTCTGAGATTGCGAAAATTATTTTACTGTCCTTTGGCTAAATGGATTTCTACAATGAATCTCTATACCCCTGGCCCCCAAATCATTGCTGGACTCAACCATAACTATTCTGAATCTCCTGACAAGCTAGGAATACAATATCTCTCTCATATATATATATATATAGCTGTGGAAAAAATTAAGAGAACACTGCACATTTTTCTTAAATCAGCATCTCTACATGTATGACAGCCATTCCATTCCAGTGTCTGTTGAATTCCAACACAGGCACACCTCATTCTCCTGAATTAGGTACTGATTAGGTGATCACATGAACCAAATCTTATATAACGAGGAAAAGTATAAAAACCACTGCTGTGGTCATCACTATCCTCTTGCAATAGGACCAGCTGGATGGCAAAAACAGTACTAATAGTACCTCAAAAGTAATATTAATAAAAAAATAACTATTGACCATGCCAAAAGAGTTGAAAAGGAAAGTTTTGAGTGAGGAAAAGAAGGGTTCAATTCTGGCTTTACTGGCAGAGAGATACAGTGAGCGTCAGGTTGCTTCCATCCTTAAAATTTCAAAGACGGCGGTTCATAAGAACAAGGTCAAGCAGCAGACATTGGGGACAACAAAGCTACAGACCGGCAGAGGGCGAAAACGACTCTCTACTGACCGGGATGACCGCCAACTCATTCGAATGTCACTCAACAACCGTAGGATGACATCAAGTGACCTACAAAAAGAATGGCAAACGGCAGCTGGGGTGAAGTGCACGGCGAGGACGGTTCAAAACAGGCTCCTAGGGGCAGGGCTGAAGTCGTGCAAAGCTAGAAAAAAGCCCTTCATCAATGAGAAGCAAAGAAGAGCCAGGCTGAGGTTTGCAAAATACCATAAGGATTGGACCGTAGAGGACTGGAGTAAGGTCATCTTCTCTGATGAGTCCAATTTTCAGCTTTGCCCAACACCTGGTCGTCTAATGGTTAGACGGAGACCTGGAGAGGCCTACAAGCCACAGTGTCTCGCACCCACTGTGAAATTTGGTGGAGGATCGGTGATGATCTGGGGGTGCTTCAGCAAGGCTGGAATCGGGCAGATTTGTCTTTGTGAAGGACGCATGAATCAAGCCACGTACAAGGTTGTCCTGGAAGAAAACTTGCTTCCTTTTGCTCTGACATTGTTCCCCAACTCTGAGGATTGGATTTTTCCAGCAGGACAATGCGCCATGCCACACAGCCAGGTCAATCAAGGTGTGGATGGAGGACCACCAGATCAAGACCCTGTCATGGCCAGCCCAATCTCCAGACCTGAACCCCATTGAAAACTTTTGGAATGTGATCAAGAGGAAGATGGATGGTCACAAGCCATCAAACAAAGGCGAGCTGCTTGAACTTTGGCACCAGGAGTGGCATAAAGTCACCCAACATCAATGTGAAAGACTGGTGGAGAGCATGCCAAGACGCATGAAAGCTGTGATTGAAAACCATGGTAATTCCACCAAATATTGATTTCTGAACTCTTCCTAAGATAAAACATTAGTATTGTGTTGTTTAAAAATGAACATAAACTTATTTTCTTTGCATTTTTCGAGGTCTGACAACTTTGTTATTTTGACCAGTTGTCATTTTCTGCAAATAAATGCTCTAAATGACAATATTTTTATTTGGAATTTGGGAGAAATGTTGTCAGTAGTTTATAGAATAAAACAAAAATGTTATTTTTACCCAAACACATACCTATAAATAGTAAAACCAGAGAAACTGATAATTTTGCAGTGGTCTCTTAATTTTTTCCACAGCTGTGTGGTTCTTTCTAGAAACTTCATATGGAGAAAAGGAATACTGTATTCTATGTTGTGAACATACAACTTCGTTATATGACTAATATGCTTAAACAGTGCAACTGTACACCTGGAACGATACGTAAATGCGACAAGTCAAGAACATACGTCTGTTCTAGCGTACAACTACTGTACCCATCAGCACTGTAGACCAGGTCAAACCAAACCTCTGCAGCATCCCTAAAGACCTGGATCATATTTCAACATTATATTGCAGACAATGCCCACTGTTCAACCTAGGGTTGGTTGTCACCCTCTGTTCATCTTTACAGAATGTTACTTAAAACAAGGGGAAACCTGATACTGACTGATTATACTTACTCTACATATGCGTTCAGAAACTGCTACATGCGTATCAAGCGATCATGGTTTGAGATCACTCTTCCATAAATAGATACCTAATCAATGGAATCAAATGCAACATTACAGCCACAACCTGTGCCACGATCAGATGCAATAAATACTCAAGAAAACAATGTAATACTCCACATTATAAAAAACACATTAACAACCACAACCAAAAGACCGAACAGACATTTAGACAGACGATTGTTGCACTTACTTTGTTTTTGATCATGGTCGTCTCTTTCACATTAAAGCCATCTCAATACAATGGACCAGCTCTGCCTGAGTGTGTTGGTCTCAATCACTCTATTCACAGTGAGACACAATAGTCCAAATCCTCCAGCCATGAGGCCAGTGGACAGAAAAAAGGACAGCTGGATGTTTTATGGTCAGTGTGAGCTCAGTGGTATTGCTATACAGTACCGTAACACACATTCACACCTACAGACACACATACACTCTCACACACACTCTCAAAGACATGCTAACAGTGGAGAACGGTTAGTTACATTGGGCTACCACAGGTGTGTCTCCCGGATCTCCGAGATGATGTTGCTGGCTTTTTGGAGAGCCTGAGGAAGGAGAAAATGGAAGAAAAGAGAGCGATAAGGATACCGGTGTTAAATGGAGAAACAGAAAGTACAACACAAAGTTCATCAGAGTCTACACCCAGTAAGAGTAGGGGTACCAGTAGAACTCGTACCTCCAGCATCTGGGCCACCTCTGTCCTCTGTTGTGCTGTGTCTTGGGACTCGATGAGCAGCCCCTGCAGCAGGTTCTGTTTGTACAGCTGGCCCACCAGCTCACTCTGCAGACGCTCCTTCACAAAGTTCACCAGGAAGTGCATCACCGTCTTGGGCACACTGCAGAAACACAGGTCACAAGACACACAGTTAGCTAGGCCAGAGAAGGCTCAACTCACCACTAACTGCATACCCAAATAACAACACCCCTAGAGCTCTGGTCTCTGACCTGTCCTGAATGCTCTTGCGGACGATGAGGAAGTAGCATTTGATGAGGCGTTGGATGACCTCACAGTCTCTCTGCTCCCGGGCACTCAGCTTGCGGGACACCGGCACTGCCTGGCAAACAGAGCAGGGGTCAGATGTTACAATCTGTCACAGATCTAATCAGATACAGTGCTGCGCTACAGGGTAGTGCTTGGTCAGTTCTGACTGCTGATTCCACTACTCACTGTGTCCAGGAGGTTGATGGCCTGGCCCTTAACAGGGCTGCTGAAACCTGCCACTGGTGCCTTCTCCTCTGCAACTTTCTCATTCTTCCAGTGTTTATCTCCATCCTGCATGCCCTAAAATAGGTGAAATGAGGGGGTCAATTCAATTGAGTTGTTCTGGTATCGTGTTAAAGTCACAACTGGCTTATTGAAATTCCTCAAAAGTGTGATGTCCATACTGGCATGAGAAGACAGCATCAGACTCTAGAACCCTCTGGTCAACATTAGGCTCATCTACATGCATGAAAGCAGAGCATGTGCTTTGAGTTGAGACTGAATTACCTGTTGACTGTTGACAGATGCTGAGACCTGAGCAGCATCGGTGAAGTCTGGGTGCTTTGTGTTGATGTAAGCGAGCTCAATTTGAACCAAGTTGTGGACCTGAAACAGATAGGTGCTCAGAATCATCCACGAACACAGACAGGCTGCCAGTAAGGAATAGCACTAAATTGTAAAATAATTATATTCAGGATTGTTTTGTACAAAAAAATGAACTGAAAATGTAAATTCACAAAAACAAATTGTCTTACCATGTCATTAGTAATGGGCAAGCGCTTCCTGAGTAAACTAGTTACCACCTCCACAATGGAGTCGTGCAGCTTAGGAAACCGAAGGAGCTCCTGACAAACACACAGCATGTCAGGATACATACAGAGACACTATTATATTACAATTTGATTCAGGGTTGTCAAACATACGAAGTGTATGCTTTGTAGTATGTGTTGTGCAGTGTGTAGCATACCTGTGTGCTGTAGGAGGAGCAGTGCTGGATGATCCTCTGCAGCTCCTCGTGGACCAGCTCCACACAGCGCAGACTGGGCTCCTCCAGACGCTTGATCTGCCTCTTCACCAGCAGCTCAAAGGAGATCTCAGGTACAAAGAGGGCCGGCCGTGGACCCTGCAGCACAGCACAACACACATCTCTATTAACATAACTCGTGATTCTCTACAGACATTAGCTTCATTGGAAAACTATTCAAAGACGTCTGTTTAACCTACACACAGACAATGCGATTGGAGCTGATGGTTATTACCGTAGCATTGCGGATTGCAGTGAGGATATCGAGCTCCGTCAAGCCCCCCAGGGGGTCGATAGACTGAAGAGTGCGGCCAAAGGTCTCATGGAATATGTAGCAGATCCGAGCCCCCCCGCAGCTGACAGGGGAGGACAGAGGAAGCAGAATCAGTGGCTGTATCCGAGGGTTGTCAACATCAAATGCAGTCAGCCAGACTGAGTCAATACTTGCTTCCCACTGCTTGAGGAAATCAATAAAATCAGTGAGCAGTACAAGAGCTATTGAAATGAACCTACAAAATATTAAATGCCAATACATGAACACCTACAAAATTACAATAACCGCCTGCCTAAGTGAAACGCATTCAGCAGAACAATAACCATTGTGTGGTGAGTTTTCTGTCACAAAATGTCTGCTATGCACCATCTAGGTGGTTGCTAAATATTTGGTGGTCAATGAGGAGTTGCTCCAATACAATATAAAATACTGAAAGATAACTGGTGCCTGGATAAAGTAGCCTAAAGTAGTTCAGAACTACTCACAGCTCAGATGTCTGGATGTGCGTGGCGGTGCCCTCGATGGTGTTGCAGTAGTCGCTGGCGAACTTGGTAACGATCTGTAGCAGGGTAGCGCTGTGGTCCTCTACAGGCTGGCCGTAGCTGCTGAGCCGGGCCTGGTACTGGGCACTCAACACCGTCACACGCCTCTTCAGCTCCGGCAAGCAGTCCCTGATGTGGTGCATGAGCAGGCGGCTCAGGGTGCGGGCCAGGTAGCGGGAGCCGCAGCGGGAGGCCAGAGATGGGTAGTGGCGCTGGAGGAAGGCCTGCTCGTCCCGTGCCGTGTCCTCTATGCTCTTCTGGGTGTTGATGTCATGCTGGCTCCTAGCAGGGAGAGACATGGAGGATGACAGCTGGAGTTACAGAAGACTCCACAGTGGCTCTGCATGATCAGATGGTCACCAGCTCCAGCATAGCAGGAAATTATACACCCAAATAGGATGCAGGAGGTTACTGTAGCCGTTTCCTTAAAACTAATCTTTAGCACTCTGGAGGAATGTGCTAGGCTGAGGCCCCTATTGACTTCAGACAGCCTTCCCTGGTGGTTGCTATGATTACTAGTGTGAGCTGTCGGTTGAACTAGATTGTCTCTGCTCAGTGAAATGACTTCTGAAAATTACTAATCATTTCAGCCTCGGAGGGGCATATATATCGTTTTTTTTGCAATTCTGCACCCTTGGCGAAAAATCACTCACATAACTCATACATCAGCCCTGTGCTGGAGCACAATGAGTAAGACATTGCACACATTATTTCAGCAGGATGTGTGAGAACGATCTCAAAGTGGGGAGAGATAAAGCTCTAATTGCTGAATGATTGTTTGGCGGATGCAAACAAATTGAGCTGGTGAATAGCAGGGACATCGGAATATTTGTTGTTTATATTTATAAGGTCTCTGAGGGTACTTGAGTTAATTTAACGACCATAATGATTCAGATCCTTTATACTCAAATCAGATGTGATACATTGGTCTAATTATGCCATCTTTCACTGCTATGGGGCTTCATCTTTTTAAGCACCGAGGTGACATCATCCAGTAAGAATTAGGTAAATATGTTAGATATGTTATAGCCATATGGACAAACCTGTTGACCACTCCCACAATTCCGAGCCGCACTGGAATGACCCGACCCAGCAAGACCTCCAAAGCATCTGTCCCTGCATCCATCAGGTCCAGCTTACTGACCACCAGCAGTGTTCTGCGGCCTGCAAGACACAACAGCTGGGTAAAGACACACCCCTTTTTGTCCATGGCTCTTTCTATATATACACACACAATAACAGCACTTGAATGGCACATTTCATTATGTAATCTAAAATGTTTTGTGTATATAGATCAAACCTAGAAAGTAACATTGACCATGTTTATTGACATTTAACACATGTATATCAATGAACAAACAGGGTATCTGCAGGTTCCATGAAGTTTAATTACATTTTTAATGCCACTTGGAATGCAAATTATTTCAAATTTGAAATATGCTTGCACCACACACCTGCTAATATTCCTCTCCAGAAATGAGCCCATGTTGGCAAAAAGTAGTATTTTTAGGGCTGGTTCTTTCACCAAAGGCTATATCCTACATGGCTCATATTATCAAGCAGGTGTGCTATTTTAGCAATGAGCATTCTCCTGTAGCCTAACGGATGTAATAGCATAGCGGCTAGGCAATAGATGGCTGAAGCATGGGGTTGCCCATCTGCATTTGTTTAGGATACCCCAATGACATAATTAGCTAGATCACAAACTCTAAGTGTTTAGAATTTTGCCTTTGATACCAATACCAGATTAGTATAGTGATACTCAATACCATAATGATACCACTGTGAAAAAATGCCTTAAAGTTAAATATACAGAACCGTTACTGTATAAAACACGTGGTCAACTCTCCAGCTGGGGAGCTAGGGCAATAGGTGAGCAGGCTTTTGATCCAGCACTGCTCAAACACACAGTCAGCTTAACAAGGTCCTGTTGAGCAGTTGATTTGTAAAGTCTGGTGTGTTAAGAGTAGGGCTGGAACAAAAGTCTACACATCCAGTAGCTCTCTTGGAGGTATTATGCTATAACATTAGAACATTAGCCTACAACCAAAAAGTCTAAGAAAAGAATTCCCCTTTTCAGTGAATCAGGTATCAAATGGCTATACTTACGAGCAAGGTAGCTAAGCAAGAGGGCTCTAGAACTGACAGTGCCATGTAAGACGTGAAAGAAGTTAGCTATTTCATCTAACATGTTCAGGGAATGCATAATGAATATATTGATGTGCAACATGCCAAAATAGAATCCAGAATAATCAGATATCTTTTTGGATCTTTCGAGATTAATTTGCCTGCATGTTTTTTGTGCATATTGTCCAAGGCCCTAGGCCAGGGTTCTTCAATTCCCGGCCTGGAGGGCCGAAACACCTCTGTTTTTCCATCCTCTCCTTCTAATCAGGGGCTAATTCAGACCTGGGACACCAGGTGAGTGCAATTAACTACCAGGTAGAAATAAAAAACAGAAGTGTTTCGGCCTTCTAGGACCGGAATTGAAGAACCCTGCCCTAGGCTATGCTACATAATTTACCGCCGCAGGAAGTAGGAACTCAAAAAACCTTAGCTAGATTGCTAACTCTAAATATGATATTGTTGCTAGATTGCCATACAATGGATTTAACAGTACATTTTATGTCCTACAAAAACATTACATTGTGTGCCTACAGTGGGGAGAACAAGTATTTGATACACTGCCGATTTTGCAGGTTTTCCTACTTACAAAGCATGTAGAGGTCTGTAATTTTTATCATAGGTACACTTCAACTGTAAGAGACGGAATCTAAAACAAAAATCTAGAAAATCACATTGTATGATTTTTAAGTAATTAATTTGCATTTTATTGCATGACATAAGTATTTGATACATCAGAAAAGCAGAATTTAATATTTGGTACAGAAACCTTTGTTTGCAATTACAGAGATCATACGTTTCCTGTAGGTCTTGACCAGGTTTGCACACACTACAGCAGGGATTTTGGCCCACTCCTCCATACAGACCTTCTCCAGATCCTTCAGGTTTCGGGGCTGTCGCTGGGCAATACGGACTTTCAGCTCCCTCCAAAGACTTTCTATTGGGTTCAGGTTTGGAGACTGGCTAGGCCACTCCAGGACCTTGAGATGCTTCTTACGGAGCAACTCCTTAGTTGCCCTGGCTGTGTGTTTCGGGTCGTTGTCATGCTGGAAGACCCAGCCACCTTGCGTGCGCTGCAGGATTTTAATCCATGACGGCGTAGTGTGCTACTAATGGTTTTCTTTGAGAATGTGGTCCCAGCTCTCTTCAGGTCATTGACCAGGTCCTGCCGTGTAGTTCTGGGCTGATCCCTCACCTTCCTCATGATCATTGATGCCCCACGAGGTGATATCTTGCATGGAGCCCCAGACCGAGGGTGATTGACCGTCATCTTGAACTTCTTCCATTTTCTAATAATTGCGCCAACAGTTGTTGCCTTCTCACCAAGCTGCTTGCCTATTGTCCTGTAGCCCATCCCAGCCTTACACAGCTCTCTGGTCTTGGCCATTGTGGAGAGGTTGGAGTCTGTTTGATTGAGTGTGTGGACAGGTGTCTTTTATACAGGTAACGAGTTCAAACAGGTGCAGTTAATACAGGTAAATGAGTGGAGAATAGGAGGGCTTCTTAAAGAAAAACTAACAGGTCTGTGAGAGCCGGAATTCTTCCTGGTTGGTAGGTGATCAAATACTTATGTCATGCAATAAAATGCAAATTAATTACTTAAAAATCATACAATGTGATTTTCTGGATTTTTGTTTTAGATTCCGTCTCTCACAGTTGAAGTGTACCTATGATAAAAAATTACAGACCTCTACATGCTTTGTAAGTAGGAAAACCTGCAAAATCGGCAGTGTATCAAATACTTGTTCTCCCCACTGTATATAGGCTACTTGATGTATTAACCGCAAATGGCGCTCTCCGCTCCGTTCTGCATCATCTCAATTACATAACCTACTCCGTTTGTAAAGTGGTGTTATTTCCTCTATATTGACAGTTAAGAAATAATTGTTATACTCTCAAAGCTGAGACTCCACGTTTTTAACAACATTAACAGTTTTAAAAACTGTCTTTCCCACAATTACATTTTAGAAATGTTGCTCAACTGTCAGTATGCTTGCACTTATCAGAATGCATCTTTCCCTTCACTCCGTGCGCAAAGTGGAGGGAGGGAGTGAGAACCAGCAGCGAAACAGGGACAGGGCAGATACTTTCATTGCAGGAAGCAGGTTAATGCACATTACTGTTGACTAAATAATGGTTTTAGAACCAAAACATCTGCAGGAACGTTGTGTAGCCTAATCACTGAAATTACCGACGTAAGCCAAATTGCGTCGGTAGGAGAAGGGCAATGTCGGTGTCTGTTTATTGTCCCAGCTCTAGTTAGTGTTGTCTCTCAAATTGTATAGGCTACCTTGCGCTTTCCTCCCTCTCCTCTGGCAACCACCCGACTCACGCTGGCACACGCACATAACGTTCACACACAGAGGCGCACATGTGGTTGGAAAGCTCTGGAAAGTGCGCCTTGACTATTATTTGATGTAAAAAATAAATAAATTAAGCAACGACACAATATCACAGAAACACTGTAGTAAACTTTTAAGACCTTTGAAAACAGAACTAAGGCATTTAAAATCAGATAAATGAATTTAAGACTTTTTAAGGACCCGCGGACACCCTGAAAAATACATCCAGTGCATTCGGAAAGTATTCAGACCCCTTGACTTTTTCCACATTTTGTTACATTACAGCCTTATTCTAAAATTTATTAAAATAGTATTTTTTCCCTCAATCTGCACACAATACCGCAATAATGACAATGCAAAAACAGGTTTAGAAATGTTTACTAATTTATTACAAATTAAAAACTGAAATATGACATTTACATAAGTATTCAGACCCTTTTCTCAGTACTTTGTTGAAGCACCTTTGGCAGCGATTACAGCCTCCCGTCTTCTTGGGTATGACCCTACAAGCTTGGCACACCTGTATTTGGGAAGTTTCTCCCATTCTTCTCTGCAGATCCTTTCAAGCTCTGTCAGGTTGGATGGGGAGCGTCGCTGCACAGCTATTTTCAGGTCTCTCCAGAGATGTTCGATCGGGTTCATGTCCGGGCTCTGGCTGGGTCACTCAAGGACATTCAGAGACTTGTCCCGAAGCCACTCCTGCATTGTCTTGGCTGTGTGCTTAGGGTCGTTGTCCTGTTGGAAGGTGAACCTTCGCCCCAGTTTGAGGTCCTGAGCACTCTGACGCAGGTTTTTAATCAAGGATTTCTTTGTACTTTGCTCTGTTCATCTTTCCCTCGATCCTGACTAGTCTCCCAGTCCCTGCCGCTGAAAAACATCCCTACAGAATGATGCTGCCAACACCTTCACCGTAGGCATGGTGCCAGGTTTCCTCCAGACGTGACGCTTGGCATTCAGGCCAAAGAGTTCAATCTTGGTTTTATGAGACCAGACAATCTGGTTTCTCATGGTCAGAGTGCTTTAGGTGCCTTTTGGCAAACTCCAAGCGGGCTGTCATGTGCCTTTTACTGAGGAGTGGCATCCGTCTGGCCACTCTACCATAAAGGCCTGATTGGTGGAGTGCTGCAGAGATGGTTGTCCTTCTGGAAGGTTCTCCCATCTCCACAGAGGAACTCTAGAGCTGTTAGAGTGACCATCAGATTCTTGGTCACCTCTCTGACCAAGGCCCTTCACCCCCGATTGCTCAGTTTGGCCGGGCAGCCAGCTCTAGGTAGAGTCTTGGTGGTTCCAAACTTGTTCCATTTAAGAATGATGGAGGCCACTGTGTTCTTGGGGACCTTCAATGCTGCAGAAATGTGTTGGTACCCTTCCCCAGATCTGTGCCTCGACACAATCCTGTCTCTGAGCTCTACGGACAATTCCTTCGACCTCATGGCTTGGTTTTTGCAACTGTGGGACCTTATATAGACAGGTGTGTGCCTTTCCAAATCATGTCCAATCAATTGAATTTACCACAGGTGGACTCCAATCAAGTTGTAGAAACATCTCAAGGATGATCTAAAATGTAACGATCAATGGAAACAGGATGCACCTAAGCTCAATTTCGAGGCTCATAGCAAAGAATCTGAATACTTATGTAAATAAGGTATTTCTGTTTTTTTAAATAAATTTGCAAACATTTTTAAAAAACCTATTTTCGCCTCGTCGTTATGGGGTATTGTGTGTAGATTGATGCAGGAAAACATGTATTTAATCAATTTTAGAATAAAGCTGTAACGTAACAAAATGTGGAAAAGGTCAAGGGGTCTGAATACTTTCCGAATGCACTGTATACACTGAAAAGACATGCAGTGAAATATGAAGGAGCATAAGTGTACAGTATGCCTCACCATCTGGGTCAACCTCACGGGCCAGTTTGAGGGCATCAGAGGTGGCCAAGTCAGAGTTGGCAGGAGACACTGAGAGGATAAGGGAGTTGGGGTTGGAGATGAAGGATAGGATCATCTCTTGGACTTGAGCTTCTATGTCCTCTGGCTGGTCTCCAACCGGAACCTAGTAATATAATATAATAATAATATATAAATATAATATGCCATTTAGCAGACGCTTTTATCCAAAGCGACTTACAGTCATGCGTGCATACATTTATACACATTTATTTTCAATGAGTAATGGTATTAATTTTACCATGAGGAACACCATAGTTGTTCATTTTCAAGTTAGTGGGATTAACACACTGGTTGGGTTTACCTTGGTTATTCCTGGCAAGTCAACCAGTGTGAGATTGAGGACATGAGGAGAGAAAATCTTCAAATAGATGGGCTCAGGGCTGATTCCCTATAGGCCACGAGAGAGAAGCAGATAAAGTAAATCAGTAACTCATAAACTGGAGATAAGCCATGTTTATCTACAACAATGTATACATACCTTGTTGCCGCCTGAGCTACGCTCAGTCTCTTCTTCAATCTCCTTGCGAATCTCCAGGAAATCTGTGAAAATCTATAATGCAAACACAGATGGGATACTGAAATATCGACTTCACCAACACCACTAGCACCATGACGTTAGGAGATACAGTACCAAGTCTCTCAGACAATGTAATGCCCTACTGCAAATATGAAATACTCAATGTGCAGTGCATAACAATAAAATTGATTTGTGCATAGCGTAGACGTTGCCACATACCTGGTTCTTGCTATGGAGGAACGTGCCCCATTCATCAGCCTTGATCCCTTGACAAAATATAAAAGATTGAGTGTAAAATAATATGCAAACAGAAAGGAAATATTCGTATCACATAAAAAACAGACTTTGATGGGGTTTATCAGTATAGAAGACAAAATATGACAGAGACAAAGAGTTTGTAAGTTGATGTGATGATTAGACAGAGGAAATGAAAGACGATGAGGATGATAAGACGATATTAAGATGAATGACAACGCAACAGGTCCATGCAGATAAACTATGGAAGTAAAGACCTGGGTAGCTGTTTGCATTTTGTTTTACCCCATTTCCTGAGAAAAGTGAAGAAGAAGGGATGGTAAATATCATGTTAGAAAAGAGAGAAAATCTCAAAGACCACTTGGGCTTTATCCAATGAGTGAAATTACATGAATGTGAGCTAATATTGAAATTCATTGAGTAAATGTCGACTGCACTGGCTTTGATTTGTTTCAGTGTGTCCAGTGTATCAGCGAGAAGCAACATGAGGCAGCTTTTAAAGTGACAATCACATCTGTTTCTGTGTCAAGTCCATACCATTTTCTTGCAGCCTCCTCTCTGCCAATGGGGGCACATTCACCAGCTGCAACACTAGGGGTCGCCGTGTGACTATGCCTGATCCCCGGGGCAGAAAATCCTTTCCAACCAGGCTCTCCAACACAGAACTCTTGCCGCTGCTCTGTCATGGGAAGAGATGAGATCGATTTTAGAAAGGCTTTTCAACACTTAGCTACATGAATGATTCATTGCTATTATTTATACTTTGATATGTTCATTTCAACAATGACACAATTCCCCAGTGTAACAGGTAACAACAGTTGATTCTTGCATTTTGATTCTGTACTGACCTGCGAGCCAACCACCACTATCTGAGGCAGCTGGATGATCTCTGCCCCCACTGTCAGGAAGACTTCCTGGAGCCGGTTGATGATGGGAATAAGAGTCTCCATTTCTTAGGGCTGTACACTACAGTTGGCAAAAGAAAGTGAAAGAAGCAATGGTGAGATTATAAACATATGGTACACAGGAGTCTCCTTAATCCTCTACAAAGGCAAAAACAAGAGACCTCTTGCAGATGGATAAGAATGTGTAACGTTAGCAAGCAATAAAAATAAACTACACAATAGCTTAACAGTAGTGTTTGTTGTTGTGATTCATAAGCTCTCGTGATGATAACCAACATTACATAAGAAAGGCCCACGGGTGGTCATGTGGAAGGGAGAGGGAAGGGATTCAGGCCCTACTGAGAGACAAAACTGGAATCGTTTGATTTGAGGTTGATCGCTGATAAGTGGGCAAAGTCCAAGATAGGTCTGGCTAGCTTTGAATATAGCATATCTAGCTAGCTAGCCAGCTAACGTTAGTTAACCCAGTTTGCTTATGACCCCCCCCCTAATTTCGCAAACTAGCCAGACATTTAGCATTGTCAAGTCTGCATATCTATCGGTATGCAAAATGATTTGGCTATTTTTTACATTGTTATGAAGGGGAACAAACGGAGATGTTGCTGGACTTCCTAGTTTAGCCGATTAAGGCCAAGATGTTCTGATGAGGAAGCAGGGAAAGGGAAAGTGGCTAACGCTTTAGATTTTTCCTTACCGGAGAACACGGTGAATATTATCCTCTCAATCCAACAAGACCGTGCTCACTTCATACTGCAATGATAGCTAGCTACAGTAACTGAAGTTCTGTATTATCTACAACTCAGCGTTATCTGTATTTTAAGCGAATACAAACCGGGTTGTATTCAAGGCTGTCATTGAAAATTCGGTGTTCTTCGCGTCATTTTAAAAAGAGGTGATTGGTCACACAACGTTTTTCGTATATTATACTGTTAGCTGATTGGTTTAAATACAGTCTGTCATCATTTTGACAACGCCCTACACACGCAACTCCCTCCTCTTTTTCCAAGTGTCACCACACGTTTTTATTTATTTTTAAAAATAAAAAAATATATAACAAAAAACATTTGTCTGTAAATATTCCAACTACGGTCCAAATATATATGCCCCCATTCTCATCGACGGGGCTGTAGTGGAACAGGTTGAGAGCTTCAAGTTCCTTGGTGTCCACATCACCAACGAACTATCATGGTCCAAACACACCAAGACAGTCGTGAAGAGGGCACGACAAAGCCTATTCCCCCTCAGGAGACTAAAAAGATTTGGCATGGGTCCTCAGATCCTCAAAAAATTCTACAGCTGCACCATCGAGAGCATCCTGACTGGTTGCATCACCGCCTGGTATGGCAACTGCTTGGCCTCTGACCGCAAGGCACTACAGAGGGTAGTGCGTACGGCCCAGTACATCACTGGGGCAAAGCTCCCTGCCATCCAGGACCTCTATACCAGGCGGTGTCAGAGGAAGGCCCTCAAAATTGTCACCGGAGTGCCAAGTCTAGGTCCAAAAGACTTCTCAACAGCTTCTACCCCCAAGCCATAAGACTCCTGAACAGCTAATCATGGCTACCCGGACTATTTGCACTGCCCCCCCACCCCATCCTTTTTACGCTGCTGCTACTCTGTTCATTATTTATGCATAGTCACTTTAACTCTACCCACATGTACATATTACCTCAACTACCTCAACTAGCCGGTGCCCCCGCACATTGACTCTGCAACGGTACCCCCCTGTATATATAGCCTCCCTACTGTCACTTTATTTTACTGTATATATAGCCTCCCTACTGTCACTTTATTTTACTTCTGCTCTTTTTTTTCTCAACACTTTTTTTGTTGTTGTTTTACTCTTACTTTTTTTGTTTAAAATAAATGCACTGTTGGTTAAGGGCTGTAAGTAAGCATTTCACTGTAATGTCTGCACCTGTTGTATTCGGCGCATGTGACCAATAAAATTTGATTTGATTTGATTTGATATATATATAAAAAAGTATAAGTACACTTAACGTCAGCCCCTTGTGACTGGAACCCAAATGCGTGTTCACGAGAGTCAGCATGCCACAAAACGTGTGCAAATTTGCTTCGTGGAAGTCCAATCCAGCTCCGTTACAGATCAGATAATCACAGCATACTGCCCGGACCGACTCGTGAACAAGCCGCACACCTTCTGATTAAAAACAGCAGAGGGTTGTATGTCTAGACAAGATAGACAAACCTAGTCTGATAGACAATACCAATTTTAATCAACGTAGTTAGTTAATGAGAATTATTCAAGAGAACAACAGTTTCCCCTCTGCATCTGTCTAACGCAAAGTAAAAGGTAAACGATTTGATTTTCCCTAAAAGCTAGCCAGCTAGCCAACGTTAGCTAACTGTTAGTTAGCTAATATGTGTCAGGTCATGTGGAAATTGAATAGTTAGCAAAAATCTGGGTTACCACGATTGGTCTCTTCTGTAAATCATGATTCATGGTCAAAGCCCGTCACACATTGGAACCCAAACATCCTGCATTGATGCTGCTCTGATAACGGATAACAGCAAAGATTTTGTATAACTAACCCAAGATGGACCACAGCCTTTCATTTCCAATGGAACAAATGCATCATAGTGGGCGGAACAAGCAAGGAGGTGTCATAGCCAAGCACGAGCTAGCGAGATCCTATTGGCGGGTTCTAGCATATATTTGCATATTTCAATTAGGGAACGAGTACGCTGTGGATTTCGGGTGTGCAATAACTAAATTCGCCCTTACACTCCTAAAGAAAGCAATTTTTTGAAACTTTGGCAAAGGATAAAGTCTACAAATACTTCAAATAACGCCAACCAGATACTTCAGATGTATACATCTGGTGAAACATCTGGCTCATTGTTCTATCTGTGGTAACCGTGACCTAATCCTAACTGATGCACTGAAATTGCTTACCCATATTCTCTCATCAGCAAATATGACGTCTCGGAAGAAGGTTCTACTCAAGGTGATCATCCTTGGAGACTCAGGGTAAGTAGAACATTTGCAGTGTGAAACCTGTTCATTCCAAATTGTCCTTCCCACACATCGCATCCTTCATGTACATTGGGTTCCCCTCATTTTTGGGTAAAGGTGCCTAAAGATGCTTTTATCTAATTTTGTCCCTGCCTGTTTGCTCATCACTCTCCTCTCTATCTCCACACTGACAGAGTTGGGAAGACCTCTCTCATGAACCAATATGTGAATAAGAAGTTCAGCAATCAGTATAAGGCCACAATCGGTGCTGACTTTCTTACCAAAGAGGTGACGGTGGATGACAGGCTTGTGACAATGCAGGTAATGGACTCATCTCTATCCTTGACCATGCACATCTTCCATAACCCCTCCTCTGTATTGTGTCCCAATACCATAAGTCTAAGCCTAATATAAATGTATACAACTAAACATTTTAGTCAAACCTTTCTCTATGTAACATGGTCCCTTTGGATATGTATTGAGGTGCATGTAGTGGTGAGTTCAGTTGTGAATTTCATCCTTTCTACTAGATCTGGGACACTGCAGGGCAGGAGAGATTCCAGTCATTGGGCGTTGCTTTCTATCGAGGTGCAGACTGTTGTGTCCTTGTGTACGATGTTACTGCTCCAAACACCTTCAAGACTCTTGACAGCTGGCGCGATGAGTTCCTGATTCAAGCCAGCCCCCGTGACCCAGATAACTTTCCCTTTGTTGTGCTCGGCAACAAGATTGACTTGGAGAACAGGCAGGTCTGTGCATATGCCCAAATATGTGAATTATATGAAGTTGTGCCATCAAATCAAATGTTATTTGTCACATGTGCAGAATACAACCGGTGTAGATTTTTTACCATGAAGTGCTTACTTAAGAGCCCTTTCCCAACAATATAGAGTTAAAAAGTAAAAAAATGTGCAAAAAATAAATAGTAACAATAAAATATGAATAACCAGACTATATACAAGGAGTACCGGTACTGAGTCAATGTGCAGGGGTACAAGGTAGATGAGGTAATATGTACATGTGTAGCCTCAGATAGTTTTTTGTTTGCTGTGTGAAATGTCATTTGTTAATATGAATATTATATTACTGACCAGGTGACGACCAAGCGAGCCCAGGCGTGGTGTACGAGTAAGGCCAGTATCCCATATTTCGAGACAAGTGCAAAGGAGGCCATCAACGTTGATCAAGCCTTCCAAACTATTTGCCGAAATGCTCTCAAACAGGTAGGCCTATGCTGATTGAATTTGGATCATGTTAAACTCATGACGCAGCTTTCACACTTTAAGAACAATTTATTGATGCAGATACAAGCATGCATTCACTTTGGAACTTTTTTGAAGGCATTAACCTGCCATGTTTTCCTGTCCTCATTATTAGGAGTCAGAAGTGGAGACTTATGATTTCCCAGATCAGATCAAACTGAGGGATGACAGACCAGCCTCCTCCAGTGATGGCTGCAGCTGCTGAGGAAGGGAGGAAACATGACAGATATACACATTGTTTGATTGAAGGGGGGATTACAAGAATGTACATTCGTACCATTTTGTCTTCACATATGCAAGATCTCAGACGAAAAATGCAAAATCATCCCCCCTACCCCCCGTTTTTCTCTTTGAAGTTCATGTGGCAGGAACTGAAACATCAGTTACATCAATATCAGTATTTTCTCCAAGACAACGTGCTTTGTATTTGTCAAACATTTAGTTTTTGATACTCTCATCAGTCCTGCAATAATGTATGTTATGTCGGGGAGACATCCGATGTATTCTCCCTTATCAACGTGCCTTCCATTTCCTTGTGGTCTCTGTGCTAGCTCATTGTGTTTGTTGTCATGGTAGTCATAACTATAATGGTTCCTCTTTAAAGAACTTGGTGTCACATTTATCTGCACTACTATTGTATTTCCTCTTCAAGGTGAAGAATTATGTACAGCATATTTGCATGAACAGTGGAGAAGAAATGGTAGACAGTTTTAAGCTGCTGATCTGAAATGATGTAAATTGTACAAATGGGACTCAAGTGTGATCATGTGTGTGTGTGTGTGTGGGGAGAGAGGAAACAAAGCTATCACTAGTAAATCCAATATGATCAGCAGTGTATGCTTTCTAATATGGATAATGCACCAGAGGCAAATTCCTGTTATCATATTGATTGTTCCAAACTGGACATCTTGTTTGATGGGAGTTGAAATAGCTTTTCCCAGTTTAAGATGTTACACTTGCAGGCCAAAGCACATCCTGCTATCATAGATAAGGCAGCATCTCTCTCTCACACATGCAATCTGACCTCTTATGTTATTTTTTTACCTTTGTATAATATATATATATAAATACAACTATATGAACGTCCACATCAATTTTATATAAAAATTGTTATGGTTGTTGTAAGTAGTAGTTGAATAGAGTCCCTATATCTTAATATAAATGGTTAAATATAATAAAAAGGTACAATTATGACTAAATACTATTTGAGGTAGATTATGCTATATTCAGTGTTTTATTTTATGCTAGGCGCCTAAGCCTATTGAGTACTTGAAATGAAGGTAAAAACAGTCAAAACCTTAATTTTTTTAATGCTTGTATAAACACAATATATACAAATCATACAATGACTGCATTGATCAACATTAACCAGAACTCACCTTCTTACAGATAGTGTTTTCTGTAAACTATCATTCATTTCCAACACATTGCTTATAAATAAGAACTTCCATAATTACTCAGTGTCCTCTTGTAACGTGACGTAGCAGCCACAGATAACTTTAGACCAACAGTCAAAAGCTATTGGCTCTCGTTTCAGTCTGATTTGATCAAGTGAAAATATCCTATTAATTGTACAGGAATGTCTGGAGAAAACAAAGAAAACAATCATTAAGACAGGCTGTGATCTGAAAGCTTTGCAGCTACACTATAGTCAACATTTCATGTTATCCCTGTACAATTAAACCTTTATCAGGCTGACAAGGGATTCTCAGCATGAAAGTACATTTACACCATCTCCCCTGCCATGCTCTTTTAAAATTGACCCACTGCTCCTCTGAATCGCCAGAATACCGTCAAGTCAGACAGGCAGGCTTTCAATCCATGTAGGATGTGTCCATGCCCTCACTGTCTGGGTGAAGCAGTCGCCCGGCCAGGCGCTCAATATCATCCAGACTGAGTTGCCGAAGTGAACGTTCATAATCCTTGTGGAAGAGAAAGCAGTGTTAATCGATAGCCTGAGAATGATAAAATCATTCATACAGTACAAAAGTAGTACCTGCAGTCTCAAGATGAGAACATTAAGTGAATTCTGTACTTCAGCGAAAGTATGTGGAGGGATAGTCTTACACACTTAATTGGTAATTATTGATGTAGTGTAGAAACTGAAGGCATTCAATGGGTGTGCATGCAAAGTAACTCATACTCTGAAATCAGAATAATGTACATTTCTTGAATGTGTTGTTTTGTTGGCGAGTATGATAAGATCTATGGATATGGACCAACAGCTACCTACTCTTGTTAATGGAAATACTGTCTGTACCTTGATTAACTGTTCTTGCACTTTAGCTGCATCTGCAGGGCTGAAGTGTTTCGCCAGGACAGTGGCCAGAGTCTGCCACACCCCACTGACTGCACAGCAACTGCTAGCCATCCCACTCCTCTCCCCTGCTGGACGAACCACCAAGTTTAACTTGGCCTCTGGCCCAATGGAATAATCACTCAATCTGTGTTCATCTGTAAGGAAAATGGACAAAGATGTGTATGGCTTTGTGATAGATGTACAGGTATGAATGTTATAAAGAATATTCAAGAATGCAGCGGGTCAATGTGTAACTTGGTAGATTCAGTGATGTCACATCCTCATGCACAGCTGCCGTACATCGACAACGCAAGGTTGTGTATGATTAGCTACAGTAGTTGGCCTCATAGGTACCTGCAAGGGCTTTCCCCTTGTAAAGCAATCGCTGCTGATTTGCAGGTATATTCAAACGTTCAGACACCAGTTCTTTCACCGTAGAGACTTTTTCATCTTCTGTGACCTGAAATTGTGACAGATAAAAAAACGGACATTTAATATTCTTGACAGTATTGATGTAATAGCGACAGCTCAATCACATTGCTATTGCTGAACAATTCCTCTTGACATACTGACCATATCTACAGCAGGCACATTCTCTTCCCTAGTTCTGGTTTGGTCTACTAAGATAGGACTAACGCCCTGAACCGCAGAGCCACTGCTACGAACATGAAAGCTAGCTAGCTAGCCGACTCTGCTTTTGTTGCTAGCTTCATTTCCTGTAGCTAAATAATCAAGTTACAGACATGCTGTGAACACCCTCTGTATCAAGACACTCAGTAACTAGCTACAACAAATAGACATTTCCTTTAAAATGTTAGCCCGTGATGCAGGAAAACAGCAGTAGCAGCTAGCTGACATAGCTAGCTACCGGCTCCGGTCTTCCTATTGCTCATAAATGCTTACCTCTACATTGCACTCCTTTCCTTGAAGTGGTTTTACAGTTAGAATCATTGTATTGACTGTGTAATTGAGAACAATTCAACGTTATGATAACAGGTGTGTTGTTTCTCCAAACAGCCCAAACCTTATCAGCAATCCATGTTCTAGTTACTTCCCAACTGCTTTTACTACGCAATATGCGCGTGCTGTGCGGAATATGGATTGACCAGTCAGGTCAGTAGATGCGGTACTTATTCTTCGATGAGGTTTAACGGCGGTTGGCAGCCAATAAATGTTGCACTATCGCCACCTACTACACTGGAGTATAACTCCCTTATACTTTGCTTTTTAAAAAAAAAAATACAACAAACACCCTAACTTTACATTTTAGTCATTTAGCAGACGCTCTTATCCAGAGCGACTTACAGTTAGTGAATACATATATATATATATTTTTTTATACTTGCCCCCCGTGGGAATCAAACCCACAACCCTGGCATTGCAAACGCCATGCTCTATCAACTGAGCTACATCCCTGCCGGCCATTCCCTCCCCTACCCTGGACGACGCTGGGCCAATTGTGCGCCGCCCATGAGTCTCCCGGTCGCGGCCGGCTGCGACAGAGCCTGGATTCGAACCAGGATCTCTAACATCAAATACTACACTCACAATTTTTTAAATAATAATAATAACTACCGTACTCCACTATTTAAATCTATTTATTCCTCCTTCAGGCCAACAGCCTGAAAGCATGGGACACCACCACGTAACACACCCTGTAACTCTTCTGATGTCAAGTCTCGCACACCCAAATACCTCTCTGCAGCTGCCACCACAACCTCTATTTTCTGCGATTTACGTTCCATCCCTGCAGTACAGTTGATAACCATTGCTATAAATGCCAAAAATCCAATCTTACTGAAACATATATCACTTGTTGGTTTATCCCTCTGTGCTGGTACATATCTACTACTCACACCACTCCTCTCAGGATTCCTCCCCCTTGACCCATCTTCCTCTAATTTCTTCACTGCCTCAGCATATGACAACTTCTGCACTGCTCTAACCCTGGAAACCTCAACCTGCCTCTCTCACACCGGACATTTCGGATCCCCTACAATTAACACATTCCACTACTTTCCCCAATGCTACACATTCATTTGTCTCATGCCCTTCTGCACACTTCTCACACCAAGGAACCCCCCTCCTACACACTGCTGCCACATGCCCATAAGCTTGACACCTGTAACAACGTAATGTATTCGGCACAAAAGCTCGCACCGGATAGCTTATATATCCTAACATCACTTTGTCGGGCAAAGAATCAACATCAAAACTCACGCCACCTCGTCTGCGTCGCACCAAATGACGAGCATCACAAACACTGGGAATCTTCCCCTTCAGTTGGTCAGCTTTCACATTTACTGCTACCCCAGTAATCACGCCTTTCAATGCGCCCTTTTCTTGAGAGCAAAACAATTCATATTTCTTGCCCCCATTCGTTTAACACGGAGCGCCTGCTCCCTCTGACCAGCAGAAACACAAACAATTATCACTAGACCACTTCTGGTTACCCTTACAGCACCCAACTCTGTTTTCACCCACGCTGAAACCACAAATGATTCAGCCAAAAGGCAAGTGTCCAGTTTTTCCAAAAACTCAATCCTACTGTCACAGACTCTTCTTTATCCTGACCCTCAGTGCAACCTCGGGCTCCGAGAACTTTACCACACCTACCACCTCCGATACTTCGCCCTCATTCACTTCAATTTCTCCTCCTGTCTTCAACTCACTCTGTTTACACTTTCTACCATTCTTCTTTACCAAACCATCTCCCTTTTTCCCACAATTTTTAACTGACTCAAGCTCACCCTCTTCCTCCCTCTCTCTCTTAGACCTCTTCTGCCTCTCCTTTTCTATCCATTCCTCCTCCGTATTCCAAGTATAACTCTCTTTATGATAGTACTGCACTTCTCCTGACATACATCTAGTTCTTGCCTTGTCTAGGGACAACATTTCTCCTCCGACTCCCCCTACTCTTCCAATTTCCCCCTACGTCCAATACGATACATTGTACTGATTTCTTTGTTATGTAGACCCTCAAACACTGAAGTCAAACATGTTTGTTTTCATGTGACGCACATCCTTTCCAAACCAGTAGATGCGGTAATCTGCAGCCCCGCTACTTATGGCCTGGAGAAATATAACTTAACGCTCTCAAATTCGTAGATGCAGGAATTGTGCATGATGATATTACAATTGTTTTAAACATTTTCATCATGCTTTTGATATGGAGAGCATATTACACAAATGAACATATTATTTGTTTATAACATTAGGCAACAACATTAGAAATGTTTGAACTTGCTCATCAAATTCTTCAGAAAAATTCCTTAGAGAGGAAGTGCCACAATGCCATATTGTAATATGATAACATGACATCCACAATTTTACCTACAAGTGCTCATATCTGTGGTCACCTGTCTGTTTTAGAAACTTTTGGAGAACACCCCCTTAATATTGAGCTGTCATGATAGAGTATACCTAATTACACTGGCCGTTTTAGAGCACTTTAACCCCGGGCGCATAGTAACCCGCGCATACAAGTCAATGGGGAAATACCTCTAATGACAGAGTTCCGCTACTTGAAGAGACTCATAGCTACTCCCAGCTTTTACTTGTTTATTTTTTGGGGGCGTTTACCTGCGTTTTGGGGAGAGGGGCTGACGCCCAGAGAGGGGGCCCGACCCGCGGTCGAGGACACCAGGGGATGCCACTACATCCAGCCAGTTGGAGGTGGGAGAGGGCCGGAAGGGCATAGCCGCGGGAAGTAGGGGTGCTGAGTGTGCTGCAGAACCCCCCCCCATTGAAGACAATAATCGCAACACCCTCACCTCCAAACTACTTCTTGCGGCTATGCGGAAGGGGCTGGGGCCGACCCAGTGAGGGGGGGCCAACCCTTGACCGCGGCCTAAGGGGGTGCAACTACATCCAGTCAGCTCCTTGCCCCAGAGGGCTGGAGAGGGCTGGACCGACCCAGTGAGGGGGGGCCCTACCCGCACGCCCACCAGGGGGCGCCACTACATCCCAGTCCCAGCTCTAGGCCTCAGCCTGCCCTCCACAAAACAGAGGGACAAAAAAAGGGAATTTTGTCCTACTCTTCCATGCAGAACAGCTTTAACTCAGCAACATTTGTGGGTTTTTGAGCATAAACTGCTCGTATCAGGTCCTGCCACAACATCTCAATCGGGTTTAGGTCTGGACTTTGACCAGGCCATTCTAAAACTTGAAATGGGTTGCTTTTTGGCCATTCTGAGGTAGACTGGCTTGTGTGTTTTGGAGCAGACTTCTTGGATCTGCAAGAACCCCAGCTTTACTAATGATTCAGCACTACGCAAATTGGTTTAATCATTTATTTACTAGCTAACTAAATAATAACACAGAATAACATACACACTTAATACATGAGAAAAAGTCCCTAGCGGACAAACAACAACATGACTGCTTGGTTACCAAAAGGGAGGGGTAGAGAGAGAGAGAGAAAGAGAGACAAAGAGAATGAGACACTTATCGTTGATACATTTGGAAACTACCCTCAAAGTAATCATAATGCTTTTCTCACGAACCATCGCCCGTTTCGAGTAAGAAATCATGAATATCATGTATATCTCTGTTGAAACCAAGCCTTCTTGGAAAGGAGGTTTTGGCTGGGTCTTCGCTCAGCTCACTTGTAAGGCTCTGATTGTCCTGTGGATGTAAGGCTCTGATTGTCCACAAGGGTGAACAGATGATCTCTGCATGTGTATTTCCCACCGTAAAGCATTGAGAAGGAGGTGTTATGGTGTGGGGGTGCTTTGCTGGTGACACTGTCTGTGATTTATTTAGAATTCAAGGCACACTTAACCAGCATGGCTACCAAAGCATTCTGCAGCGATACGCCATCCCATCTGGTTTGAGCTTAGTGGGACTATCATTTGTTTTTCAACAGGACAATGACCCAACACACCTCCAGGCTGTGTAAAGGCTATTTGACCAAGAAGGAGAGTGATGTGTGCTGCATCAGATGTCCTGGCCTCCACAATCCCCCGACCTCAACCCAATTGAGATGGTTTGGGATGAGTCGGTCCACAGAGTAAAAGAACAGCAGCCAACAAGAGCTCAGCATATGTGGGAACTCCTTCAAGACCAGGTGAAACTGGTTGAGAGAATGCCAAGAGTGTGCAAAGCTGTCATCAAGGCAAAGGGTGGCTATTTGAAGAATCTCAAAAATATATTTAGATGTGTTTAACACTTTTTTGGTTACTACATGATTCCATATGTGTTATTTCATAGTTTTGTTGTCTTCACTATTATTCTATGATTCTACAATGAGAAGGTTTGTCCAAACTTTTGACTGGTACTGTATATCACGATATCTCTTAATATTGGCCACCATTATTTGGGATATTTAAGTGATATAAAATAAAAGTGAACTATAACTGACAAGAATGAGTAGTTTAGGTTAATTTCCCATCCTTTGTGGGCTCTACCTGTCCAGCCTGGTCTCATAGACTAGACGTAATATAGTAAATGTAAATCCGGTATCCGCAAATTAGTATATGTTACGTTTGGTATATTTACATAAGACAGATGGTTACTTAGGCAAAAATGAAAGTAGGGTGGTTGGTCGCGCATATAACGTGAATGTCTAGGAACATCTTGCGAGTCCGAATATCATCACGGACAACTTTAGTATTTTAGATAACTAGCAACTTTTCAACTACTTACTACTTTTTAGATACTTTGCAACTACTTAGCATGTTAGCTAACCCTTCCCCTAACCCTAACCCTAACCTTAACCCTTTTAGCTAACCCGTCCTCTAACCCTAACCTTAACCCTTTAACCTAAATCCTAAACCCTAACCCCTAGCCTAGCTAACGCTAGCCAGCTAGCTAACGTTAGCCCCCTAGCTAGAATTTATAACATATTATATGTTTTGCAAATTCATAATATATAGTCTGTTTAGCAAATTCGTAACATATAGTACGTTTTGCGAATTCGTAACATATTCTACGAAATGGGTGATGGACATCCACAAATGAATACATACCATACGAAACGTAACATATCATACTAAATGGAGTGTCTCAGATTTACGTACAGAATAACATGAAATGCTCTCAGACCAGGCAGCAGTGTCAAGCAGCAGAACCATGCATTTGCCGATGTAGGCTACTGTTAGCTGATAATGTTAACTTTGCAAGCTACCAGTAGAAACTCTGTACAGTTGGCTAAACATAGTGGTAAGTTGACCTAATGTACTTTTTTTCCCAAGCAACGTAGGCCTACCTAGTGAAGTTAGCTAACATTATCCCCTTTTCAACATTGTTTTTAACAGTGTTTAATCATGATTTCTGCTGACAGACATGATAGGCTACATAATTGATTGACGGACCATGTCAAATTGGCTATAGCTAATAACAGATCACATCAATATGGTTAGTTAACAAGCTAACTTTTAGGGGATAAACTAGATGGCTATAACTAAATATTGTTTGATTTTCTTGCAATCTATAGTGGTGATGACAGAAGTCCGACTGACAAAGTTACTTTTTTAAATCCTGAATGAATCGTGAATAATGATGAGTGATAAAGTTACTGAAAAAACAAATATCATACCCCCCCCAAAAAAAATGCTAACCTCCCGTGTTATTGTAATGGTGAGAGGTTAGCATGTCTTGGGGGTATGATATTTGTGTGTCTAACTTTCACACTCATCATTATTCACGATTCATTCAGGATTATCTGTGATCATGGTAGCATCCACATTAATGTAGAAGTGTTTAGAAACATATTCTATTCTTATTTACAATAAAAGTGACTCCAAAATGACACAATACATTATTTACCACTAATTTCTATTGGGCACAAAATAATCTGAAACACAACCAAAACAAACAACAAATATATCCAACAAATGTGTAAAGTCACAAGCTTGATGTAGTCATTGCGTGCTATGAATATTGAACCAAATACTTAACTTTTTACTACTTTAATACATATATAAGTGGGGGACTATCTACAAAAAGTGCTGGCGGAGGTCAGACACTCTCTCTGTGGGTCGGTCTCCCCTTCCTGGGGCCGACACCCCCTCTGGGTGTCGACCCCTTTCCCGGGGGGTTGGCCCACATTTTACATTTACATTTTAGTCATTTAGCAGACGCTCTTATCCAGAGCGACTTACAGTTAAGTGAGTGCATACATTATTATTTTATATATATATATATATTTTTTCATACATCGAACCCACTGCGCCACTCGGGGACACATCACCTTCTGTCTGAAATGGCACGCCATTTCCTATAGACTGCACTAGCCGGGCCCTGGTCAAAAGTAGTATACTATATAAGGAATAGGGTGCCATTTCAGACACAACCTGTCTCTTTGTCATGGTTTAAAGACAGCCTAGTTCTGTCTTCGTCATGGTTTAAAGACAGCCTAGTTCTGTCTTTGTCATGGTTTAAAGACAGCCTAGTTCTGTCTTTGTCATGGTTTAAAGACAGCCTAGTTCTGTCTTCGTCATGGTTTAAAGACAGCCTAGTTCTGTCTTTGTCATTGTTTAAAGACAGCCTAGTTCTGTCTTTGTCATGGTTTAAAGACAGCCTAGTTCTGTCTTTGTCATGGTTTAAAGACAGCCTAGTTCTGTCTTCGTCATGGTTTAAAGACAGCCTAGTTCTGTCTTCGTCATGGTTTAAAGACAGCCTAGTTCTGTCTTTGTCATGGTTTAAAGACAGCCTAGTTCTGTCTTTGTCATGGTTTAAAGACAGCCTAGTTCTGTCTTTGTCATGGTTTAAAGACAGCCTAGTTCTGTCTTTGTCATGGTTTAAAGACAGCCTAGTTCTGTCTTCGTCATGGTTTAAAGACAGCCTAGTTCTGTCTTTGTCATGGTTTAAAGACAGCCTAGTTCTGTCTTTGTCATGGTTTAAAGACAGCCTAGTTCTGTCTTTGTCATGGTTTAAAGACAGCCTAGTTCTGTCTTTGTCATGGTTTAAAGACTGCCTAGTTCTGTCTTCGTCATGGTTTAAAGACAGCCTAGTTCTGTCTTTGTCATTGTTTAAAGACAGCCTAGTTCTGTCTTTGTCATGGTTTAAAGACAGCCTAGTTCTGTCTTCGTCATGGTTTAAAGACAGCCTAGTTCTGTCTTTGTCATGGTTTAAAGACAGCCTAGTTCTGTCTTTGTCATGGTTTAAAGACAGCCTAGTTCTGTCTTCGTCATGGTTTAAAGACAGCCTAGTTCTGTCTTTGTCATTGTTTAAAGACAGCCTAGTTCTGTCTTTGTCATGGTTTAAAGACAGCCTAGTTCTGTCTTTGTCATGGTTTAAAGACAGCCTAGTTCTGTCTTCGTCATGGTTTAAAGACAGCCTAGTTCTGTCTTCGTCATGGTTTAAAGACAGCCTAGTTCTGTCTTTGTCATGGTTTAAAGACAGCCTAGTTCTGTCTTTGTCATGGTTTAAAGACAGCCTAGTTCTGTCTTTGTCATGGTTTAAAGACAGCCTAGTTCTGTCTTTGTCATGGTTTAAAGACAGCCTAGTTCTGTCTTCGTCATGGTTTAAAGACAGCCTAGTTCTGTCTTTGTCATGGTTTAAAGACAGCCTAGTTCTGTCTTTGTCATGGTTTAAAGACAGCCTAGTTCTGTCTTTGTCATGGTTTAAAGACAGCCTAGTTCTGTCTTCGTCATGGTTTAAAGACAGCCTAGTTCTGTCTTTGTCATGGTTTAAAGACAGCCTAGTTCTGTCTTTGTCATGGTTTAAAGACAGCCTAGTGACCAATGCAATGACCCACAGCATGTACTGAAACGTACACAAACAAAACAGACATGAGTTCCACCAAACACAGGCAGTTTGACATGGTATTTTAAAACAGGGAATTTAGCAGTAAACTAGGAAGAATGCCTTGGAGTTCAGTGTTTTATTGAGTAGCTTAATTATACCACTACTATATATTCTCACAACGCTTCTCATTCACCAACCTGCCCAATATGTCTAGGTCTACTATGTCCATATTTATCAGTGTTGTAAAGACACGACAGACAGACAGAGACAGACAGGCAGGCAGACAGACACAGACAGGCAGACAGAGACAGGCAGGCAGACAGAGACAGACAGAGACAGGCAGACAGACAGAGACAGGCAGACAGAGACAGGCAGGCAGAAAGAGACAGGCAGAGACAGGCAGGCAGACAGAGACAGGCAGGCAGACAGAGACAGACAGAGACAGGCAGGCAGAAAGAGACAGGCAGAGACAGGCAGGCAGACAGAGACAGGCAGACAGGCAGACAGAGACAGGCAGGCAGGCAGAGACAGGCAGACAGAGACAGGCAGGCAGACAGAGACAGACAGGCAGGCAGATAGAGACAGGCAGACAGACAGAGACAGGCAGAGATAGAGAGACAGGCAGACAGACAATCAGACAGATAGACAGACAGCATGTCCTAAGGGTTAGTGTCTCAGTTATTTGGGTCTTCCCATTTGTATGCAACATTTCCTGTGATTGAATGAATCATTATTTAAACTATCATATAAAAGCCCACCTAGTCTCTAGAGTGAGACAAGTGTAGAATGATAATAACAAGCGTTAACATCACCTGCAAATGCACACTGGACCGGTGTAAAAAGCGCGTATTAATATTATATTTGACACTTGAAAAAAGCAAGTGGAGAATGATAATAACAAGCGTTAAAATCACCTGTAAATGCACACTGAACATGGGAAAATATTACGTGTAAAAATTACATTTCACACTTGAAAAAAGCAACTGAAGAATGATAATAGCACGCGTTAAAATCACCTGTAAATGCACAGTTGACGTTTGAAAGAATCATGTGGACAAAAATTCACATTTGACACGTGAAGAAAGCAGATGAAAAATGATAATTACAAGCGTTAATATCACCTGATATAAGAGCCAGGCATTTCCTGTGACACTACAGACATTTTCAATGCGTGTATAGTGGTATATAAGACGACCACATCGTTTGTACACCAATACACTTGCTTTGGACAGCATTATAGTAAAACGAGTGGTCGGGGTGAGACGATTTGAACCTTTTGGCTTAGTAAAACGAGTGGTCGGGGTGAGACGATTTGAACCTTTTGGCTTTCCATAAATCTGAGCGCAAAGCTTACTCGTGAGAGCCTTCAGGCATCATCCACGCTAGTCTTTCCGTAGCTACAAACCATTGACTCTTCCCTGACAGTATTGCGAGGAGTGCCTGCGCTGCACCTGTCCATGCTTTTACATCGAGTGAAAACAGAGAAGTCGTCTCACACAAATGAAAATATCAGTCAGCGACAGATGTGATACGACTGTTTAAAAGTAAAAGCGTTTCAGTTTTAAATAGTCAGGCATTTCAATTCTTGGGACTTTCTTGCTGATGTTCTTCTGCTTAGACAGGTAGGCTACTGTAAGTGATTTTACTTTGTGATTTATAATTTTGTGCAATGTGCAATTAAAGTTGCATACCTGAATGCATGCATAATCTAACAATTTGACATATTTTGTTGCATGCTATGCATATTATTTAATGAACTGCATCCTCAGTGGGAATGGAGTTTCTGAGCTGTCTTTTCAATCAAAGATAATTTAATTAGAATGTTCTGAAATGCAATAAATTAACAATTAACAATGTAATTAATACACACACACACAGTCTCTCATTCTCTCTCTCGCTCATAATTCCCTGGCTTATCACTTCTGCTCCCCAGAGGCAATGGGTACACTTCGAGACCTGCAGTTTGCCCTGCAGCTGAAGATTGAGGAGCTTCGCCAGAGGGATACACTCATTGATGAGCTAGAACTGGAGATGGATGCCAAGGATGACTTGATTCGAAGGTTGCAGGGTGAACTGGACCGCTACAGGGCCACCATCATCACACCCCCAGGGTCTTCTGGAGCTAGTGCAGGTAAGACTTTCTGCAGAAAGTACATCCACATTTCAAGCAATGTTTTAATTTTATGCTCTTATACATCTTATTTATAACATATTTATATCAATGCCGACGTAGGCTACATTGTATCTTGTTGCTCAAAGAAAGTGATTTCTTTGTTTCAGGGTATTCTGCACAGTGTGAAGAGTCCCAGAGAGCCAAAAGAAAGACCATATTGTCAGAGCCCGTCACGCTGAATCCAAGGCAACTTGCCCTGGCCAGCCTGAAAAGCTACAACAAAAACCAACAGTGAGAGAACACACCAAGGACATGTTCCCTTTGACCTGTTCCTCTTGAGAAATGTCAGCCTGGTCTCATAGAATAGACATAACATACTAAACGTAAGTCAAGGACACTCAAACCTTAACCTTAACGCTAACCTATAGAGGGCTTGCAGTTGCACCACAAATCAACTAGCAACCACACCAGGCGCCACGTTGGAAGACCAGAGTCAGTCTGGTGGAAGTCCTCCAATCGTCCATATGGCTGGCTGCGTTTTGCTACCACCAGAAACTTTGGGGAGATTGCCCATTATTTCATTTTTCTAAGGACCCAGAAAATGGAGACAGTGGGAGAACCTATTCAAGTAAGTAAATATATTTAGAAAATTATAAAAAACAATGTAGCTATTATTAGCTGGCTAGATAGTTTCTACAGAAACTTTTGTGTGCAGGCTAACTGAAATGAGCAGCTAACGTAATGTTCGCTAGCTAGCTAACTTTACATACTGTATATTTTTCTGCAGGCTAACTGTATAGCTAGCCAAGTGAATTAAATATCACCAGCTAACTTCATATTAGCTAGTTAGCTAGCTATTTTGATGTATTTATCATTGTAACTCTAAATGCATTTGTAGCTAGGTAGCTAGCTAGCTAGCTAACAGCCATGGAAGAGGGTGAAAGGATTAGCTTGCAGTTCCAGCTGTCAGAGAAGGTAGAGTAGGCTACTCTGGATAGGGCAGTTACCTTTGTGGGAGGACATTATGAAAAGATTCTCCAGTTCCAGTCCCTAGCGAGAAAAACTATGAGGACAGAGAGATAAAGCAACAATAATATTCAGTGCTGTCTAATTTGAGTATAATGCAGCCTGTTTCTTTGTGATGTTTTCTGTCCTCAGATACAGAGAGCTGTGAAACCCTATCTGCAAATGAAGATGTCCTAATGAATGTCCCAAGAGAATAAAGGTGCATCCTTGTATACCATGGATTATATGGATTGTTCCAGGCCAGCACTAACACACCTGATTCAATTGATCAAACCTAATTAGTTGATAATCAAGTGTCCTATTGCTGGGCTGGAACAGTCTGCTCAACCAGTAGATCAGGGATCAGTGGAGTGAGGTCGGCCACCTCTGGTATAGCTTACTTGTACACTTTGAAATTATATGAAATAGTGTTGACTCTTTTGAAGTGAAGTGTTTAAACTTGTTGAACTAGTGATGAACTAGTGTCAATGTTGATTAATCACATATCACAATCTTGCAATAAAGAGGGGAAAGGGTTCTGTCTCTAATGTTTCTGTGTTTCTGAGATGTATTATCAAAAGTAAATGTAATTGCTAAAGTATACTTAAGTATCAAAAGTAAAAGTTTAAATAATTTCAAATTCCTTATCTTAAGTAGACCAGACGGCACAATTTTCTTTTTTAAATGTATGGATAGCCAGGGGCACAAACCAACACTCACTGTTTAGTGAGTCCGCCAATCAGAGGTAGTAGGGATGACCAGGGATGTTCTCTTGATAAATGCGTGAATTGGACCATTTTCCTGTCCTACTAAGCATTCAAAGTGTAACGAGTACTTTTGGGTGTCAGGGAAAATGTATGGAGTAAAAAGTACATTATTTTCTTTAGGAGTGTAGTAAAGTAAAAGTAAAAATTGTCAAAAATATAAATAGTAAAGTACAGATACCCAAAAAAAACTACTTACATAGTACTGCTAATGTCTCCAGTCATATAATGTCTCCTGAGTGGCGCAGTGGTCTAAGGCACTGCATTGCAGTGCTAGCTGTGCCACTAGAGATCCTGGTTCAAATCCAGGCTCTGTCGTAGCTGGCCTTGACTGGGAGACCCATGGGGCGGTGCACAATAAGGTAGGGGAGGGAATGGCCGGCAGGGATGTAGAGCATGGCGTTTCCAACGCCAGGGTTGTGGGTTCGATTCCCATGGGGGGTATAAAAAATAATGTATGCACTAACTGTAAGTCGCTCTGGATAAGAGCGTCTGCTAAAATATAAAGTGTAGTAGGATTGCATCAAAGGACAAATTTTTCCCGTGCAAAGGAAAGAAATGTCTCTGATATAGCCTATAGGCCTATACCACTACGCGCTCATTAATAGCCTAAATTATGACTATCCAATCTACTCATCACATTAGGAATAGAAGGCTTACATTAGTCTGCAAATGTGATGATAGATGCATGCAATCCTTTGTTATAAGGTACATTTTTATGGTGAGCAAAATTACTTCCGCAAAACTTGAAACTCACACAACACATGCTAATAACTAGACTACAAACTATCTAGCTAGCTAATGTTGGCTAACTTAGTCTTGTTGTTAACACCTGGTTAGCCTAACAGCTAAACTAAACTTGAAACCGATCAGACTTACCAGTGATGAAATGATTGGAGTAGACGTACTGACGGCTATCTGGGTTCAGGTCTTGACGTTCAAAAAGGTTTCTTTGCTTTTTCTGACAGTTCCTGTCTTATCTCCTTGGTGTTTCATGATTGCGGTTAATCTGTTAAAATAAAATAAAATCATGTTGTCTTTCCTGTCTTGTTAGAGCAGCCAAATACTGCACAGAAATTGACCGTGGTGATGAATCAACTAGTTTTAGGCACTGTTATCATGCAGCTTGGGGTAGCCAATCAGCTGCTGTTGTCGAAAGAATTGATGTGGTGGTCTTCCAACATGGCCGCTAGAAGCCATCGTATGTCAACTGGCAACCCTCTATAATCAAGTGCTGCTAAGAAGGACCTAGTTAAACTGCAGCTGGCCCAGAACAGAGTGGCACGTTTTGCTCTTCATTGTAATCAGAGGGCTAATATCAATACTATGCATGACAGTCTCTCTTGACTAAGAGTTGAGGAAAGACTGACTGCATCACTTCTTGTTTTTATAAGAAACATGAATGTGTTGGAAATTCTAAATTGTTTGCACAGTCAATTTACACACAGCACTGACACACACACTTACCAGACATGCCACCAGGGGTCAGTGCTTGAGGCATTACTACAGACCCCCTGGTTCGATTCCAGGCTGTATCACAACCGGCCGTGATTGGGAGTCCCATAGGGCAGCGCACAATTGGCCCAGCATCGTCCGGGTTTGGCCGGTGTAGGCCGTCATTGTAAATAAGAATTTGTTCCTAACTGACTTGCCTAGTTAAATAAAGTTAAAAGAAAAAAAGAAAAGAAAAGAAAATACAGAGCCATGATTGCATGGAACTCCCTTCCATCTCATATAACGCAAGTGAACATCAAACCTGGTTTCTAAAAACTAATAAAGCAACACCTCACGGTACAGTGGCTCTCCCCCATGTGACCTAATTGTTGTGTGTACAGTATGTACTGACATGTACAGTATGTGTAACTGATAAATGCACACACACACACACTACATGTACAAATGTATGTACATTTTAAAGTTTATTTTGTCTGTAATGTATTTTTTGTTACGTGTCGGACCGCAGTAAGACTAGCTGTCGCCATTGGCGTCGGCTAATGGGGATCCTAACAAAATGAAATCAAACCTTAACCCCTAACCCCTAGCCTAGCTAACGTTAACCACCTAGCTAACGTTAGTGTTAGCCACCTAGCTAACGTTATAACAACAAATTGGAATTCGAAACATACCATACGTTTTTTGCAAATGTGTGACCTATCGAACAAATTGCAAATCCGTAACATATTGTACGAATTGCAAATCGTAACATACCATATGAATTGTAATTCGTAACATTTCATATGAAATGAATGATGGACATCCACAAATTAATACCATACGAAACATAACATATCATACTAACTGATGTGTCCCGGATACACGTTTACTATGTTACGTCTACCCCTGAGTCCAGTTTGGAAATCTTCTCTTAAAGGCCCTTAAGGCTGATAAAGTGTTTCCTGCACAGACACAAAAATCAATAATGATTTTCATTGATTTATATACACTGTATGACAATTGGCTCAAGGCTTTAGTGCCTTTGTTGTCAAACACTAGTCACAATGACATTACTTATTGATTGCCTCCCACACTGTTTACTACTTCAGGTCACAGGAGCTGATTCAGACCTTTTTAGAGAATTACTTTCTAAAGAACCTGGAGAGTGGACAAATCCTGGCTATAATGGACTGTATGTACCCCACCACGGTCAACCAAGGCTGCTGCATCATTGAAGAGGGAGACAGTGGAACTCTTGCCTATGTCCTAGAAGGTAAGAAGTTAAATCAACAGTTGTTTATAAGTGGTGAGTAAAGTGGGGATTGGGAATACAGCCACTTCATGGTCCAAACTGTTGTCTTGAATTTTCATGCGTAGCCCCACTCTCAAAAACCAAAGTCCCCAATGTATAGTAAATGCTTGAGACGTTTTGGTGAATTATTCATCAAGCACTTGGTCTCCACAATTGAAGTGCAGTCAGCTCATGGTCTTTAATGTATGCTGCTTATTAGTCTTTTATGTTTGCTCAGAGATGGCCTAATGAATGTTACTCAACAGCTCCCCCTCCCCATTTCCTCCTCCCTCTGGCTCATGTTGAGTTGGTATGCTCCTCTGTTAGTGCCGGCACTGCTTTATGGCGCAATGAGGGGAAATGTTAGAATGATCTGTTTCTGGAAGGAGAGAGTGAGAGATGGTGGTGGTATGCATGATAATAAGCGGCATACATCATGTTTTGTGATGAAATGTCAGGCAGGGACAGGGCTCAGAGCTCAGGCATTTCTCCTACTACCCTCATATCTGATGTGACAAGCAATGGGCCATGGCTGTCCAATTTGCTTTTCTTGTTACCTGAGGCCTAGACTTTGTCTGTTTCTGCTGTGGTGTTGTAGATTAGAGTGTCTCTACCTGTCACGTGGCGTATCTCAGACAACTGCGTTTATCTGATGGTGTGTCAGTCACTCTCCCTGTCAATCACCTGCAGCTGGGAGCTGCGTAAGGGAGGCTGAGCTAATGTGTGGTCACACCCCTTCAGCTGCCAACCTGCTGTTGTGGGGGATGCCACAGACTGCCATCATCATCCTTTATCATTCTCCTCTGAAGGAGCTCTAACAGAAGCTGCACTGTCATACACACACATACACACACACACACACACAGTCTACGCACATGCCAACGTCATACAGTTTATTTTCAATCACTTTCACAAATGTTTCAGATGTAAGTGGTATATTTTTTAAACTCTAAGTATAAAACTCTAAGCTGATAGCAATGCCCCATATACAGTGGGGGGGGAAAGTATTTAGTCAGCCACCAATTGTGCAAGTTCTCCCACTTAAAAAGATGAGAGAGGCCTGTAATTTTCATCATAGGTACACGTCAACTATGACAGACAAATTGAGAAAAAGAAATCCAGAAAATCACATTGTAGGATTTTTTATGAATTTATTTGCAAATTATGGTGGAAAATAAGTATTTGGTCACCTACAAACAAGCAATATTTCTGGCTCTCACAGACCTGTAACTTCTTCTTTAAGAGGCTCCTCTGTCCTCCACTCGTTACCTGTATTAATGGCACCTGTTTGAACTTGTTATCAGTATAAAAGACACCTGTCCACAACCTCAAACAGTCACACTCCAAACTCCACTATGGCCAAGACCAAAGAGCTGTCAAAGGACACCAGAAACAAAATTGTAGACCTGCACCAGGCTGGGAAGACTGAATCTGCAATAGGTAAGCAGCTTGGTTTGAAGAAATCAACTGTGGGAGCAATTATTAGGAAATGGAAGACATACAAGAACACTGATAATCTCCCTCGATCTGAGGCTCCACGCAAGATCTCACCCCGTGGGGTCAAAATGATCACAAGAACGGTGAGCAAAAATCCCAGAACCACACAGGGGGACCTAGTGAATGACCTGCAGAGAGCTGGGACCAAAGTAACAAAGCCTACCATCAGTAACACACTACGCCGCCAGGGACTCAAATCCTGCAGTGCCAGACGTGTCCCCCTGCTTAAGCCAGTACATGTCCAGGCCCGTCTGAAGTTTGCTAGAGTGCATTTGGATGATCCAGAAGAGGATTGGGAGAATGTCATATGGTCAGATGAAACCAAAATAGAACTTTTTGGTAAAAACTCAACTCGTCGTGTTTGGAGGACAAAGAATGCTGAGTTGCATCCAAAGAACACCATACCTACTGTGAAGCATGGGGGTGGAAACATCATGCTTTGGGGCTGTTTCTCTGCAAAGGGACCAGGACGACTGATCCGTGTAAAGGAAAGAATGAATGGGGCCATTTATCGTGAGATTTTGAGTGAAAACCTCCTTCCATCAGCAAGGGCATTGAAGATGAAACGTGGCTGGGTCTTTCAGCATGACAATGATCCCAAACACACCGCCCGAAGGAGTGGCTTCTTAAGAAGCATTTCAAGGTCCTGGAGTGGCCTAGCCAGTCTCCAGATCTCAACCCCATAGAAAATCTTTGGAGGGAGTTGAAAGTCCGTGTTGCCCAGTGACAGCCCCAAAACATCACTGCTCTAGAGGAGATCTGCATGGAGGAATGGGCCAAAATACCAGCAACAGTGTGTGAAAACCATGTGAAGACTTACAGAAAACGTTTGACCTGTGTCATTGCCAACAAAGGGTATATAACAAAGTATTGAGAAACTTTTGTTATTGACCAAATATTTATTTTCCACCATAATTTGCAAATAAATTCATAAAAAATCCTACAATGTGATTTTCTGGATTTGTTTTCCTCATTTTGTCTGTCATAGTTGACCTGTACCTATGATGAAAATTACAGGCCTCTCTCATCTTTTTAAGTGGGAGAACTTGCACAATTGGTGGCTGACTAAATACTTTTTTTCCCCACTGTATTATATTCAGAACGTTTGACTGTGCTTTAATTGGGGTTTCACACATCTTTCACCCCTGAGTCATTCATGCTAAATCAAAGTTTTCTGTAAAATACCATGATAACATTTTGTTTAGTCACCAATACATCAGATAATGATAGGCTCACCATTTAATCCAATAGCAAAAAATACAAACTACACATTTAAAAACAGTTATTTTTGAAGTTCTAAATAGAAAGAATAGTAGATGATACATTTTCCATACAGTAATTTACTATAACTTGACATGCACCATAAAACATTTTTTGGGGCATCCAATGGCAGATTGTGAGCACGTTGAGAAATACGTCAGTCTTACAGTTTCATTATCCTTATACAGTACATGCGTAGGATAACTAATCAGAAATAGGGTTATTGTAAAGCAGTTGGATAATGTAAAAATGTAGCACAGTGTTGTATGCCAATTCTGCCCCATGCAACACTGTACAAGATCACCTTTTTTTTTTTTTTACGTGACTTGTCAACTGATACAGTATCGCATATCTCTCTGCTTGAAATCCATCAGCTTACAGTGTGTCAATGAAATTCAGATAATGAGTGGAATATATTGTTATATACAACCCAGGCATTTCAGCAGTGCATTGTACACTACTCTATAATTCAAAATGGGAGCACATAGAGTGACTCTTTCTACTTTGTCCTATTGAAGCACACTGGCTGATGGAGAATGATGATGTACATTGCCTTTAGAAAGTATTCACTTTTTCCACATTTTGTTGTGTTACAAAGTGTGATTACAATTGATTTAATTGTCATTTTTTGTCAACGATCTACACAAAATACTCTGTAATGTGAAAGTGGAAGAAGAATTCTAACATTTGTAAAAAATGTATGAAAAATAAAACACTAATATATCTTTATTAGATAAGTATTCAACCCCCTGAGTCAATACATGTTAGAATCACCTTTGTCAGAGATTACATCTGTGAGTCTTTCTGGAAGGAAAGAGAGGAAGGCTCCACACCAATCTCTCATTTGAGTATCTTACCTAGTTATTTTCAGATCTAATTTTGCTCTTTTGTAGCTTTGGCTATGTGTGTGTTTTCTATACCTGTTCGCGCCTCTCCCTGTAGGCTTTACAGACGCTTCCCACCCCTAGGCTGCAACCCTTCTAATTTAGTGTACCCTGCACGCACAACCCATGTGGAATTCCTGGTCTCTGGCAGCGTTTGGAACTGCCAATCTGCGGTCAAGAACGCTGAGTTCAGCTCAGCCTATGCTGCCCTTCAGTCCCTTGACTTTTTGGCCCTGACGGAGACATGAATCACCCCAGCTGCTCTCTCTTCATCTGATTATGTTTTCTCTCATTGTCTGAGAGCATCTGGTCGTCGCGGGGTGGCACAGGGATACTAATTTATCCTAAGTAGAGATTTTCTATTTTCTCTCTCTCTCACCTATCCTTAGAGAGTTCCTCAATGAGCTTGACACCTTGATAAGCTAAATTCCTGATGATGGCTCACCGCTCTTCGTACTTAGCGACTTCAACATCCCAATGTCTGCCTTCGATTCATTTCTTTCCAACGCTCTCTTTCCCCTCCTTGCCTCTTTTGACCTCACCCTTTCCCAGTTCCCTACACTCACAAGGCGGGCATCTTTACTAGAGGCTGTTTGCATACTAATCTTACTGCAACCCCCGTCCAGGTCTCTGCTCACTACTTTGTTTCCTTTTCCTTTCCTCTAACCCTAGCCGCTCAGCCCGTACCCAGATGGTCATGCGTTGTCGCAATCTTCACTCTCTCTCTTGCTCTCTCTCTCCCACTACTCTCTCCTTTTCTATCCTATCATCTCACCCTTCTGCTAAATCCTTCTCCATCCTGTGTCCTAATTCTGCCTCTTCGACCCTACTCTCCTCCCTTTCCACATCTTATGACTCGCTTTGTCCCCTTTCCTCCCGGGCTGGCTCTGCCCTTCCCTCCTGCTCTGTGTCTGAGTGACAAAAAAAACAAAAAAACATTGTAAAGTGGTTATCCCACTGGCTATAAGGTGAATGCACCTATTTGTAAGTCGCTCTGGATAAGAGCGTCTGCTAAATGACGTAAATGTAAAAAAACAAAAAAACATTGCGAGTTTCCAGAACAGGGCTGAGCGAAAATGGAGGAAAACTAAACTTCTGGAGGGCCTATCATCCTTTCACTCCCTCCTCTCTACCTTCTCTTCCTCTGTATCCACTGCTAAAGCCACTTTCTATCACTCAACATTTCAAGCTTCTGCCTCTAACCCTAGGAAACTATTTTCCACCTTCTCCTCCTTCCTTAATCCTCCACCCCCTCTCCCTCCCTCTCTGCGGATTACTTTGTCAACCACTTTGAAAAGAAGGTTGACGACATCTGGTCCTCATTCACTCAGCCTATTGAGTCCACTGGTCCCACTCACACAGAACTACCCTACACCTTGACCTTTTTCCCTCCTCTCCCTCCAGATGAAATCCTGCTACTAGTGAGGTCCGGCTGCCTGACAACCTGCCCGCTCGACCCCATCCCCTCCTCCCCTCTCCAGACCATCTCTGGAGACCTTCTCCATTCCTCACTTCCATCATCAACTCATCCCTGACTACTGTCTGTGTCCCCTCTGACTTCAAAATGGCCAGAGGCGCTCCCCTCCTCAAGAAACCAACACTCAACTCCTCTGATGTAAAAAACTACAAACCAGTATCCCTCCTTTCTTTTCTTTCCAGGTCTCTGACCTACTCTCTCAGATTGATCTTCTTGACCCTAACCAGTCAGGCTTCAAGACAGGTGTCACTGCGCACTGCCAAAGCTGACTCTCTCTCCTCTGTTCTCATCCTCCTAGATCTATCTGCTGCCTTCGACACAGAGAACCATCAGATCCTCCTATCCATCCTCTCAGGGCTGGGCGTCTCAGGCTCTGCACGTTCTTGGATTGCATCTTACCTGGCAGGCCGCTCCTACTAGGTGAAGTGGAGAGGATTTGTGTCTGCACCACGTACTCTCACTACTGGTGTCCCCCAGGGCTCAGTTCTAGGCCCTCTCCTCTTCTCTCTATACACCAAGTCACTCGGCTCCATCATATCCTCACATGGTCTCTCCTATCATTGCTATGCAGATGACACTCAACTACTTTTCTCCTTTCCCTCTTCTGACACCCAGTTGTCGGCCCACTACCTCAAGCTCAACCTCGAAAAGATGGAGCTGCTCTTCCTCCCAGGGAAGTCTTGCCCGCTCCAAGACCTCTCCATCACAGTTGACAACTCCACGGTGTCCCCCTCCCAGAGTGCAAAGAACCTTGGCGTGACCCTGGACAACACCCTGTCATTCTCTGCAAACATCAAAGCAGTGACTCGCTCCTGCAGGTTCATGCTTTACTACGTCCGTAGAGTACGACCCTACTTCACACAGGAAGCAGCGCAGGTCCTAATCCAGGCACTTGTCATCTCCCGTCTGGAATACTGCAACTTGCTGTTGGCTGGGCTCCCCCCTGCAGTGCAACCCGCCTGGTGTTCAACCTTCCCAAGGTCTCCCATGTCACCCCGCTTCTCTGCACACTGGCTTCCAGTCGAAGCTCGCACCCAATACAAGACCATTGTACTTGCCTACGGAGCAGCAAAAGGAATTGCCCCTCCCTACCATCGGGCTATGCTCAAACCCTACACCCCAACCCAAGCGCTCTGTTCTGCCACCTCTGGTCTCTTTGCCCTCCCTCTTCTCTGTCCTGGCACAAACAATCCCACAACATTTATGAGGTAAAAATATAGAAATGTACAGTGTTCAGCAGTTATCAAACTATATACATTTACATTTACATTTTAGTCATTTAGCAGACGCTCTTATACAGAGGAACACCCAGGGTTGACACATACTCATCTAGATGAAATTAGGATAAATTAGGTTAATTCGACTCTACATAATTTTGGTTCAGTAGTTATCAGTTTTGAGCAGTTTGATGAAGTGATAGTTAATTGTATTGTTAACAAATGACAAGAAAATCATATCAAAAGTAAACTGAATATTGCATTTTTAAAAGCATTTGGTGATTTGGTGCAGTGAACAAGTGACTGTGAATGTATTTGTTGTAGTCAGTCAATTGAAAATGTGCTTATAGTTTTGAAACGAGCCATTTTGATGATCTGTTTAGATTTTTGTGCTTAGAGTTGTGAAAATGCATCACATACTTGTGGAAATTGCACCAAAGTGACTGAAAAAAAACTACTAACTGTAAACACGCACAAAGGTAAAGACACACATGCATACACACACGCCACATAATGCTGCAACATCACTGCCTTCTGCCTCACTATGATTAGTAGTCAGTTGATAATGATATATTCCGTATTTGCTGCATTGTGTATTTATGTTTAAATGTGTGTTTAACAGAAGGGAAGATGGAGGTGACGAAGGATACCAAGAAGCTACTCACAATTGAACCAGGAAAAGTGTTTGGAGAATTGGCACTCCCGTTCAGCTGCACACACACCTACACTATAACAGGTACTGGAGCATTGTGCATGGAGTGTTGTGTACTGTGGTTGTTCTATTCTATTGTAATAACAGCTGAAGTGAATGCAAAACGTCATCCAGAAATCCTGTGTTTGGATGGATTTTTCATAATAATTATTGTTCAAGAGAGCAGCACAATCACAGACCAGCCTATTCACAGATGAATAGATCTGGTGCAGAGGGAAGTACTCTAGAATTTCTAATCAAAATATATTTCACAGCTTCAGACGCTCCTCTCTGAGATGTGGGGAATACAAAACACATCTTTCTTTGGCTCATAAATTGCCTAACTCATCTCCTACTATTTTTACCCTGTCCTTGGAAATGGAAATTACTATATGCGAATATGTAAAATGGTATATCAACACATTTTATGTGGTTATACATTATTTGATCGATTTCACGACATCATCATGACCGACCAAATATCCCCTCAATGAGAGTCCTTATTTCTAAATGGCTTGAACTTGATTTTCTCAATGGAAAATTAAATGTGTGCTATAGTCTCGCTACACTATCTGTGCCCAAAGGGAAACGCAGTCTCTGCTGCTCACATCTGACTTGCTTTCACAAAGAAATAGGTTGAAGAATGGAAAGAATCAGTGCAAATTGAAAAATCAGTTTTTTCCCTCACAGTGTTTCCTTTCCACTTTTCCTCTGTCCATTTTCTCTTTCAATGCAATGCTGGGTTCCTGATTAATTGAATAGCACCTTTTTCTTTCAGTCAATCCCTCTCCAATTCCCTCTCTCTGTATATCCGTTCTCACAGCAACAGTTCAACAGTTCTTTCTTCCATATCCACTCCACCAGTCCTTTCCCTGGTTTGGCACTGGCCTTGTTCTCCTGGCTGATTTTAAATAACTTTTTCCCTTTGTTGCCATCAGAGAACATCAATAAAGCTTCCTCTCCTGTGGTCTGACTCACTGTGACTGTAAGAAGTTCAGGTGAAAAAGGAGTTCATGATTGCACAGGATGTTCTTCCCAGAAAATGGCAGAGAGTATGACACATAAAAGGGTTAGACAAATATCTTAGAATGCTCTATTAGTTGTCAGTTGACATTCAGGTTTTTAACTCAAATATACTGTAGCGATCCTCACTATATGAGCCGCAATAGGGGGTTAACCCTATTGGCGCGATGCGTAGGGTGTTTGCCTTTCAAGCCAGTGACCCAGGTTCACTTCCCTGCCCCGCTGTTCGCTACAATACGTAACATATAAAGATAACAATGCCATTGATTTCACACTGCAAGTTCATTTAGCAATTTAAATAATGATATGATTGGTAGGAATTCAGAGGAGCATTTCTCAAGGTTAATAAGCCCCATTTTGGAATGGAATCTTTATAGTTGACACAGTATGCACCTATTTTACACATCTTTCCTGTAGGTACATTAGGTATGTGACTTATTCATTACTGTTATTTTGCTATGTCATCTAAGCGTGTAGTGTCTATTGTAGAGTGGAAGGACTAGAATGATTGGAGTTGTACGGTCAGTACAGGACAGAAGCGCCTGTTTGACGAAGCCCTGCTGAATCAATTAATCTGTATCATTATTAATTTAGAACATCTCTGTCAGAGTTCCATTCCTGTCTGCCCACAGAACAGACAAAGAAAGAGAGGAAGGCTGCATGGAGGAATATAATCTAGAATCTGTCCTCCTTATTCCCTTATCCACAACACCTTCAGAGAAAGGAATACAAACACTCAGACATTCCTTAAGAGTATAGGGAACATTTCTAGTACTATTATCTGACTGTGTTTCTAGGAGGGAATTGGTTGGAGAGCATCATTTGCAAACACAACCTTGACAGGTGCTGCATCTATTTACAAAGATGAAAATGTGAAATAGAAGACATTTGCTAAGTCCCCTGGATCCTTTCACAGCATTATAAGGCTGCATTGAGACAATGACTTATCAATGACCCAAGCCAGCTCAATTAATCCCTACCATGGTGTCGCTGAGTTGTCATAATTCTTCAGCAAATGTACATTATCCCAGGGGCATTGGAAGACACAATGTAAGTAACCTAAGTTATGTCCCTCTAACTGCCCTGAATGCCTCTGCTGATCCTACAGCTATTGTATGCAGTAATAATGTGGCTATGAACCAGAGTTATACTGTAAGCACTGAGGCACTGTGCTCTAGTAGGAAGTCCACTGTGTGCAGCTCACCCTGCACTAACAGAAATAACACGAGTATGTCTACTTCTGCTAAACCTCCCAGTAAAGCAATGAAAACAATCAACCATCCCAGAAAAGTGCTAACAATAGCCCATGTTAACATATGTAGCTTAAGAAACAAGGTTCATGAAATCAATAATTTGCTAATAACAGATGACATTCATATTCTGACAATCTCTGAAACTCACTTAGATAATACCTTTGATGATACAGTGGTAGCAATACATGGTTATAACATCTATAGAAAATACAGAAATGCCAAAGGTGGAGGTGTTGCCGTTTATATTCAGAACCACATTCCTGTAAAGCTTAGAGAGGATCTCATGTTAAATACTGTTGAAGTAATATGGCTACAGGTTAATCTGCCTCACCTAAAGCCCATTCTGGTGGGAAGCTGCTATAGACCACCAAGTGAAACAGTCAGTATATGGATAACATGTGTGAAATGCTTGATAATGTATGTGATATCAACAGAGAGGTATATTTTCTGGGTGATTTAAATATTGACTGGCTTTCATCAAGCTGCCCACTCAAGAAAAAGCTTCAAACTGTAACTAGTGCCTGAAACCTGGTTCAGGTTATCAGTCAACCTACCAGGGTAGTTACAAACAGCACAGGAATGAAATTATCAACATGTATTGATCACATCTTTACTAATGCTGCATAAATTTGATTTAAAGCAGTACCCAAATCCATCAGATGTAGTGATCACAATATAGCAGCCATATCTAGGAAAACCAAAGGTCCAAAGGCTGGGCCTAATATACACATAAGAGGTCATACAATACGTTTTGTAGTGATTCCTATGTTGTTGATGTAAATAATATAAGTTGGTCTGTGGTGTGTAATGAGGAGCAACCAGACGCTGCACTTGACACATTTATGAAATTGCTTATTCCAGTTACTAAAAAGCATGCACCCATTAAGAAAATGACTGTAAAAACTGTTAAATCCCTGTGGATTGATGAGGAATTGAAAAATTGTATGGTTGAGAGGGATGAGGCAAAAGGAATGGCAAATACAGTGCATTCAGAAAGTACTTTTTCCACATTTTGTTACGTTACAGCCTTATTCTAAAATTGATTAAATAGTTTTTTCCCTAATCAATCTACACACAATACCCCATAATGACAAAGCAAAAACAGGTTTTTAGAAATTGTTGCAAATAAAAAAACTAAAAAAAACTGAAATATCATATTTACATAAGTATTCAGACCCTTTACTCAGTACTTTGTTGAAGCACCTTGGGCAGCAATTAAAGCCTTGCGTCTTCTTGAGTATGACGCTACAAGCTTGGCACACCTGTATTTGGGGAGTTTCTCCCATTCTTCTCTGCAGATCCTCTAAACCTCTGTCAGGTTGGATGGGGAGTGTCGGTGCACAGCTATTTTCAGGTCTCTCCAGAGATGTTCGATCGGGTTCAAGTCAGGGTTCTGGCTGGGCCACTCAAGGACATTCAGAGACTTGTCCTGAAGCCACTCCTGTGTTGTATTGGCTGTGTGCTTAGGGTTGTTGTCCTGTTGGAAGGTGAACCTTCGCCCCAGTCTGAGATCCTGAGCACTCTGGAGCAGGTTTTCATCAAGGATACTTTGCTCCGTTCATCTTTCCCTCGATCCTGACTAGTCTCCCAGTCCCTGCCACTGAAAAACATCCCCACAGCATGATGCTGCCACCACCATGCTTCACCGTAGGGATTATGCCAGGTTTCATGGCTTGGTTTTTGCTCTGACATGCACTGTCAACTGTGGGACCTTATATAGACAGGTGTGTGCCTTTCCAAATCATGTCCAATCAATTGAATTTACCACAGGTGTGGTAAAGGATGATCAATGCAAACAGGATGCACCTGAGCTCAATTTCGAGTCTCATAGCAAAGGTCTGAATACTTATTTAAATAAGGTATTTCAGTTTTCTATTTTTAATAAATTTGCTAAAATGTCTAAAAAACTGTTTTCACTTTGTCATTATGTGGTATTGTGTGTACAGTGGCTTGCGAAAGTATTCGCCCCCCTTGGTATTTTTCCTATTTTGTTGCCTTACAACCTGGAATTAAAATGGATTTTTGGGGGGTTGTATCATTTGATTTACACAACATGCCTACCACTTTGAAGATGCAAAATAAAAAAAATTGTGAAACAAACAAGAAATAAGACAAAAACAAACTGAAAACTTGAGCGTGCTTAACTAACCCAAAGTCAATACTTTGTAGAGCCACCTTTTGCAGCAATTACAGCTGCAAGTCTCTTGGGGTATGTCTCTATAATCTTGGCACATCTAGCCACTGGGATTTTTGCCAATTCTTCAAGGCAAAACTGCTCCAGCTCCTTCAAGTTGGATGGGTTCCGCTGGTATACAACAATCTTTAAGTCATACCACAGATTCTCAATTGGATTGAGGTGTGGGCTTTGACTAGGCCATTCCAAGACATTTAAATGTTTCTTTAGCAGTATGCTTAGGGTCATTGTCCTGCTGGAAGGTGAACCTCCGTCCCAGTCTCAAATCTCTGGAAGACTGAAACAGGTTTCCCTCAAGAATTTCCCTGTATTTTGCGCCATCCATCATTCCTTCAATTCTGACCAGTTTCCCAGTCCCTGCCGATGAAAAACATCCCCACAGCATGATGCTGCCACCACTATGCTTCACTGTTGGGATGGTGTTCTCGGGGTGATGAGAGGTGTTGGGTTTGCGCCAGACATAGTGTTTGCCTTGATGGCCAAAAAGCTCAATTTTAGTGTCATCTGACCAGAGTACCTTCTCCATATGTTTGGGGAGTCTCCCACATGCATTTTGGCGAACAGTGTTTGCTTATTATTTTCTTGAAGCAATGGCTTTTTTCTGGCCACTCTTCCGTAAAGCCCAGCTCTGTGGAGTGTACGGCTTAAAGTTGTCCTATGGACAGATACTCCAATCTCCGCTGTGGAGCTTTGCAGCTCATTCTGGGTTATCTTTGGTCTCTTTGTTGCCTCTCTGATTAATGCCCTCCTTGCCTGGTCCGTGAGTTTTGGTGGGCGGCCCTCTCTTGGCAGGTTTGTTGTGGTGCCATGTTCTTTCCGTTTTTTAATAATGGATTTAATGGTGCTCCATGGGATGTTCAAAGTTTCTGATATTTTTTTATAACCCAACACTGATCTGTACTTCTCCACAACTTTGTCCCTGACCTGTTTGGAGAGCTCCTTGGTCTTCATGGTGCCGCTTGCTTGGTGTTGCCCCTTGATCAGTGGTGTTGCAGACTCTGGGACCTTTCAGAACAGGTGTACAGTCGTGGTCAAAAGTTTTGAGAATGACACAAGTATTGGTCTTCACAAAGTTAGCTGCTTCAGTGTTATGAGATATTTTTGTCAGATGTTACTATGGTATACTGAAGTATAATTACAAGCATTCCATAAGTGTTAAAGGCTTTTATTGACAATTACATTAAGTTTATGCAAAGAGTCAATATTTGCAGTGTTGACCCTTCTTTTTCAAGACCTCTGCAATCCACCCTGGCATGCTGTCAATTAACTTCTGGGCCACATCCTGACTGATGGCAGCCCATTCTTGCATAATCAATGCTTGGAGTTTGTAAGAAATTGTGGGTTTTTGTTTGTCCACCCGCCTCTTGAGGATCAACCACAAGTTCTCAATGGGATTAAGGTCTGTGGAGTTTCCTGGCCATGGACCCAAAATGTCGATGTTTCGAATATCCGAAGCCGTAGTTTTTCCCCTAGCGAGTCATCATCATACAAGTTCAGTTACTGAGATGTATTTTTCATCAGTATTCCCATACTGATTTATCCGAGTTGTGGTGAGAGCATTACAATAGTACAGCTCTCCAACATGCATGTAATGCCCCACCACATATAATGCCCCACCACATATAATGCCCCACCACATGTAATGCCCCACCACATGTAATGCCCCACCACATGTAATGCCCCACCACATGTAATGCCCCACCACATGTAATGCCCCACCACATGTAATGCCCCACCACATGTAATGCCCCACCACATGTAATGCCCCACCACATGTAATGCCCCACCACAGTGTCCCCCAAGCACACAATGCAAGTATAGTTTTTATAAGTCACTTTGTTATAATGTGAAAATGGTGAAATATCTCTTAAGTGACTTGAGACCATATAATGTTTCATCAGGTCTTTCATAAAGATCATAGGTTTGGTGAAGGACAGTAATACTGTGCACAAGAGCAGCGAACTCAAAGCCCAGTAAGTAGCGACTGAAACTATAGGTAACACTTTACCGCCAACAGGTACAGTGCATTCAAAAAGTATTCAGACCCATTTACTTTTTCCACATTTTGTTACGTTACAGCCTTATTCTAAAATGGATTAAATTGTTTTTCTCCCCCTCATCAATCTACACTCAATACCCCATGATGACAAAGCAAAAACTGGTTTTTATTTTTTTTTAACTGAAATATCACATTTACATAAGTATTCAGACCCTTTACTCAGTACTTTGTTGAAGCACCTTTGGCAGCGATTACAGCTTTGAGTCTTCTTGGGTATAACGCTACAAGCTTGGCACGTCTGTATTTGGGGAGTTCCTCCCATTCTTCTCTGCAGATCCTCTCAAGCACTGTCAGGTTGGATGGGAGGTGTCGTTGCACAGCTATTTTCAGGTCTCTCCAGAGATGTTCGACCGGGTTTAAGTCCGGGCTCTGGCTGGGCCACTCAAGGACATTCAGAGACTTGTCCTGAAGCAACTCCTGTGTTGTCTTGGCTGTGTGCTTAGGGTCATTGTACTCGCCCCATTCTGAGGTCCTGAGCGGTCTGGAGCAGGTTTTCATCAAGGATCTCTCTGTACTTTGCTCCGTTCATCTTTCCCTCGATCCAGACTAGTCTCCCAGTCCCTGCCGCTGAAAAACATCCCTACAGCATGAGGCTGCCACCACCATGCTTCACCGTAGGGATGGTGCCAGGTTTCCTCCGGATGTGACGCTTGGCATTCAGGCCAAAGAGTTCAATCTTGGTTTCATCAGACCAGAAAATCTTGTTTCTCATGGTCTGAGAGTCCTTTAGGTGCCTTTTACCCGAGGAGTGGCTTCCATCTGGCCAGTCTACCATAAAGGCCTGATTGGTGGAGTGCTGCAGAGATGGTTGTCCTTCTGGAAGGTTCTCCCATCTCCACAGAGGAACTCTGAAGCTCTGTCAGAGTGACCATCGGGTTCTTAGTCACCTCCCTGACCAAGGCCCTTCTCCCCCGATTGCTCAGTTTGGGCAGGCGGCCAGCGCTAGGAAGAGTCTTGGTGGTTCCAACCTTCATCCATTTAAGAATGATGGAGACCACTGTGTTCTTGGGGACCTTCAATGCTGCAGAAAGTTGTTGGTACCCTTCCCCAGATCTATGCCTCGACACAATCCTGTCTAGGTGCTCTACGGACAATTCCTTCGACCTCATGGCTTGGTTTTTGCTCTGACATGCACTGTCAACTGTGGGACCTTATATTGACAGGTGTGTGCCTTTTCCAAATCATGTCCAATCAGTTGAACCACAGGTTGACTCTAATCAAGTTGTAGAAACATCTCAAGGATGATCAATGGAAACAGGATGTACCTGAACTCAATTTCGAGTCGAGTTTCATAGCAGGGTCTGAATACTTAAGTAAATAAGGTATTTCACTTTTATTTAATTTTTTTGTGTGCAAAAATGTCTAAAAACCTGTTTTTGCTTTGTCATTATGGGGTATTGTGTGTAGATTGATGAGGAAAACAATTAAATTAATCAATTTCAGAATAAGGCTGTAACGTAACAAAATGTGGAAAAAGGGAAGGGGTCTGAATACTATCCGAATGCACTGTATATTGTGTTAGTACTTGTTATAAGCATGTATGAACCTTTATAATGTCTTATCATAAGGCTTATAATATGTTATGTTTCTCTATCTCTCTGTTTGTATTTTAATGAGCCATGATCCAAATGAATAAATCTGATGTATTTAACCTTTATTTAGAACCAGTAAAGCAACATGGGTAACCCTTCTTTTCCATGTGAGAAGGTCAGAGGAAGATGCAGCTCTCCTCTCCAACGTGTCTCTTAGTGAATTCCAGGTCATATGCAATCTAGGAGAGGGGGAAATCGGTCATTCAGAGCTGGTGAGTTGGGAGGAATTTGTTGGTCAAGCTTGAAACTGTGTCAGTAAATCCCAGTGCATTGTTATTGTCTGGTTTCCATGTAGCTTTTAATGGATAGGCCCACATGTTGACATGGTGGTTGATGTATTTACACTTTTCTCAGGTACAGCTTAAGACCAAAATTAACTGCCTGTTCACCTTGAGGGTGTTGAGGAAGCATCAGATCCTAAGCACTGGTCAACAGAAGCGCATCCTGAGGGAAAGACACATCCTCATGGCAGCTCATAGTCCATTCATCGTCAGGTATGCACCCACCCACCAGCCAAACATACCTCAATCTGATCGTGGGTTATAGGCATTCCCACGTTCGCAGAGATCCCATTCACGGTAAATGCTGCATATATAGAAATTTACTTTAAAAACCGCAATGCCTCTAACCTGCGATTGGATTGAATCCCGGACCTTATTTTAGACTGGTGAACTCACTATATGCTTAACAACTGGACAACACCTGTGTCTTCTTTGCCACTGCTAGGCTACACCGTACCTTTAGAGATGCGAAGTGCTTGTACATGCTGACCGAAGCTTGTCTAGGTGGTGAGCTCTGGAGTCTACTGAATAACAGGTACCGCTAACCGCAGTACTGTCTACATCTTATGTTTGTATATTTTACAGTATAGATTTTATAACTGAATTGATAGGATGTGCCATAAAACTTTCTGATCACTATTGTGCTCTTGCTCCTACATTTCAGAGGCTCGTTTGATGACAGCAGCACACGTTTTTACACTGCCTGTGTTGCTGAGGCCCTCATCTTCTTGCACCACAACGGTATCATCTACAGGGATCTGAAGCCTGAAAATGTAGTTCTGGACCAGCGCAGATATGCCAAAGTGGTAACGTAGAGACTAGAGCTCCATTTGATGCATTTTAAATCCACACAAGATGAAGAAAGGGGGCATCCTTAGAATATAATACAGTTATTGTCAATTTCGTACATGCTTACACAAACAAATACAGTACGTTCAAAGGTTACAGTTATATTATCATACATAGAACTGTTTCACTTTGGAAAATCTATGTTATTTACATTTTACATTTTAGTCATTTAGCAGACACTCTTATCCAGAGTGACTTACAGGAGCAATTAGGGTTAAGTGCCTTGCTCAAGGGCACATTGACAGATTTTTCACCTAGTTGGCTCGGGGATTAGAACCAGAGACCTTTCGGTTACTGGATCCATTGAGATACTGACCATCCATATTCATAACTGGACTGTGCTTTGCCTTTCCTAGGTGGGGTTTGGTTGTGCTAAGAAAGTGGGCTTGGGTAAGAAAACGTGGACGTTCTGTGGCACGCCTGGCTATGTTGCCCCAGAGATCATCCTGAACAAGGGCCACAGTGTATCTGTAGATCTCTGGTCTCTGGGCGTCTTCGTGTTTGAGCTGCTGAGTGGAAGGTGAGATTATAAAATAGTATATTTCTCTCCAGAGCTACAGTGTTTTGTCCCAGTTTTTGTTCTCTGTCGTCTCTAAGTCATTGTACTTGATGTCCCTTCTCAATCTTTACCTTTCCAGTCTCCCATTCTGTGGCCCTGATTCTATGAATACGTTCACAGCCACCATCCGTGGAATTGATCTGGTTGAATTCCCCAAAACCATCAGTAAGAGTGCCTCAAGTCTGATCAAGAAGCTTTGCAGGTGTGACACATATAACCCATACATGTGTGTCTCTCTGTCCTGGTCTCTCAGGAACAACCCAGCAGAAGGACTGGGGAATCAGAGAAACGGGGCCAAGGACATCCAGAAGCACAAGTAAGATGGCTGAGATGAAAACATCAGACTGTGACACTGTCATCTATATAGCAGCAGGTCTGTTATCTTGTTCTTTCTTTCAGATGGTTTGAAGGTTTCAACTGGGAAGGACTTCACAAAGGCACTTTGTCTCCATCGATCATACCCAAAGTAAATATCTGGCAGAGCTTTATGTTCATTAGTCATAAGACAACCCACTGGGCAAAATCTGGTTGAATCAATGTTGTTTCCACGTCATTTCAACAACAACAAAAAATCTGTGATGATGTTGAATCATCAACGTGGAAAACGGATTGGATTTGAAAAAAGTAATCAACATAAGGGTATTTCCTATTTTTTCACCTAACTTTTAACCTAAATCCAATGACAGTGAAATGTTTTGTTGATTTCATGTTGAAATCATGTTAGTTGACAACCAAATGTAAATCAAAACTAGATGTTGAACTGACGTCTGTGCCTAGTGGGAACGTGCTTCAGCAACTACATAATAATAGTCCCTGCACAGGCAGCTGTACAGGCCTGACCATTGCTGACTACTTGTGCTTTGATATATTTATACTTGCATAGTGTATTTTTCCATTTTCTGAACATTATTTTTTCAGTTAATCAGTCACTTGGAGGACAGCAAATTGGACCCCTTAACTGGCATCCTTGAGGACTCACCAGCTGTATAGGAGTCAGTCTGAGACATGGATTTCTGTTGAATTGAAACATTTTGTATAATTTTGATCTAGGTTGAATGCTATACACGAACTGATACAAAAATAGTTTTTGGTACCGGAAATAAATTATACAAAGGAGACAGAGAAATGGAATTTCATTGTGTTCAACATTATTTTATTTCAACTGGTTAGAATATTTTTTTATTCAATTTGTAAACTAACAAAGAAGTGAATGTTGATGGCTGTTTCTGTATTCTAATGTGATATTTCTTACTGTGTATTATTGTTTTACTTAAAGTGTTGTATCTCAATTCATAAACCTATGATTCAACATCTGATTATTTGTAAATAAACTAATACATAATCTGAGCTTCATCATGTGAATGCATTCAACATCTGGTTGTTAAATCATAGGATGTTTTAGAGCACTTTAATTAATAAAAACATTTTATCACCTCCAGCATTTGTTGAGTTGAGATACAGTATGACGCGCTTTACTCATTCAATAGCTTTTTCTCTCATGATAATTTGTTCAAGCTGACGTCAGTCAAAGAAGAGGGGTTAGGGTGTAGCATGGGGTAACACTTTCGCATGTGGTGGCGGGTGGGTATTTCGCTTCTCCTGCTGAAGTAGGGGGACACAATTTGAAGAACATCGGGTGACCTACATTTTATTCAGGTAAGAGGCGGTAACTCAGGACTTGTAAAACGATGTATTTAAAAGTATGGGGAAAGTTATCTACTCGATACAAATAAGCTACAGTATGTAATTGTAACGCACTAGTAGTGACACTATTATTGGATACAAAGTAGCCAACCCATCGTGGCATAAGTGCAATACACTGTTATAACCGGTTCATCATTTCCATTCCATACAAGCTTTGAAACGTTTTGACGATTTTGAGTTGTCCTGCTGCACTATTCTGTCAATGGAGATAGAGAGACCGAGGTATCGGTTCTGAAGATGATGCATGTTGAGTTATGTATTTGGCATGAATGGGACAGAAATACGATTTTCGAGCTCACCATCAATATTGTTTTAGTGTTAACATTGTAGCCTTTTATTTTGTAAGCTACAGTATTAGGTAACAGTGTAATATCTGCACAGTAAGTGAAAAACACAATATTCTAAACTTTGCATTTCATGGTAAAAAAAAAAGTCAGTTTCAAGGAAGGATATATATGTACTTCAGCAAGTCTTTGTACTCTGTAATTCTAGTTCATGGTGTGAAAAAAACGGCACAATTATGTGGTCGTTCTTTTCCCCAAAACAAAGGTAATTGCTATACGGATTGAGACCCATGGCATTTAGCCAGCTGGACCAAACCCATGTATAGCTTGTGGTCTTTGGAATTCCTCCTTATGCAGTTCATGCTGTACCGTCACTAGAAATAATGTCTGGCTGCATGTCCCTATGTGTCTGCTTTGAGTTTGTTTTTGCAAGGGCTTTGTGCCTTTGCCGTAATCTTGAAGTCTATGTCTGTCTATGGAAACCACAGGCAACGTGTTGAAAGTTGTCCCATGTTGCTGGAATGCACAGGCTGGGCAGGGCTGAGTTGGCACACTGGTAGTGATGGGTCGTTCGCGAACGAACGGCTGTTTTCGAACTGATATTTTTGGTGAACGTCGGGAAACGAATTGCATCTGTGAAAGAGCCATTAATTTAGCTACCTGATTTGCATACTGCTACTACTGCTTTTTCAGCTACAGACAACTATTATATTTAGACAAGTTACAAAAAACATTCTCTGAAGATGGTATTTCCTCACTGCAGGAACAGGCAGTGAGGAGAATAGTGCTGAGCGATTAGTGCTTTTTGAGGTCGGTTCGGTTTCGGTTCGATTCTAAAAAAATTATCAAGACTTTCGGTTTCGATATTTTTTACATTAAATGCACTACAACTTATGTGGGTTGAATGCTGTAACAACGAAGAATAAAACAATTCATAAAACTCCCATGATGGTAGTGACTGCACATAACTGCTTTCCTTATTAACCATCAGTTATTCACATTACTATGCAACAGGATTGGTTATGTTCCCATTTGCCACCGCAGAAATGTGTATTCGATGTTTATGTATTCCTATTGCTTGGTTGAATTTACATATCGATTAGGTGTTATGGCATTGGTCATGCTTGCAGATGGGGGATTTCCCGAAGGAAGTTCTTCCCAGTCTGATATTGACATGCAATACTGTATTCTATTTTCATATTTATTAATGTGTACGCCTGATATATAAAGTGCATTCAGAAAGTATTCAGAGCCCTTCCCTTTTTCCACATTTTGTTACATTACAGCCTTGTTAAAAAATGGATGAGAAAAAAAAATCCTCATCACAATACCCCATAATGACAAAGCGAAAACAGGTTTTTAGAAATTTTAGCAAATTTATAAAAAATAAAAACAGAAATACCTTATTTACACAAGTATTCAGACCCTTTGCTATGAGACTCTAAATAGAGCTCAGGTGCATCCTGTTTCCATTGATCATCCTTGAGATGTTTCTACAACTTGATTGGAGTCCACCTGTGGTAAATTCAATTGATTGGACATGATTTGGAAAGGCACACCACTGTCTCTTTAAGGTCCCACAGTTGACAATGCATGTCAGAGCAAAAACCAAGCCATGAGGTCAAAGGAATTGTCCGTAGAGCTCTGATACAGGATTGTGTCGAGGCACAGATCTGGGGAAAGGTACCAAAACATTTCTGTAGCATTGAAGCTCCTCAAGAACACAGTGGCCTCCATAATTCTTAAATGGAAGAAGTTTGGAACCACCAAGACTCTTCCTAGAGCTGGACGCCAGGCCAAACTGAGCAATTGGGGGAGAAGGGCCTTGGTAAGGGAGGTGACCAAGAACCTGATGGTCACTCTGACAGAGCTCCAGAGTTCCTCTCTGGAGATGGGAGAACCTTCCAGAAGGACAACCATCTCTGCAGCACTCTGCCAATCAGGCCTTTATGGTAGAGTGGCCAGACGGAAGCCACTCCTCAGTAAAAGGCACATGACAGCCTGCTTGGAGTTTGCCAAAAAGTACCCTAAAGGACTCTCAGACCATGAGAAACAAGATTCTCTGGTCTCATGAAACCAAGATTGAACTCTTTGGCCTGAATGCCAAGCATCACATCTGGAGGAAACCTGGCACCATCCCTACGGTGAAGTATGGTGGCAGACTAAATAGCCTTGGTTTCTCAAATGACTGCCTCGCCTGGTTCACCAACTACTTCTCAGATAGAGTTCAATGTGTCAAATCGGAGTGCCTGTTGTCTGGACCTCTAGCAGTCTCTATGGGGGTGCCACAGGGTTCAATTTTCGGGCCGACTCTATTCTCTGTGTATAATCAATGATGTCGCTCTTGCTGCTGGTGATCCACCTCTACGCAGACGACACCATTTTGTATACATCTGGCCCTTCATTGGACACTGTGTTAACAAACCTCCAAACGAGCTTCAATGCCATACAACACTCCTTCCGTGGCCTCCAACTGCTCTTAAACGCTAGTAAAACTAAATGCATGCTCTTCAATCAAACGCTGCTTGCACCCGCCTACCCGACTAAAATCACTACTCTCGGCGGGTCTGACTTAGAATATGTGGACAACTACATTTACATTTTAGTCATTTAGCAGACGCTCTTATCCAGAGCGACTTACAGTTAGTGAATACATATATATTTTTTATACTGGCCCCCCTTGGGATTTGGAACCCACAACCCTGGCGTTGCAAACGCCATGCTCTATCAACTGAGCTACATCCCTGCCGGCCATTCCCTCCCCTACCCTGGACGACGCTGGGCCAATTGTGCGCCGCCCATGAGTCTCCCGGTCGCGGCCGGCTGCGACAGAGCCTGGATTCGAACCAGGATCTCTAGTGGCATCAGTTGTCAGAGCAGCTTACCGATCACTGCACCTGTACACAGCCCATCTGTAATTAGCCCACCCAACTACCTCATCCCCATATTGTTATTTACATTGTTATTTATTTTGCTAATTTGCAATCCCAGTATCTCTATTTGCACATTATCTTCTGCACATCTATCACTCCAGTGTTAATACTAAATTATAATTGTAATTATTTTGCACTATGGCCTATTTATTGCCATACCTCCATAACTTACTACATTTGCACACACTGTATATAGATTTTCTATTGTGTTATTGACTGTACATTTTGTTTATTCCATATGTAACTCTGTGTTGTTGTTTTTTTCCGCACTGCTTTGCTTTATCTTGGCCAGGTTGCAGTTGTAAATGAGAACTTGTTCTCAACTGGCTTACCTGGTTAAATAAAGGTGAAATAAATAAATAAATAAATGGTGGTGGCAGCATCAGGCTGTGGGGATGT